GGAACACTATGGCTTTTTTTTTGTTTTTTTGTTTTTTCCCAAGACAGGGTTTCTCTGTGTAGTCCTAGCTGTCCTGGAACTCACTCTGTAAACCAGGCTAGCCTCAAACTCAGAAATCCACCTGCCTCTGCCTCCCAAGTGCTGGGATTAAAGGCGTGCACCACTAACTCTATGGCTTTTTAAAAACATTTTTTTTTCCCAAAGTAAGGACTTTCCCACAATACCATGGTATCTATTAGACACATGATAAAGTGAAGACTGAACTAAAATAACAAATCTCAATTTGTATCTAAGGGCAGGACTAAATACTAGAAATGTGTTCCTTGTTAATCTTGGTGAGTGTTAAGGTAATGTTGGTTAACACTTAAAATGAAAGACAAACTCATAAATTTGACAGCATATACAAAATATATTCGATGATTTTAGGAAAATCACTTTTCCATACATTTAGTTGGCTTTATGGTACAACAGAACAAGAGGAAAATATTGAGTGTAAAAAAATAAGAGAGCTGGGAGGTAGTGGCACAAATCTAATCCCAGCACTAGGGAGGCAGAGGCAGGTAGATCTCTGGCAGTTTGAAGTCAGCCTGGTCTACAAGAACGAATACAAGACAGCCAGAGTTATACAAAAAAACAAACAAAACAAGAGACTGTGGAGCTGGAGAGATGGCTCAGTGGTTGAGCCCATTCAACTGCTCATGGTTCACAACACCCACATTGGGGTTCACAATCGCTTGTAATACTAGACCCAGGGGACTCCCACTTGTCTGACCTTCACAGGCACCTGCACTCCCAAGCATGCACATGTAAGTGTATGTTCACACACCCGTGCACTCACAAAACAAATCTCTAATAAGAAACAATGGAATCCTCTCCCTACCTCTGAGATTGTAATCTTGTCCTCTACTACTAAGCTGTACAACTTCTTCACCTTAACTGTAATGGTCCTAACGTTCCTGGAATGGAAGAATTATAAGAACCAAGTTTAGGTAGCATGTATAGTGGACTCTGAGGCAAGAGGACGGGTGGACGTTCCATGGCAGCTGGGGTAACTTTCTGGCCATCCCAGGGTATGTGAAACCCTGTGACAAAAACAAAGTGGGGCTGAATGGCTTGGGAGCTAAGAGCACTTGCAGCTCTTGGACAGAACCAAGGTGCAGATTCTATCACCCACATGGTGGCTCACAACCACCTGTAACTTCAGTTCCAGGGGATCCGATGTCACCCTCTGACTTCTGTGGGCACACATGCACGCAGGCAAAAGAATCACACACGTAAAATAAAGTGTATCTTTTAAAATATCTTAATGAAATAAAAAAAAAAACCCTACACACATACACACAAAGTAACTGAGCTAGGAAAATGAAGTCTTAACGTCTCTGGGTCTTTTCTTCTCTTCCCGAGTCACCTGCTTTGGCTTTACAGAGATGCTGCAGGTCTGCCTTATATAACCAGTGATCTCGCTTTAATTTTTTTTCCTTCAGGGGCAGTTGGGAGGACACACAGTTTGAATGGAGGATCTCACTCCATAGTTCAGGCTGGCCTGAAATTCACTATGCAGACTGATTGGAACTGGAGGCAAATCCTCTTCAGTCTCCCAAGGGCCGGATTATAGTTCCCAGCCACTAGGCTCTGTTTAATGTAAAAGCTTTTCTGTATCTCTGGCTCTGAGAGGAAGATAAAAAGCATGTGGCCTCTGATCTCAGCATTCAATAATATACAGAAGAAAACATTCCCCAACTGGACACTGTGGCACATGCCTGGAATCCCAGCACTCAAGAGACAGTTCCAGCTACTTTGAGCTAAATACCGAGAATTTCTTTCAAAAAAAGGAGTGAGGTACTTGTAGAATCTTGTGCCTGGTCCCCAGTACCCCAAACACAAAGTAAAACCACCCAAACACATTAAAACATTCTCCACAAAGAGAAAGCTACAATGCATCAAGTATGCAAAGATTTAACTCCCTCTCACCCTGGGGTGGGGCAAGAGTCTTTCACGTGTATTAGTCATGCTCACAGTTTGAAATTAGCTATTATTTTTTTGGACATATTTCCAGATCTCACAGAAAGTCTCATTCTGTGATACCATGCTTAGAAATAATCAGCCTCCTCTAAAGGAGTCTCTTAGTTCTGAGGATTTTCCTTTTGTTTTTATTTTCAGACAGGATTTCTCTATGTATGTCTGACTGTCCTGGAACTCTCTACATACACTAGCTTGGATTGGAATATGCAGAGATCAGCCTGCCTCTGACTCTCCAGTGCTGTGCTTAAAGGTGTGTGTGCAAACGATAGCCTGGCAAGTTTGAGGGTTGAAAAATTCATGAAGCAAGCAGGACAGCGTGGCACATGCCTTTAATCCCAGTACCCCATTGGCAGAAGCAGGCAGATCTCTGAGTTTGATGCTACCCTGGTCTACAGAGCAAAGTTCCATGACAGCTAGGGATACACAGAGAAACTCTGTCTTCAGGAAAAAAAAAAAAAAGGAAAGAAAGAGAGAGAGAGAGAAGAGAGAGGAGAGAGAGAGAGAGAGAGAGAGAGAAGAAAAAAGACCTAAAAAATAAAAAAATGAAATAAAGCCATGAAGCATAGGACGTAGCTCACGTCTATGATCCTAGCACTCGGGAGGTGGAGAATCACCTCAAGCTCATGGACTACATGAGATCCTGTCTCCAGAAAAAGAAAAACAAAAACAAAAAAAGGATTTAAAAATTAAAAAAAAAACCCAGCAATACCGCTTTAATGCAGAGATGACAATAAGGCTTTCCTCAATTCTCAACTCAAAAAGGAAATTCTCAACTCAAAATAGCAAGTTGGTCAAGAACTCACTCAAGTTCTGGACTCTTCCTTTCGAACTCTGGAGTAGCCCTAAACTGTCAGGTGTCTAAGTGGTGATTTCAATGGTAAAGCCTTTTACAGTAGTACTGAACTTGAAATCACCATAAACTAATCTTTCTGGCCTCTCGACTTTAGAGCAATACAAAGTCTTACGGAAGTAGTTTTTATTTTTATGCTTCTCCCCCAACCCACCGTCAAGTTACAAACGAAAACTCTAATGTAACCAATGCCGTTGGTTTTCTCCACTCCTCACTGCAACTTCGTATTCAAACTCTGAATTTACAATTCCTCCACAGCTCTCTCCCACCTTAATCTGTCTTTATAACTTTAAATATTTTTTCTCATACGCTTAAAAAATACAAAGACTATACAGAAGTTTCATCCCTAGGTGAGACTTTCACCCCAAGCCCACAAACTTTTGTCTCAAATTCATCTTTTAAAGGGAGCTGAAGGGAAACACTGGGTGTTAAAAATACAACGAAGAGGAGACAGAAACCCAGCAAGTGAGATGGACACTGAGCCTGGACCCAACGCAGGTCAGCCTGAGCCTCTGCCAGAAAAGGCCAGGTAACATTTTCTCTTGTATAAGTTTCTTTGTCTCTAGGCCTACCAATGAAACCTCCTGCACATCACCAAACTATTGTATTTCACCAGTAGTTAGAATACTTCCCAAAGGAAGCCCTTTCTCAGTCCGTGAATTCTCTTTTAAACAGCTTTCTGACTAGTATCTACGGTTCAATTCCAAGACTACAAACCTCCTTTTCCCGAAGACAAACTTAAGGCAAAAACAAAACAAAAAAACCAGGAATGGATTCTCCGAAGGCTTAGACCTTCCTCGCATTTTTTGAACAGATATCTAAGTTCCCAATAAACAATGAGCCACAAAAGTATAGACTAAACGGGGAAGAGGAAGTATTAGAACAATATCCAAACAGCGCGAAAACCCCACAGTAGCCTCTATCGTCCCAGTTTACCACCCCCAACTTCCTACTTCCACCGAGGACTCATCGATTCCCGCTCCGGTGGAGATTCACGAAGGCAGCAGGCGCTGGCCAGTCGGGGACGGGGTGCTTTCACTGCGTGGTGGAAGGAGGCTAGCCAAGGGCTGGGCAAAGAATGGGAAGCTGGGTGTTATGGGGGAGGGTGGATTTAGGGCGCCAGGGCTAATCCTGGCCAGGGCCCGCGAGTGGAAGGGGCAGCAGGCGAACCTCCCGGAAGGCGAGGCAAGCCGGAGCGCGGGGCTTACGGGTCGCGAGCAGGGGAGGACGCCGGCGGCCCCGCCGGGGGCGGGTGGCGGGCCGCACAAGGAAGGCGGCTCCGGTAGAGCGACTGTTTGGGGTGCGAGAGCTGGCCTTCGCCGCCGCCCGAGACCCCTCCGAGCTCACACCTCAAACCTGCTCTTGGTCACTCCGTTCACGTCCCTCCTCATGGGGCTAGCGGGTGCGGCCCGGGCAGGGCGCTGCGGCGTGCGGAGTGCAAAGACAGGGGCCAGGGCAGGCCCCGGAGTTCCGGGAGCGGGAGGCGGCGGCGGCAAGGCTCGGCTCGCCCTCCCGACGCGGAGGAGAGACTGCTTGAGACCCGCGGGGGCCTCCACCACCGCCCGCGGCGTCTGCGGCCGCGACGACTGCCAGTCTCTAGCTCGGTCCTCTCCAAAGCCTCAACTTCAACCCAAAACAAAAACACTCCCAACCTGCCAGCAACGCCGCTCCTCATTGGGCAGAGCCGCCCGGGCCTCGGAACGCCGGGGGAGGGGGAGGAGCGCTCCGCGGCGGTGGCGCGAGCCCACCCCTCCCCCACCCGGCGCATCCCCGGACCGTGGCGAGAACGTGGGGTGACGGGGCGCGAGCCCACCGGGACAAGGAGAGGCAGGGAAGTGCGGCCCACGTGCGCGCGCGCTTGCGTGTGTGTGTGTGTGTGTACGGTGCACGGTGTACTGTGGGGCGGGCGCGAGTGCGCGCGTGCTCGCGGACCGGCAAGAAGAGCGGAGCAGGAACGGAACATCACCGGATCCCCTCCAGCACTGCGAGGACTCACTGGCACGTACCGGCCCACGCGGAACCTGAGCTTTCAGCCTGGGGTCCCCAGCCCTGATCTGGGCACTTCCCCGGCGGCCTGAGCTGGCGCCCACATCTTTTGGCCACCCAACTCCCGTCCTCTATCACTCACTGTCGCCTTGAACCCAAAGTGCAGCAGGCGGTCCCTGCTCGGAGCCATTTTCCTCCTCTCTCTAGACGTCTCTAGGTTGGGGCAGTGCAGCCGCCGCCGCCGTAGGTGCTGCCGCCGCCTCCCCCGCCCCGGTGAATTGCATTACGGGGTGCTGCAGGGAGGCCTGGGGGGCCGCTGCGGGGCGGATAGCTCTCAGTGCCTGGCTCCAGAAAGCAGGAGTTGGTTGCGCTAAGAGGAGGACCTAGCGCCAGCTCTGCACAGGAGCTGGCAGCGAGGCTACACCTCGGGGTCAGGGGGTGCAATGCCCCAGCCCAGTACCCAGTCCTTGGGCCGGGGGAGGGGCTGGCGTCGATTGGGTGGGGGCGGGCCAGGCACTAGGGCCATTGGCTTCCCCGCCCCTCCGACCGGTGGCGCCCAATGGGCTGCAGTGGCGGCCCACCCTCCAATCAGAGAACTGGTTGGTAAGAGTCTCAGCCTGACGCCATTTCGGCGGGAGAAACAAGCATGTAAGAGCGAGTAGGCGGGGGCGTTTGCCCATAGGAAACTACGATTTTCATTGGATTATCCTCCTAGTATAGAAGCTAGGCTGTCATCCTTTTATGCTAACTTCAGCCTTCAAGACTCCTAAAATCTACGACCTATTTTCCACGAATTATGAAACAACTGAGCGTGAAATTGCGCCTTCAAAGAGAAACATTACAAAATGTATCAAACCTGAAATATTAAACACTATCATAAATCCTAGCCGTCCTGATTAGGCCGCACTACTGCTTCTAACTGTATACTCAAAGCAGTTACGAGTTTGTCCTCAAACCCTTTATAATTAGTTTTAGAGCCAGAAAAAGATGATCGTTTAAAAAGCAAAAGTCTGAACCTTTTAAAAGAACTTAGTTTGTCCCTAAAATAAAACTTCCCTTTTTTTTTTCTTCTGTTTTGAGACTGTTTACATAGCTTCTTCTGGTTGTCTCGAACTCCACTTGCCTCTACCTCCAGTTCTGCCATTAAAGGCATTTGCTACATCTGACTAAACTAACTTTTTTTACCCCTGAAGAGGCATTCCTAAACAAACTAGCTTTAAAAAACTCAGTTCTTGGGCCCACAGAAACCTAGGTCCACATGTGACATTCTCTTTGAATTCCACATGCTTTTAAGCATTTACTTCAGACAGTGAAAAAACATCCAAGTTCAGTGGCATCCAAAAGCTGTTTCTCCCAGCAAGAATTTTGATGAATATTTAACTGCAAGTCAGGAAAAGGTGAGAAAAGATGGCACAGAGACAAGTCTAGTATGGGAAAGCAAAACCAACATCCAGTCTCAACGGTCTACCAACTATGCTGTGGGTCCATTTAGAATAGTACTCAGAGAAGCTGTTGGTTTTTAATTCATTTGGATTTTTTTTTTTTTTTTGGTTTTTTCGAGACAGGGTTTCTCTGTATAGCCCTGGCTGTCCTGGAACTCACTCTGTAGACCAGGCTAGCCTCAAACTCAGAAACCTGCCTGCCTCTGCCTCCCAAGTGCTGGGAGTAAAGGCGTGCGCCACCACTGCCCGGCTAATTTGGATTTTTAAATGTAAATACTTAAAGATTTTATAGTGATGTAATCCCACCAGGTAACCCCAACCTGTAATGTGGTTTAAGTACTGCTTGAGGTCAGGATCATACTGGGCTAGAGACATTGTCTCAAAGATACAAATCACAACAAAAGCCTCTAACCCCAACACTTGGGAAGGGAATGCAGGAAGATAAAGAGTTCAAGGTCAGGTTCCTCAACACAAGTTAGAGGTCTGGCTGGGCTACACATGAAACCTAGTCTCAAAAACCATAGCCCAGCCTGGGCTCCACAGTGAGTTCCAGGCCAGCCAGGTGGCATAGTAAGAATCTGTCTTAAAAAAACAAAACAACAAACACAACACCCAGAGGCACATTTCTTTTTATCAAAGAAATTTATTTGTATGTAAAGAAAGTTTTATTTTTGTGTTGTTTTAGGGGGAAAATCCCACAGATTTAGTCCACTTTCAAAAAATGAAAAAAATATTTACAGAAAAGCCATACACACAGAAAAACAAATTAGAAATGCCTTTAAGAAAACACCCTTCCCACTGCTCCTGATGTACATTTTTAAACTCAAAATTTAAATCTCAGCTCTATAGTTGAATATTTTCCCAACCTAGTTTCTAAGATAATACTTCCTGTCCCTCCAAAACTTAACTCCAAGACAAATAATTGGGGGACAGGGCTAAAGATGAAGATAAAATAGAACACTAGATTACCCAGGGATTGTTTGTGTTTTCTATACTGACATCTGTTGTGACCAATGAGGACACTATATGACTCACTGGCTCTTCTGAAAATTCATGATATATTGCTGTTACAGATTTTCAGGCCTTGGCCCCACAAAAGGAAAATCCAATTCAAGAGTTATCAACCTCAAGCTGGCTTTGGCAATTACATCAGGTCCCCTTCTTCACCTTGAAAACATCTGCTTTAAGAAACACCAAAATATTCTTGTACATCAGAGCAGATTTTGTCCAAAGACCCTTAACATGAAGCCCCAAGACAGAAGAATCATGTCAAACTAAAAATACATAAAACTCCAGCAGCAGCAAATAGGTAGAAGTTGACTTCATGTCCTTGCCGTCTTTTCAAACAGGAGAATGAGTACACCTGGATGGGAGGGAGGTGTCCCAGGCTCGGTTTATTCTGCCTCTTCTCCTCCACCCTGTGGAGAAATGCAGTGCTCCCTGGTTCCCAGGCAGGGTGAAGCAGTTTAGCCCCGGCTCCCTGTTAAGCAAGTTCAGATGCTGGGTCATTGTGTGGGGTGTGCCCATCAGCAATTCAGGGGCTTATCCTTCATCCAGATCCTAACTCGGGATTCTTTGATCTGGGATGAAGACAGAAAGAGAGAAAAAGCTTCCCAGTTTACTCATTTTGGTATTTGTTGACTCTGGTTGGGGGGCCTGAGCCCCTTATACTATGCAGTACATTTCCCCATGAGATTGTCCCCACCCAGAACAAAATGAAACCCCATATAACTTTCCTGCAGAAACTAAGAGGATAGGATTCAGAACCAGGTGGCAAATTTCTGAGAAATCCAACCTGGCTTTATCTGAGACACCGCACGGCTACTATGTCAGCACCACAAGAGAAAGCACTCCACTACACCCTGCCCACGTCCTCGAGAGTGTCACCCAAGACACCAGGCTCTGATAAGGGAACAGATAACTTTTCTTGCTCCACTTTCCAATATTTTGTTTCCTATTTATTGCCTTGGGACACAGAAATGGTAGAGTTGTTGAGAACCAATGACCAAAAAAGGGAGAACACCAAAAAAATGAGAAATAGGAAAGAAAGCCACAGCAGATTTTCCAAGTCTATACTAACTCCAACCTGCAGAGTTGGATGTAGAAACCGTCCATATCTGATGAAGTCACTCCACTTATAACACACACAAACATGAATCACCTGGCTTTTTTTTTTTTTTTTTCCGTTTTGTAATCCACAAGAGTTGTGCTGGGGATGATGCCCCACCCCGCTGATACAGATCCTGAATGGAATCATCAGGAATGGCACAGTGCAGGTGGTGAAATCAAAGTAAGGCCGCGGATTTTTGAGAGGACCCTCCAAATACTGAGAACTTCTGTTGCACTCAAAATGGTCTCCTGCATTTCTCTATTTATGAGGTCTTCCTTTGATGTCCCTCAGAATCCAGACTCGGACCTGTTTCTCCAAAAGGTCCGAGTGTGTGCTACACAGTAGCAAGGGTATCTTCATGCTCACTTAGTATTCCAGGCCCTACTCACTTCAAGTGAGCTTGAAATTGTTTTAAGTGAACTATGGCTGCATCTTTTTTAAAAACTGTTTATCTCGGGGAGCATACAGTGGAGTGATTTAAGTCTGAACTCCTTCTTCTTGTGATGAAGAGAAACAAAGAGTCCAGCTCTTAGGAATGGCATCAGCTCTCCTGCAAACAAAATGCTGGGATGTAGACTTTTGGCACATTGTGGAACTAGGAGAACTATTAATTCTATACTGGTTTTTATACAATAGGGTATAGACTCTGAAAACATATGTATACCCCCAAAAGCCACCCTTCCTTTTTAATGAAAGAAGATAAACCTTTTATCTGCATAGGGAGGTAACTCACTCTTAATATTCCTATGGTGTCTGAACCCTGTGAAAAACCTCCAAAGATAATAGTTTTGGTTTTTCTATTCAACTTCAAAGGCAGGGTGTGATTAGCTCTGTGGGCTTTGTGCTGCAGCATCAACACAAGCTGCAAGCTCCCCCCGCCAGACACACCTTGCTACCTGTCTCCTATTGTTCTGAACCATAACCTTCATAGATTTAAGAACAAACATTGCATAAAAACAAACATCAAGGATTAAAATATTACAAATAAATAGCTAAAATAATTTCCCCTCCCCCAATCACTCCTAAGAAAGAGACACCAAACATTGCTTTAAGTGTCCAGAACTGCCACGGTCCTTCCCTTGCCCATGCTTCCCACAGGCAACTCCCAAAGGTGAACCGCCTTCATGCCAACGCATCAAGGAATGTATTGCTTTTTCATTTTCTGCCCAGCCCTTCAAATACATGCACTAAAATGGGTTTAAAGCATGTCCTGAAAATGGAAAAAGGGAGAAAAATATATATGAATATTTCCCACAACAGTTTCCCACCCTCCCTTTCTACACCCCTTCCCACCACCCCTCTCCCTTTCTTAAGCAAGTATTTTATTCATTGCTTTCTGGCAAGAAATATAACTTGTTTGTGAACAACCAACCACATGGTTTGGGTAGCAGGGTCTAGACATGTGTTTGTAAGTGTACCCAGCTTGGTTTGGAGGCCACGCCCTTTAGGATTCTGAAGCACAGACTGGGCCTATCTAACTCACCCCTCGTGCTGGTTTACATAGGTCATTACTTTTGTCTCTGGACATGTCTGTTTAGAAAGTAAGGTTAATTGCCAATCAGGGCCACATCCATAAGATCATCATCTTCCTCCCCAATCATAAAGTCAGGGCTGAGCCTGGAAGGCCTGTCTGAGGATAAGATAGGGTTATTTGTCATAGATGAAGTCTGATCTGAAGAAATGGGAGATTTAGACCAATTCTCTGGCTTGATGCTGTGAGACTTTTTCTTGTCTCTGTCTTTGTCCCTGTCCCGGTCTCTATCTTTGTCTTTGACTTTCTTCTTTTCCTTTTTGTGCTTCTTATGCTTCTCTGTGCTGTATTCTGGAAGTGGTCGGATACCATCATCTGAGCTGGGACTGTTCTGGTAGGACCTCTCTGCTATGGAGGAGCCTGACTCACTTTCACTGTCCACATTCTGGGGTGTATATGCTGGCGACTTACTGTGGCTGGGAGAACCCCGTTCATGCTTTGGAGTGGAACCACTGATCAGTGGAGAGCCATAGTTCTTTGAAGAGGCTATCTGTGGCCTGAGCCCTTCTCCACCACTTTCTCCAGGTTTCTGTAGTGTCACCTTGGCTTTGATGCTCGGGGAGCCTCCGTCATGCTTGCTGATAATTATTTTTGCCACACCCGTGCTCCCCACATTTTTTGACTCTGAAGTCTTCTTAGAGGAATCCACTGATCCTCCAGAAGTAGAAACCTTTGATTTGTCTTTATCGCTTTTCTCACGTTTGCTCTGGAATTCCCCTCCAGCCATGTTATGTTTGGAGGACATGGGATGGTTAGAGGAATTTGTGTTTATGCCCATTTGACTGTCTATTGGATCCTCACCCCCAGGCCCACTGGTAACCACCCCATGCTTCAATTTATCTATGACAGCTGTCAAGGAAGGCTTCTTATTCCTACTGGGAGATTTCCCTTTGGAACTCCCATGTTGATTCTGAGAGGATGACATGGAAGAACCACTTGAGGAAAATGAAGAGGAAGATGGTGTACAAGAATTAGATGCTGGGGGAGTTTTTTGAGACAATGAGCCTGAGGATCCTGACCCTGAAGATGACTTCATACCAGAGCTTGAACTAGTTCCTGACATATGAGAACCACTAGAACCTGAACTGATAGGGGACTTGGCTTTAGAGGATGGGGGTGTCCCAGGAACAGGCTTCATTGGGGAGGCAAGCTTATCTGAGCCTCCAGGAGGCCTTGAATGGGAAGGGGATATGTTTGGTTTACTTATGGAAGGATTCATAAGTGAGGATGGCTTGCCTTGAGGTTTCATCTTGGTGCTGCTAGACCCACTGCTCAATCCATGTTTCGTAATGGGAGAGGAGCCTGGCTTCCCCCCAGTCTGAGAGGAGTTTTTGGACTGGCTGGATCCAGAAGACCCTTGGCTAGAATACATACTGCCACTGAGCTTGGAACTTGATGAGCCTTCTGATTTACTGCTTTTCATCTTGCCTGAGGTGGAAGCAGAAGACAAGGAAGAGGAGGAGGAAGAATGACTGTGGTGGCTTTTGCCGCCAGAGGAAGACACAGAACCACTACTAGTATACTGACTGTGAGAGGAAGGCTTGCCCACCATCACGGTCCCTTTAGGAATCTGAATGGTGATCTTGGGAATGGGTGGTGTGGCGACACCTGGAGGCGTCTGAGACCTTCCTGAACTGCCCGGGGATTTGGACCCACCTGTACTGGTAGGTGGGGTGAAAGGTCTATTAGAAGAACTATGAGATGGGGATTTTCCCTCAGTGTCTGCCTTCTTCCTCTTTGGAGGCTTATCTTTGCTCTTCCCATCATTGGAAGGAGTGCGGCTGCGCTTGCCTGGCTTGCTGTCTGAGCCTGGGCCTGATCCACTGCTAGCGCCTGTGCCATTGCCTTCCTTTACCCTCTTTTGAGTTTTTTCTTTCCCTAATTCTCCGGTGGTCAGTAATGGACTCTGACTACCACTGTGATGCTCCATTAGATCTGCAGCACCCAAAGCCTTACCAGCTACTGATATAATACTGAAGTCAACTGTGTCAGCTTGGCTGCTGCCCTTAAATTTTGACTCCCCACTGTCACCTCCAAGCATTGGCATCCCCAAAGTATTTAGTGCCTGAGAAGCAAATCCTTTGAAATCATCATTATCCCCACTCTGACTACTTTCATCAAAATACTCTTCTCCAAAACCACTTTGGCTTTGGCTGTTCAACAAATCAGGATTGAAATCTACTCCATCAGAGAAAAAATGATTGGTAGGAGAATCACTACTGGGGCTTCCAGCAGCATCTGCAATAAGCTCAGCTGGATCTGTGTATGTATTTTCATTATTATTAGTTTGAAAGACATCAGAATCAAAGAGGGCACTCTGAGAATGCCCAGAACTTGAGGAATCTCGAACAGGAGTGCCAATGGGTGGGCAATCATCACTAGTACTGGGAAGCTTTGAAGCTTCTTCTGCAATATCTGAAAGAATATCAGTTACATCTGGGCCAATGCTGTCTGAACTGGATAGTCGGACCATCCTTTGAATACTGGGCTGGGGATGAGATACTGGCTGTGAGTAAGTTGTTGGGGGAGTACTACACTGGCTTGGAGCTGGGGTGATATGAGGTGTATCCAGCGCATCAGCTGTAATGCTGACATCAAACATAGGGTTCTGTGAGTCGACATCCATCGAAAAGAGTTCCCTCTGGAAATCGTCTTCCGTCTGGTGCTTGGGTTTGTCAGGTGGCACTCTTGATGACTTCTTCTTCTTGGTCTTGTTGCTCCCCGAGCATATTTCCATCCGGGGTGATCCGGAAGAGGAGTTCTGCCTTTCTAAAGGGCTGCTTCCATAAAGGGTTGAGAAATCTTGGGCAGGGTTATCTTTAAGAAGGTTCATGAGCATCGGGTGGTTCTTGGTGTTGCCGGCCATCGAAGAGACAGGTGGCGGCGTGTGATGAGGAGGGGTCGGACTCGAGCCAATGGTAGACCCCCCGTTCCCTGTGATTTGCAACAAACTGGTAAGAATTGGGTTCTGAGACACCTTGCTGAAGTCCTCCCCATGGCCCACCGACTCATGCCGATCTTTGATGCTCATGCTCATATTAAACAAGGTGGTAATGGGACCCCCCGGAAAGGTGTTGGTTGGTGTAGTGGTACCACTCATTGGGTTGTTGCCTGTGGTCATGCCATACCCTGGGCTGCTAGCCGGGGGCAGGTTCTTTTTCACCATGTCTTCAACTGTCTCTGCAATGAGAGACAGTGCTGGAGTGTCAGCCTGTATGGTTTCAGCCTTCCTCCGAATAGCCCTCATCGTCACAGGGATGGACATACATCTGTAAGATAGGAGAAAAAACCCAAGTCAACCCAGCATTGGTGATGAATAAAATCACCAATCACTTGGAACAAAAGGCTCTACTTTTGCCTGTGATTTAGATAAGTCTCAGAAGACAGCAGTTAGAAATTTTCACATAAAGTGAGTAATCTGTCAGACAAAAGTAATTTATCAAATGCCAAATTGTTGGATACATTGATTCTAAAAAGAATTGTGATCCAACAGGAAATTAACTGCTTATGAAACACACACTAAAACCAAACCAGAGTTCAAAACCAATTTACACATTTTGTAAAATAAAGTCCTCAGGCACAGGTGGCACAGGAACTGTGAGTTCAAGGTCAGTCTGGACTACAACAGCCAGACCCTGTCTGAGAAATGAAAACCATGGAGGAAACTAGGGAAGGAAAAGTTGTGATAATTAAACTCAGAAAGAAGTATCTTCCTTTTGGAGGGGCTCCACGGAGTCACAGGTGAGAATGTGAAACCACTAAAGACAATGGCAATAGAAAAGCCACTCTGTGCAAAGTCCTGTTACTGTTATGCAGTACTAGTTTTCTTAACGCAGACTACTTCTGGGTAAGTTTAGATTATCAACACACTTTTAAAAACATTTTGCTTTACTATGTGTATCAGCAAATTTTATCCTAAGCCAAACACTGAGATTTTGGGCAGTGTAACTGTTTGACAGTTTTGCTTGAAAGGTGCTGGAGATACGTAAAATGAACAGCAGTGTCCCAATAAAAGTTAATCAGAATCTCTTATCTATTTTGAGGCTGAGGACGGAGCTCAGTTATTACAGTGCTTGCCTGCCAGGCACACAGCCCTGAGTTTCCTCCCCAGCACCAAATAAACCAGGTAGAGTAGCTTATGCCTCTGAGGAAAGCGCTCATGAATAGAAGGCAGGATGATTGGAAATTGAAGGTCAGCCTTAATTACATTATCAAGGCCAGCTTGGAATACACAAGGCCCTATCTCAAAACTTCAATAAAGGGCCTGTCCTGCAGAGCCAAAGCTGTAGGATCTCCATGACACAGGGCGACAACAGGCGATCTGAGGGGAGTCCCAGTGAGGATCCAGTATTGATAGGGAAGCAGAAGCCAGAGGCCTCAAACCAGACGAAAGACTCACTGCAATGACCATTTGTAAGTAAAGCTCTTTTGAGCATAGCCCAGAAAACACTGTGACACACTACAGCTTTCAAAAAAAGCCTTTTTGTTTTCTTTTGGGGAGGAGGTTACAAAGGCCGAGTGCAGACATGGAGGGCTGGGGAGATGACTGGGACTAAGGTGCAGGATCTGAAATCTACAAAAAATAAATAAATAAACAAAAATCTCTTTTTAAAAATAGGCTGTAAGTCCCCTACTTTAGAAGAAAAATTTTCAGAATTACACATTGTTTCCAGGAAGCTGGTCGGTTTAAATGTTAACTTCCCCCACACTGCTATATAACATGGCATATGTGAAAGAAGAAGATAGGACTGGAGAGATGGCTCAGAGGTTAAGAGCACTGACTGCACTTCTAGAGGTCCTTAGTTCAATTCCCAGCGACCACATGGTGGCTCACAACCATCTGTAATGGGATCCGATGCCCTCTTCTGGTGTGTCTGATAACAGCTACAGCATACTCATATAAATAAATAAACATGTAAAAAAAATCAAATATTAAAAAAAAAAAAGAGGATAGGTTAAAGAAAAAAATACTAATAATATTTATGCAATGACGATGCCCACCCTTTAATTAGCATAAGACAAAGGAAGGACAATCTATCTCTAAAATTCAAGGCCCACTTGGTCTAAATAGTGGAGGCAACAGTGAGGGCGTGTCTTTACAAAAAAGAAAGTGCATTTTTCAGCTCTCAATCACCTTAAATGTATAGCAAAGCTTGAAATGACCAGCTTTATCCCTATTGTGTATACAGTAATACTTAAATAGTAAACAAACAAAATTTATATTTTTTTAAAACTCAAAGTATAAAAGTAGTAAATGAATGTTTCTCTAATAGTTTTAATTCATGTTAAAAATAAAAATATATATCCAGGAATCATGAGGATGCACATTTTTAATCCCAGCACTCAAGAAGCAGAGGCAGGCAGATCTGAGTTCAAAGGCAGACTGGTGTATACAGAGTTCCAGAACAACCTGTCTTGACAAATAAACAAACAACTGCATGCACAGTTTGTAAAATCTTAGTGGAATTCTTATGAGAAAAGGGCCACTACTACCTTTGAACAACTTTGGCAATGAAGTCATCTGTACAGATTAGTGCATCTGACAGCCCCTTGTAGAGTTTACAGCTCACATGTGTTGAGTCTTGCACATCCATCACCACTGAAAGACAAAATGTAGGAGTGATCCTTGTGATATATCCAAGTTCTCAATCTTTTTAGAAAAGATACACCCCAAGAGAGACGTCTGCCACCCACACAACTCACCACACACAAGGGAGTCATTCACAGGGTGCTGAAAAGACACACTGAATCGAGATTCTGACAGAGGACACACTTCAAACTGGAGGAGCCCAGGAGAATCTAAAGAATAAGGAAAAATCATAACCATATTTAAGACATTAAACAGACAAATAATTGTCTTTATATAGTCAGTGACATATCCAGTTGACTACCAGGCATGCACAAGGTACACATACATACAGGTAGGCAAAACATTCATGCATATAAAATAATTAAAACATAAAAAACTTAACAAAAAATTAGTAAATATATTACATTGAGAGTGAATTCTGAAACCAAAAATGGCCAAGCATTTTGTTTCATTTTGTAACTTTATGACACAGCCTTGTTGTGTAGCTCAGGCTAGACTTGAACCCACAATCCTGTCTCAGCCTCTCTAAGACTGAGATACAGGTACTCATAATCATGCCCAGCTCTCAGTTAGTGTTTTCGTTCCACTTGACAAGTAGCCATATCCAGTACTGTTACCATAGAACTTGCTTTGTTAGGTTGGTCTGGTTGGTTTCTGAGACAGGTTTCCCCCTGCAGTCCTGGCTGACCCCAATTGTCTGTCCAGATCTACCTGCCTCTGCCTCCTAGTGCTGGCATTCAATCACACACAACATTAGCCTCAATAAAACCTACTTTCTTTTTTGTTTGTTTTTCTAGGCAAGGTTTCTCCGTGTAGCCTGTCCTGGAAATCACTCTGTAAACCAGGCTGGACTCAGTATCATAGAGCTCCACCTGCCTCTTCCAACATCTCTGAGGTTCAGACCAGCCTAGTCTACATAGCAAGTTCTGCTTAACCAGGAATACGAAGTAAGATCCTGTCACAAAAACAAACAAACAAACAAACAAACAAACAAACAAACAAACAATAACTTTTGCCGGGCGGTGGTGGTGCACGCCTTTAGTCCCAGCACTTGGGAGGCAAAGGCAGGTGGATTTCTGAGTTCGAGGCCAGTCTGGTCTATAGAGTAAGTTCCAGGACAGCCAGGGATACACAGAGAAACCCTGTCTCAAAAAACTGGAAAAAAACCAACCAAACAAAACAAAAACATACACTGAGATCAGATACATATACATACAATACATGCATTACAGATTTGTTTTGGATATTGTTTTAGACTTGCTTTGCTTTGTTTTTTTTGTAGAGCTAACCACTGAACCCATGGCCTCACCAGTGGTAGGCAAGAACTGTACCTACATCCTATACAACTTTAGCCTGCTTATTTGTTTTGTTTGTTTGTTTTCAGAAAGGGTCTCTCTGTGTAGCTCAAACTTCCACCTACCTCTGCTTCCAAATACTGGGATTAAAGGCATGCATAACCACACCAGATTCCACACCAAGCAATCTGGTTCTTTTTTTTTTTTTTTTAATAAATGTATTTGGAAATTTACCAAACAGTCTGGTGGCACAGGCACAAATACCCACACATACATCACACAGGCAAGTTTTTTTTCCTTCTAATTCTCTCCCTCTTTTTTTCTCTTTCTTTCTTTCTTTCTTTTTTTTTTTTTTTTTGAGACAGGGTTTCTCTGTATAGCCCTGGCTGTCCTGGAACTCACTCTATAGACCAGGCTAGCCTCAAACTCAGAAGTCCGCCTGCCTCTGCCTCCCAAGTGCTGGGATTAAAGGCGTGCAGCACCACTGCCCGGCTTCTAATTCTCATTTTTAAAACTTTTCAAAAAGATTTTTTAATTATTTTATATATTTGAGTACACTGTAGCTGTCTTCAGACACAACAGAAGAGGGTGTTAGATCCCATTACAGATAGTTGTGAACTACCATGTGGGTGCTGGGAATTGAACTCAGGACCTCTGAAAGAGCAGCCAGTGTTCTTAACCACTGAGCCATCTCTCCAGCCTGAAGAAAAGGAGTTTTAAGAGCAGCTTTACCTGAATATTCACTCAGTTATCTAGGGGTAGCTGAGAGCCTATCTCAAAACAGTATTTCTAAAGCAGTTTTGTGGATTTATATTCTGTTTCTTGTTGGCTGCAACTTCCGCTGTTACATATTTAACATTAAATAACCATCACAAAAATGCTATATGACCAATGTAGAAAATTAATTGATCAATGTGAGCAGCCAAAATTTGCATCAAAGATTCAAGTACCAATTGTCTTTTAAAAACCATTCTTTTAGAATCCAGACAGAAAAAGGGCCATAGGTCTTAAGACTTTTAAAGATATATGACAAAGTGCTATAAAGAATGGGGTGGGGTGGCATGGTATTTTAAGGACTACATCTACCACACATAACAACCTAAACTTTAATATTTAGAAAACATCTATCTCAGTGCATTAGGATAGAAAAATAAAGACACACTTCCTAGTTATGGTACTATTTAGAAGACTTGAACAGGCATAGCAGTGTAGACCTTAATGTTAACATATGAGATGGCTCAGTGGTTAAGAGCACTGACTGCTTTTCCCGGAGGTCATAAGTTCAAATCCTAGCAACCACATCGTGGCTCACAACCATCTGTAATGAAACCTGATGCCCTCTTATGGGGTGTCTGAAGACAGCTACAGTGTACTTACACATAATAAATAAACCTTTGGGCTGGAGCGAGCGGGAGAATGGAGGGGGTGGGCAGAGGGGAACATATGAGAGGCTGAAGCAGGAGGATCACCTCAAATTCAAGACTAGCCTGTAAAACAATGACTAGCCTGGCCTACAAAATGAGCCATCTTCAAGAATAAAAACAGGGGGGCTGGAGAGATGGCTCAGTGGTTAAGAGCACTGATTGCTCTTCCAGAGGTCCTGAGTTCAATTCCCAGCAACCACATGGTGGCTCACAACCATCTGTAATGGGATCTGATGCCCTCTTCTGGTGTTTCTGATCATAGCAACTGTGTACTCACATTCATAAAATAAATCAATCTTTAAAAAAAAAAAAAAAAAAAGAATAAAAACAGGTCAATAGACTCTGTTAAGTCTCACAGACAATCTTACAGATGGATATCTATCAGCAGAAGTTTCAGGCAACAAGAAACAGAATGTAAATCCAAAGTCCTGTCTTAGACACACACACAGACACACACCAGTGATAATGGTTTTTACAATAAATGCCAATTATAACAAATTAGTTCCATCAAAAGTAATTTGTGGTGACTAAACCAAATTTCCGATTGTGATTGTTTTGTTTACAATGGCATTATAATTCTTTTGATCTGGGTGTGGAATCAAACACCTGTAGTCTTTAAAGCTCTATGGGTATTTCAATGAACTACCAAAGCAAGAGGCATCGGAGAAGTCAGCATCAACCTTCCAGTAAGTTTATCAAAAGGAACTCGAGTACCTTCTTTTAGAATAGTTCTTTTGACACAGCTTCCAATCAGGGTGTTATAGGCCACTTGGTGTCTGATCATATTCAAGATAAGAGGAACTCGGCCCGGGTGCTGGAAGGTGATTTTGCTGACCAGCGTTCCCTGGAGGCTTTGGCCATCAGGAAGAGGAGCATCTTTATTGAGAAAATAGCAGTGCTGCTGACCTGGAAGAGCCTAGGCAAAAAGAGGAATGCATGTGAATGGTATTTACTTACCAGTGTACCAAGTCACAAACTATCCAGGAGGGAGTAGGAGGAACACCAGCCTGGGTTACATGAGAATCTGTGTAGAGAGAAGGAAGTAGACAGGAAAGAATGCTTCTTGGTTATCAGCCACTTGCTGCTCTTCCAGAAGACCTAGGTTCAGTTCCCAGCACCCACGTGGCCTCTCACAGATGTCTATAGCTCTCACCTAGGTGATCTGCTTACTTCTCGGGCACCAGGCACACAGGTCACGCATATACTTACATACAGGCAAAACCCTGACGCACATAAATTAAATACATATACTTCTTTCTTTTTTTGGGGGGTGGGGGGTTGGTTTTTCAAGACAGGTTTTCTCTGTGTAGCCCTGGCTGTCCTGGAACTCACTCTGTAGACCAGGCTGGCCTTGAACTCAGAAATCCGCCTGCCTCTGCCTCCCAAGTGCTGGGATTAAAGGCATGCGCCACCACCGCCCGGCATATGGTTGTTTCTTAACTCAAAAGCACATTCTCTTTGGCTTTAGTATGTTTATGATGACTTTTTTTGCCCAACTAAGGATGATTTAGCAATCTATCAGGCCTCACTAGTGCTACAAAGAACCAACATTGTTGCAAATCCACAGGGCCTACTTACAGCGTAAAATCGCATGTTGTGATTCAAAGGTAAAGGGTCAGGATCCTTTGACAGCTCAAACTGAGTGATGAGTTCATAGAGAGGCAGGTAAGTGGGCGGAGTCTCAAACAACGGGATTCCTGAAAATACAAGGACTCATCGATAATGCTCACATGAAGATCAAAATATGACAGCTCCACTGTCCTCTCCTGCTCTTTCTTTTCTTTTAAAGATTTATTTATTTATTTTATTGATGAGTACACTGTAGCTGTCTTCAGACACACCAGAAGAGGGCATCCAATCTCATTAAGGATGGTTGTGAGCCACCATGTGGTTGCTGGGATTTGAACTCAGGACCTCTGGAAGAGCAGTCACTGCTCTTAACCGCTGAGCCATCTCTCCAGCCCTCTCCTGCTCTTTCTATACATCCGCCACATATCAATCATCCTTACAGAGCATTAGTACTAACTACTAGTACTAACTACTAGTACTTTCCTAACATCTGTACTCAGCAGTACTTCTTTGAGGCCCAAGGATGGTTAAGTTGTTTAAGATAATCTGAAGTTTTCCATTCTTGTTTTATCAAGTTTTATCTCAACAGGTAAAACCTACCTTTATTATAGTCTGGCCAACATTTTAAAAAACAGAGCTTACCTGTGCAATTTTGCAGTTTCTGAACAAATGCTTTAGATACTGGGATTGGCTGGGGAAATTTCAAGAAGAAACAGGCAGGAAGATCAACACTGTTGGCACTAGTGACTGCGGAGAAAGAAGGAGTCCTTCAAAAAAAAAAAAAAAAGAAGAGGGGGAAATTTTCTATTTTGAAAACTATGAACACTTTTTCTTAGACATGTATATATTACATAGACCCACAAAGTCTATCAAAAGCTTACTTTTCTACTATCCTTATCACAATTTCAAAATATATTATCTTGTTAATTCTTAAGTATTTAATAAAACATGTATAATGGGGCTCAGAGCCTAGCTCAGTGTGAGAGTATATGCTTCTTATTTGTAGCCCTGAGTTCAAAAACCAATACAAAACTAATTTATTCAGAGCAAAGAATGTGGTCTATAGGGAGTATTGACATAGCTTGGTGGCTAATAATGATGCTACCTGGTATTCTAAATGACTCGTATTCAATTCCCAGCGCCCACGTGGCAGCTTATACCATCTGTAACTCTAGCCCCAGGGGACCTGATGGCCTGCAAGGGCACTAGGAACAAAGATGGTGCAAAGATCCACACGCAGGCAAAACACACATACAGAATAAAAAACATTAAACTGATTAAACACAAATGTGTACACTGTGTGTTCTCTGGGAAGGTCTCGAGTAGACACATCCAGTAAGGACAGGAGTGAAGTCCGTGCATGGAAGCAAAAGACGATGCCTGAACATCCCAGAAAGATAAAAGCAAATAAAACACGGTTCACACTGGGCTTGGAGGTAAAAAAAACAGATGTTGTAACTTTAAAACTATCTTTATCTTACCATTTGTTGTCAGCTGGGTGTGACCCCATAATTAATGGGGCAATTGGGAGTTTGTACATAGTAGAGGTTCCTTCAATTGTCACCGAGACATTCATTCCCAAAGACCGAGGAACTGGGAATAGAAAAAGAAAAAAGATTTTCTACCTCATAACTAGGAGAAGGATCTCGGCACTAAAAAGACAGGAATGGTGGGCATGTGTGCAAACACAGCATTCTGCAGAATGAGAAAGGAAAATGGATCCAAGTTAGAGACCTGCCTGAGCTACAAGGTTAGACCCAGTCTCAAAAACAGAACAAAGCACAAGGAAAAAAAAAAAAAGCCGCTGGGCAGTGGTGGCACACACCTTTAATCCCAGCACTTGGGAGGCAGAGGCAGGCAGATTTCTGAGTTCGAGGCCAGCCTGGTCTACAGAGTGAGTTCCAGGACAGCCAGGGCTACACAGAGAAACCCTGTCTCAAATAACCAAAAAAAAAAAAAACAACAAAAAAACAAAACAAAAACAAAAACAAAAAAAAGCCAGGCATCATATAAGCAGGGGCTACAGATTAAGTCTGAGGCCAGCCTGAGGAAAAAGACATTATTTTTCAAAAGAATGGAAACAACAACCACCAACGGCTAACATGCAGAAGAAACCACTGCAGTGTCAGTCACTATGAATCTAGATACTCTAATCCCACAAAATTCACAAATGCTATAAGTTTGGGCTTAGTGGTTAAAAAGCACTGGCTGCTCTTCCAGATGACCCGGGTTCAATTCCTAGCACCCACATGGCAGATCACAGCTGTCTGCAACTCCAGTTCTGGGGCTTACACAGACATACATGCAAGTAAAACACCAATGCAAGTGAAATAAATATAAAGAAAAGAGAAAAAAGAAAAGAAAGCAGGTTGAGTAAGCCCTAAGGAGCAAGCCAGCAAGCACTTCTCCGTGGCCTCTGCATCAGTTCCTGCCCAGAGGGGGAAAGGGGGAGAAAAAAGCTACAAGCTACCTTTCCCCAACATTCAATATCTCTTCCTGCTAATGATTAAAGAGCTCATTATCAACATTTACTTTCACTCACAACTTCACGATGTCTTAAGTGAGCTTACACTTGCAGGACAATGACTGAAGATATACAGAGATCAAATAAAGCACTGGGCTAGTGCGTCTGTTCTCTTGCTGTATCAGTCAGACACAAGCAGGGGTGCTGGTGTGCACCCAGGAACCAAGACGAACAGAAGTCCCAAGTTCACCCTTGGTTATATAACAAGTCTGAGACCAGTTCACTCTGCCTCCCCACACCACCCCCAGCTGTGGCCATATGACATTTCTGTCTCAAAAATACCAAAAGCAAAAAAGTGAAAATAGCAAATGTCATTCATTACTGCAGTTAAGTCACAGTTAGTTAGTTAGTTTTGTTTGATCACTGAGAGAGTTAAGTTGGCCTTCAACTCAGGTTTTCCTGCACGCCCAACCTCAGTGCTTATATACTGAAATGTCCCACCAAGCCCAGCCTTCTTCCCCTTTAAAGAAATAAGGAAAGCTGGTTACTTTGTCAGTAATCTATATTTTATCACTAACTCATTTACTTACTTAGTTACTATTATATATTCGCTTGGGTGCTTAAGTACATATACATGTATATATGTGAGATATATATCAGTATATCAGGTATACATACATAAAGACAGCAAATTAAGAAAGACCATATTATATAAATACTAGTAGGGGAGGCTGGGCATTTGAATTTTACCAATATTTTTAACACATCAGGGAAAGGAGAGCATAGTGGTATACGCTGTAACTCCAGAGCCTGGGAGGTGGAGGTCATTCAGATAGGAATGAGAGTTCACACCTATGGTCTCAGTTCTTGGAAGGTAAGTCTGACAATCACCCTGCATTACATAGTGAGTTCCAGGACAGCCTAAGTTACAGAAAGAGATCAGTCTAAAAGTACTTGAAACAACAAACACTTACCATTCTTTTCATGCAAAATGATAGGAGAGGCAGTCTTATCATCCAGCAGATCAGACGGAGAAGCATAGTATTTCATATTCATTAAATGACCTACCATAAATGAAAGTTATTAACTAAGGCATCTTTATTACTAAATTATATACTTTAAAAAAGCATTCATAGTATTTGTGGTGGCACTCACCTATAAAGAAACCTTATCTCAAACTAACAAGGAAAGACTGGGGATAGCTCGGGGAAGAGTGATTACCTATCTTATGAAAAGCCCTAGGTTCAATTAAATCCTTAATACTTTTCAAAACACACACACACATACACTCCTACACCTACACACACCTACACACACCTACACACACCTACACACACACACACACACACACACACACACACGCACACACACACGCACGCACACACGCACGCACACACATACACAAATGCTGAGTGTGGTAGCTCACACTAGCCAGGGTTTGCAAGAAGTATGCCAGGCTGTGCTATACAGTGAGTTTGAGACCCACTTCGAAGACCCTAATTCAATCCTTTTAAAGAGAGGGGGGTAGAAATGTAATTCAGCTGACAGAGTATTCACCTCGAATACCTGAGGCCCTGAGTTTGATCCCCAGCACTGTATAAAAGCATAAAATCCATAATCTGGGGCTTGAGAGAAGGTTCAGCAACTAAGAGCACTGGCCATTCTCCCAGGGAATACAAGTTCAACTCCTAGTACCCATATGGTGGCTCACAACAATCTATAATTCAAATTCCAGGGAATCCAATGCCCTCCTCTGTGTGGAGGCACAGGCACAGCACACATAGACATATCTGTATAGGCAAAATACCCATGAATGTAAAATAAATTTTAAAACAGAAAGGGTAGAATGATAAATCAGGATCAACATCAGATACAAGAAACTTTGCCTTTAAAAAACAAACACAGGGCTGGAGAGATGGTTCAGTGGATAAGAGCACTGACTGCTCTTCCAGAGGTCCTGAATTCAATTCCCAGAAACCACATGGTGGCTCACAACCAACTGTAATAGGATCTGATGCCCTCTTCTGGTGTGTCTGAGGAGAGCAACAGTATACTCATATACATAAAACATATAAATAAATTTAAAACAAAACAAACAAACACATTTTGCTGGGCATGGTGGCACACACCTTTAATCCTGGCACTCAGTACTCAGGAGGCAGAGGCAAGCAGATCTTTGTGAGTTCAAGGCCAGCCTAGTCTACAAAGTAAGTTCCAGGACAGCTAAAACTATCTAGAAAAAAAAAATAATAAATTTCATAAACTTACACCCGCTAACATGCTAACACACACACACACACACACACAGATTCTATACAGTCAGTGATAGTTTAGCAGATAAGAACACTTGTCACCAAGTCTGACTACATGATTTCCTGAGGACCTTTTATGCTAGGACAGAACTGACTCTAACCTCCACATACTTAAAAGGACACACACTAAGAAAGAAGGTAAATGTAATAAAATTAAAGACAAAGAGTTGCACAAATGTGCAAAGTCATGCCCTAAATAAGCTTATGAAATATGACAAAAGATTATTGATTCTGGGAACAACAATAAATTTCACACACACACACACACACAAAGGAGCCGGGCGGTAGTGGCGCACGCCTTTAATCCCAGCACTTGGCACTTGGGAGGCAGAGGCAGGCGGATTTCTGAGTTCGAGAGTTCGAGGCTAGCCTGGTCTACAGAGTGAGTCCCAGGACAGCAAGGGCTACACAGAGAAACCCTGTCTCGAAAAACCAAACCAAAATAAAATAAAATAAAATAAAATAAAATAAAATAAAATAAAATAAAATAAAATAAAATAAAATAAAAGTTACTGGTAACTTTCTTAGTGAGCTTGTCTTCACAAGCTCAAGGTAAAATTAAAAGTGATGTACCCAGGGCTGGAGAGACAGCTCAGTGGTTAAGAGCACTGACTGCTCTTCCAGAGGTCCTGAGTTCAAGTCCCAGCACCCACATGGTGGCTCTCAACCATCTGTAATGGGATCTGATGCCCTTTTCTGACATGGAAGTGTATATGCAGATAGAGCACTCATAAATTAAATAAATCTTAAAAAGCAAGCAAGCAAACAAACAAACTGGTCTGGAGAGATGGCTCAGTAGTTAAGAGCACTAACTACTCTTTCAAAGGTCCTGAGTTCAATTCCCAGCAACCACATGGTGGCTCACAACCATCTGTAATGGGATCTGCTGCCCTCTTCTGGTCTGACGACAGCACAGTGCAGTGACAAACATAAAGTAAAAAAATAAATCTTTTAAAAAAAAAAAAAGGGGGATCTACAGCAGCAAACGCCTGGCAGCAAAAGCCTGGCCTAGCATGCCAGAGCTCTGGTTGATTCCCAGCACTGCAAAAGAACACAAGGAAAAGAGGGCGATGGAGAGGGCTCTCTGGGTAAGAGTGCTGCCATGCAAGCACAAGCGGCTGAGCATGGCAGCCTGACCCGCGCATTCCCAGCACTGGGTTGAGTAGGGACAGGACGATAACTAACTGGTGCTTACTGGCTGCCAGCCTAGGTCCAGGATCCCCGAGAAACTCTGCCTCAAGGGACTAAGGCAGAATGGTAGAGTAGGATGCCTGTCCTACTCTGGCCTACACACACACACACACACACACACACACCACAGTCATATCTATATGAAGATAAAACAGTGGCCCTTAAACTAAATCCATACATTTGCTTAAAAAAAATCATCATTATAAAAATATAAAGTAATTTTTTAAAAAAAATCAAAACAGGATAACGTACCCCCACTCCGTGGAGTGAGATAGCCAACACTTCCCTGAAGAATCTTATCCAAGGGAGTAGCATCAGTCGCCTTCCTACAAGACAAAGGATCTGTGTGTGACTGAATTTAGCAACTGACAGTTTCAGTCAACAGTCTGAGCTAAGCTCATAAAAGTTTTATAATCCTATCAAAATGCCTCTAACTTATAATTGCACATGTAAGACGTGCTTTTCACCTTCAACGAAGGGGGCTATTTTCCAGTAACCATCAGTGCGTAATATAGTAAAAAGTACACCTAAGCCAGGCATGTACATCCACCTAGTTCTATAACTGGAGTAGTTGACACTGCTGTATCTCATATGTTAGCTGGGCTGGGTGTCCTGGAGACACTCAATCTCAAATTAATAAATAAAAACTTAGAACTGGATAATTATCAGATAATCAATTCAACTTTGAGACTATTTCAGATATAGTCTATAAAATAACAACCAAAAACTCAGCAATAACTGAGCTATCTCAATTATCAAGAAGTTTCTGCATTGTTATACTTAGAAAATAGAATGTAATCATCATTTTGAAGCAACAGCAAATAGTGAGTGTGTATGAAACAGGTATAATGCAGACATACGCTACACAGTCATATGCAAGGATATACAATCACATATACTATAGTACCCCTGTGAGTGTAAAAATTAAGAAGTTACAAATGCCCTGGAGGAGAAACTAAGAGAGTCACAGAATGATTTCAGCAGCCAGTCTTACCAGTACATAATAGCCATCTTAGAAAGGTCCTGTTCTAAGGACTGGAGAGCCAGGTACATTTTAGTCTTCAGCTTGCTACAGAGCGGATGAGAAGAAAGTAGGTTAAACAGCTGAGAAGTAAGCGCATTATCAAAGACCAGCTGTGGCGTCACACAACTTTAATCCCAGTACCTGTGAGGCAGAGGCAAGTGCATCTCTCTGAGGTCAGGCTAGCCTAGTCTACAAAGCAATTCTAGTCCAATCAAGGTTACTCTGTGAGACCTTGTCTCAAAACAGTAACAAGAAAACTAAAAAATACTAACCCAGTGGTTAGAACCAACCAAACTGTTTTAAGTCTTTTAAAAAAAAAAAAAAGTTGGGCTGGAGAGATGGCTCAGCGGTTAAGAGCACTGACTGCTCTTCAAGAGGTCCTGAGTTCAAATCCCAGCAACCACATGGTGGCTTACAACCATCCATAATGAGATTGGATGCCCTATTCTGGTGTGTCCGAAGACAGCGACAGTGTACTCATAAATAAAATAAATAAATAAATCTTTAAAAAAAAAAAAAAAAAGTTAAGCACAGCCAGGTATGTTTTGCACAACTTTAATCCTAGCACTCAGGAGGCAGAAGCACGCAGATCAGAGTTTGAGTTAGGCCGGTTTACATAGCGTGCCAGGATAGCTTGGGTTACACAGTGAGACCTCCTTAAAAAAAGTGAAATAAATAAAATAATACAAAGTATCAAAGCTGGAGATCCCATTACATATGGAAATCTCAACTCGTGGGATAAAGAAAAAACTGAGGAATTCAAGGCCAAGGCCATCCTCAACTACATACTGAGGTCAAACCTGGGCTACTGTACTTTTTTTTTTTTTTTTAAATTTGGAAAATAACCAGAATTTATGGTTTGTTTGTTTGTGTTGGGTTTTTTTTTTTGTTTTTTGGGTTTTGTTTTGTTTTGCTTTTTTGAGACAGGGTTTCTCTGTGTAGCCCTGGCTGTCCTGGAACTCACTCTGTAGACCAAGCTGGCCTCGAACTCAGAAATCCACCTGCCTCTGCCTCCCAAGTGCTGGGATTAAAGGCGTGTGCCACCACTGCCCGGCCAGAATTTATGTTTATTTCCCTTCAAAGCAGTTTAATAGAATCCCAGCTAGGTTTGTACTCTAAAACCACACTGAAAATATTTCAACAACTGTATTCTATCTTCTTAAATTTTAAGTCATTAAAAGCAGACATGTCCATTTTCAGATAAATACTTTAGGAGATAGAAAAAAGTTAAAAATGAAATACTTTAAGGACTAGAGAGATGACTTAGGGGTTTAAAAGAACTGACTGCTCTCCCAGAGGACACAGGTTCAATTTCCAGCCCCCACACAATAGCTCCCGTTCTAAGAGATCTGACCTATTCTGACCTCCACAGGTACAGTTCTGACACACATGTAGTTAAAACAAACAAACAAACCACCCCCAGAAAACAACCTACAAAAAACCGAAACAGGGCCGGGCGTTGGTGGCGCACGCCTTTAATCCCAGCACTTGGGAGGCAGAGGCAGGTGGATTTCTGAGTTCGAGGCCAGCCTGGTCTACAGAGTGAGTTCCAGGACAGCCAGGGCTACACAGAGAAACCCTGTCTCGAAAAACAAAAAAAAAAACAAAACAAAAAAAAAAAAAAACCGAAACAAACAAAAAACCCATATACATAAAATAAAAATTTAAAAATTCAAATGAAAACACTTAAAAAGTCATAAGCTAAAAAAAAAAGTCATAAGCTGAACTACAGATTACAGTATGAATAGAAACTAGGAATAAACATGCAGCAGAGAGGTATCAAAAGGTATAACCCAAACTGGCTCACAGATTCATACTCATTTTTCCAAAATGGAAAACAGAAATGAATGAATGCAATTACTTACTTGTCTCCTGGAAGGTTATACAGATTAACAAGACCCTTAAGATGCTTAGAAAATTCATCAAAATTCTTTTCCCTATAGGGAATTCAGGAAGGTGGGAAAAGAGAAAATACAACAAAAAATTACTACTTTATTCTACCAAGAAACCCTGTCTGTACAAAGTCATGTTAATAACCCGCTCACATCATCATCACGTAAGTTTTATAGTCAACCTAGAAAGAAAAGACCGAGCTGGGCTGAGACAGCTCCACAGTGCTCAGTGCTGGCTGCTGCTCTTGAGAACCTAGCTTCAGTTCTTTTTTCTTTAAGATTTATTTATTTTATGTATGTGAGTACACCATCACTGTCTTCAGACACACCAGAAGAGGGCATCAGATCCCATTACAGATGGTTGAGAGCTACCATGTGGGTGCTGGGAATTGAACTCAGGACCTGTGGAAGAGCAATCAGTGCTCTTAACCTCTGAGCCATCATCTCTCTAGCTCCCCTAGCTTCAATTCTTAGCACAGCACTGTCTGCAACTGTCTGCAACTCTATTAACAAGGCATCTAACACACTATTTTGGCCCCCAAGCACTGAGTGCTTATGGGGTACAGTCAGAGCGTGCATAGGGTGCAGAGAGGGCATTCACACACATAAGCTTTAAAAATTGAAAACAAGAGGGCTGGAGAGATGGCTCAGCGGCGGTTTAGATTACTGCCTTCTCTTCCAGAGGACATGGGTTCAATTCCCAGCAACCACATGGTGGCTCATAATCATCTTCAATGGGATCCAATGCCTTCTTCTGTCATGTAGGCATATATGTAGGCCAAACACTCGTAGACATAAAATATATAAATAAATCTTTCCCTCAGATGAATCCTCTGAGTTTGAGGCTAGCCTGGCCTACAGACTGAGTTCCAGGACAGCCAGGGCTACACAGAGAAACCTTGACTCTAAAAACAAATAACAAAATAAAAAAAGTCAAAAGGCAGTGGGACTTGGTGGTATATTCCTAACACTCCAGAATTTGAGGCAGGAGGATTGTGGAGAGTGTGAGTTCATGGCCAACCTGAGCTACAGGGTAAGAATTGATCTCAAAACCAAAGAAACAAGGGAATTTGAGGGGGAAAAAAAACCGGGCAGTGGTGGCTCACGCCTTTAATCCCAGCACTTGGGCGGCAGAGGCAGACAGATTTCTGAGTTCGGGGCCAGCCTGGTCTACAGAGTGAGTTCCAAGACAGCCAGGGCTACAAAGAGAAACCCTGTCTTGAAAAACAAAAAACAAAAAAAAAGATATATTCCCTAACACACTATCACCATATATACTAAGTAACTAAAAATATGAGGTAAAGTAAGTTCCATTAGGCTGGAGAGATGGCTCAGTGGTTAAGAGCACTGACTGATCTTCCAGAGGCCCCAGCAACCACATGGTGGCTCACAACCACCTGTAATGGGATCTAATGCCTCTTCTGATGTATCTGACGATAGCTACAATGTACTCATATAAATAAAATAAAGTTCCATTATAAATCACCCACTTCAAACAGGTTTACAAATTAATTTTAGAATATCATGAATTCCTAAATTAACATAATCTACTCCAAGTGAAAGCCAGAAATATTCACTCATTCTAGAATATTCTGATCACACGTCTTGGTGAGTTTCAATGCAATAGTTACATTTTACATTATTATCATTCATTCATTCATTCACTTACTCACTCGTTTTTACTTTATGTGCACTGATGCTTCTGCTTATATGTTTACATGCATGCATGTATGTGTAAAGGTGGCAGATAGTGTGGAACTGGAGTAACATACAGTTGTGGGAACTGAACCTAGATCATCTGAAAGAGCAGCCAGTGCTCTTAACCACTGAACCATCTCCTCAGGCCCACTGTTTGTTTGTTTAGATAGGGTAGAGCAATGTAGCTCAGGCTAGCCTGATATAAAGCCCAAAACCCAAACCTGCAACAATTCCCCTATACTGGCCTCCTCTGGGATACGGGAAATAAGTATAGATGTATGCATGCCAATATATTTGACAGTATTACATCGTGGGTTTTTGTTGTTGTTTTTTTTTTGTGGTTTGGTTTGGTTTTGGTTTTTCAAGACAGGGTTTCTCTGTAGCCCTGGCTATCCTACAACTTGATCTGTAGACCAGGTTTCCCAAGTACTGAGATAAAGGCATGTGCTACCACCATGGCCTGGCTGTTTAACAGTTTTTAAAATATGGTTACAAACCTGATTCAGTAGTTCTAAACACTGCTGTTTGTATAGAGAACTCAAGTTTAATTCCCAGTACACACACAGTAGCTCACAACTGTCCACATGCAGGCAAAATACTGAGATATATAATATAAAGTAAGTCAAAAAAACAAACATTTTAAAGGTTGAAAGTTAATATATTTGGCTATAAATACAATAAACTGGTAATAGAAAAGCCTGAATATAAAACCTACTTCCTCAAAGTGAAAAATCTAAGATATTCCCTTATGTTCAATATTCAAAACAAAAATTAACTTCCTCAAATTATCAGAAAGTCTTAAGTCTGGTTTAAATTTAAACCTGGGAATCCGACTCAGTTTAAAGGGGAAAAAAATAAATAAAAATAGCAGGAATAGCAACCAAGAAATAAAAGACTATTGTCATGCCTACTACTTCTTTTTTAACAGATTACAATACAGGGACATAGCTTTTTCTCAAAATGGAAATGGAGATGTTGTTTGAAAGGTATGGAGTCAATGTTCCTACACAGTTTCCGATTCAATGGCTGTGCACTGTAATGAGATTAATCTTAATTGTTAATTTGATGGGGTTTAGAATCATCATGGAACCTAGTCTCTGGGCATATCTGTAAGGGATGAGGTGGATTAGATCAACAGAAGTGGCAAGACCCATTCTAGGATGTGGGTGGTAACATCCCATGAGTTAAGGTACCATACTGAACAATTTAAAAAAAAAAAAAAAGAATTAAAAACCATCGTGAACACCTTTAATGCCAGCGGTGGAGTAGCAGAGACAGGGTTTCTCTGTACAGCCCTGGCTGTCCTCAAACTCTGCACATTCTATTCACATTTGATCAACAAAGAAATCTGATGATTCTATTAGCCCTTCTTACCAGTTGTGGTTTTGTCCTGCAGACATCTGACAAGGTGTGTGTGTGTAAGTTCACATGTACATACACATAAATACATATATGCATAAATTAATAGAAATATACAATTATATACCTATGTACATAGTTTTGATTTTTGTGATGCTGGAAGAAACTGGACTCCCACGCTGACACACTAGGCAAAGGCTCCACTACTCAGCTATATCTAATTGAACCACAGCTTTAAAAAAAATATTATATATATACGTGTGTGTGTGTGTATGTATATGTGTGTGTGTATATATATATATATACACACACACACACACACATATATACATATATATGCTTATCTTCATGCACACGAGAAGAGGCTATCAAATCCCACTACAGATGGTTGTGAGCTATGTGGCTGCTGAGACATGAACTCAGGATCTCTGAAGGAGAAGTCAGTGCTCTAACCACTGAGTCATCTCTCCAGCCCTTATCCAGATAATTTTGATTATCACAAAAGTATTGAGTGGATACTTTTGGCAAATCCAAAGAAAGGATCCAGGAATGCGGTTTCATGTCCTACGATGTGTAAATTCGCTTTGGCAAAGGAATGCCAGTAAGGGTGGGAAGTGATGCATACCTGTGACCTCAGTACTTAGAAAAGAGGCATGAGATCAAGAGTATCCTAGCTACACAGTGAGCATGAGGTCAGCATGTACTAGGTAGGACATTGTCACAAAAAGACACACACAGCCAGGGCTACTAATACACACCTTCAATCAAAGCATTCCAAAGGCAGAGGCAGGTGGGTTTCTGTGTGAGTTTGAGGACAACCTGATCTACAAAGAGAGTCCAGGGTAGCCAGTGGTATCCTGCCTCAAAAAGGAATGAAAAACATAAAAAAAAATTGCCTATAATACTGAAGTGAGAAACTGAACATAGGGGTAAAAACTGTCACACTCAAGACTGGGTGTGATGGAGGGTGCTTATAATCTCAGCATTCTAGAAATGAAGACAGGAGAGTTCAGGAGGGTTAGGAGTTCAAGGCCTGAAGTGGGAGAGTGAGTCAATGACTAACATGGACAAGACCTTGGATTCAATACTAAGCACACAAAACCAAGTAAAATAATAAAGGCCAAGCATAGTGGTACACATGCCTTTAGTCCCAGCAATTGGGAGGCAGAGACAGGCAGATCTCTGTGAGTTTGAGTCTGATCCAGGACAGTCAAGGCTATGTAAAGAGACTCTGTTTCAAAAACCCAAACAAACAACAAGAATAAAATAAGGTTAAAAGAATAAAGTTCAAGGTCAGCCTGAACTATATAGTAAATTTAAGGCCAGTCTCAAGTACATGGTAAGCTTCATGCCTCCAACATTTAAAAGGTAAAAACAGGGTTGGGAGTTGAAGATTACACTTGGCTAAACAGAGTTCTGAAGCCAGCCTAGGCTACATGAAACCATGTCTCAAACAACAAACAAAAAGTCTCATTAACTCAAATCTAAACATAAACAGGAACAGACAGAAAGACTAGTCAAGAAAATAAATTCACAGACAGACAAACAGTAGTAGTGCACACCTTTAATCCCAGCACTTAGGAGGCAGAGATAGGTGGATCTGAGTCTGAGGCCAGCCTACAGAGTGAGTTCCAGGACAGCCAAGGCTATACAGAGAAACACTGTCTTTAAAAACCAAAAAAATAAACAAATTAATAAATAAATCAAGTCACAAGTCCAAGTTATAAAAAGAAGCAGAGGTTTCCACATTTGAGCTAAGGCACTGAGGCATGAGGACGGCGAGGACCTGGCCCGCTGGCCCGCCTCCCCACCCCACACGGCACCATTTCCCTGCAGGGAACAGGATCATCTGTCAGTGCCAAGAAATACATCAATATTATCTGCTTACCTTAACTGCTGTACAAGCTCTAGACAACTCTGAAATCAAAGAAATTAGGTTAAAGCATTAAACTCATTTAAATAATTAAAAACATCAAAAAAGTTTTATATTAATAGCATAATAGCACATGCTTCCAAACAAAAACACTAAAACCACAGAAAGCCCTTATTTCACCACTGAAGCTGTGTATGTGAGCACGTGTGTGCATGGAGACCATAGCTGTCTTCCTCTATCACTGTCCTTCATGTGTTCTGAGACCAGGTCTCCCCTGAACCTGGAGACTTGATGTTTCCCTGAAGGTAGCTAGCCAGCAAGCATCCAGGGCCTGCCAGCCTCAGGCCCACCAGCCCACAGCACTGGGTTATGAATACAACCATTTACATGGTGCAAGGATCTGAACTCAGGTCCTCATGCTTTACCCAGAGTCATCTTGCGAGCCCCTCACAAAGCCTTTTTCTACTTGTGAACCATGAACTTGGGGTGGGATTTTTAAAATCAAAACAAATGAAATTATTATAAAGGGAGTCATTGGTAGCTTGTTTAAGACATTAGGATCTCTCTTCAACATCATCCCTGGAATCGATACAGGACTGCTTAGTCACACATTTTACATCTGTTTCTCCTACAGGGCTTTTCATATTGTCTGTCATGACTACAATCACTTTGATGGGAGCTGAAAGATTGTCTCTGTATTCTGAGCATCTCTTGTTCAGCCTAAGTTCTAGTTTGTTGGTAGGAAATGAAAAGGGTTGTTATGTTGGTAATTGTACTCAGCAAAGCCCCTGGATGATGTCAGAAAGACCTGTCACTCTAAAGTTTATTCTAAAACTATCAATGTGACCCATCACATCCTCTCTACAGTGGCTCATGAATAAACCCTAAAAGCCAAGCTCTACCGACCCCAACAATGCATTAAGTATTCTCCTAAGTAAACCCCATAGATTCCACGTGAAATATCAACACATACCACAGGATTCTCCCCATGGTGAGCCACTTTTACATCACAAAGCTGTCCTGCAGGATCTAACTGCACTTCCACATAGAACATATCTGACGTGATGTAACATTCAGTGCCACTGGCACTGAGATGAGAGCCCAGTCTAGCAGGAACAAATCAAAACAAAAATTAATACAAGACACATAAGAAAGCTCCCCAAATTAGCACTGCATTGTATGTTTGTAACCACAGATAAAATTACATACCCATTCTGTCTGGCTATAGACTCCAAACGATCAGTCATCGCTGGCAAAGATGTGACTATGAAAAGATATGGGGGAGGGGAAAAAAGGAATTCATAAAGAATATTCCAAATAAATGAGTATATCCACCCTTCCAAAGCCACAAAAATATTCAATAGTTCAGACACCTATAATCTACAGTAAGTTTCTTGAGGCTTATCTGTGACCTAGTAATCAGGTAAAGGACATGGTGATATGGTCACCGTAAATAAGTGATAAGAGTATAGTAAGACTGTGACACTTAACCTTCCCTGTCAATTGGACTGGATGTCGAAGTACCAAGGTGATGTGCTGCTGTCCGTGTCTCTGAGCGTGTTGCTAAAGAGGTCTGACGCGGTGGCCCACTTTGACTATGGGTGGTTAGGTCTACATACAAGGACTAAGGAGCAAGTGAGCCAAGTGCCAGCATTCAGCACTGCATCCGACACAGGCACACTGGGACCTGACATTCTGACTGTCATGCCTTCCCCACATTAAAGACTATACGCCCTCAAACTGTAAGGCAAAAGTCAAATCTTCATCCTTAAATTGTTTTTATTAAGTATTTTGTCACAGAAATAAGAAAAGTAACCAAGATAAAGACATATTTGAAAATTATGGAGCCTGCACTGGTAATGCATGCTTTTAATCTCAGCACTCTGGAAGCAGAAGCAGGCCTGAGTCTGAACTATGAGTTTGAGGTCAGTCTGGTCTACAGAGTGAGTTCCAGGACAGCCAAGGCTACACAAAGAAACTCTGCCACAATAAGAAAACAAACAAACAAACAAACAAATAAATAAATGGATTGATGACTAAAAAAGAAACAACAAACAAAAATTATAGAGTCAACCAAGACATGCTAGTACATAACGATAGCTAACACTTAGGGGTCAGAGGCAGAAGGATCAGGAGTTCAAGGTTAGCCTTAGCTACACAGTGAAACCCTGCCTTAAAACACAAGACAGACAAAAAATATGAATACCAGGCATGGCAATGCACACCTATTATGGCGGCCCTTGGACCTGCATTACATAATAATTCCCAAGTCAGAATAGTCTATGAGACTGTGCCAAACACACACACACACACACACACACACACACACACACGAACAGAAATACGACTAACCTATGTTTTTCTCCTTTTTTATTACTACTTATATGAGTCAAGGTCTCTCTCTCTCTCTCTCTCTCTCTCTCTCTCTCTCTCTCTCTCTTTTTTTTTTTTTGGTTTGGTTTTTCGAGACAGGGTTTCTCTGTGTAGCCCTGGCTGTCCTGGAACTCACTCTGTAGACCAGGCTAGCCTCAAACTCTCGAACTCAGAAATCCACCTGCCTCTACCTTCCAAGTGCTGGGATTAAAGGCGTGCGCCACCACCGCCCGGCCCCAAAGGTGTATCTTAACGATAGAACACACAGCACACTTGCTGCCTTGATTCAATTTCGACCACATGTACTTTACATGCTGTGAGCTCTCCTCACTTCAACTGGTAGCTCCCAAAACAACAAAAACATAATTTTCACAGTACTCATAAAAATCAAAGATAGAGGCTGGGCAGTGGTGTTGCATGCCTTTGATCCCAGCACTTGGGAGGCAGAGGCAGACAGATTTAGGTGAGTTTGAGGCCAGCCTGGTCTACATAGTGAGTTCTAGAACAGCCAAGGCTACACAGAGAAACCCTGTCTCTGAAAACAAAACAAAAACAAAACAACAAAAAATGAACAAACAAACACAAAGATGCATATGGAGGCGTGGAAGCTGAGGCCCAGTAAGAGTGCATGCCTAGGATGTGTGAGGTTCTGGGTTTGACTTCTGGCACTAAACGAAATAAAGATGGAATCAACCCAAGTGTCTATGAACAGACAGCTGAGTCAACAGAAGGTGGACTGCAATGGAGGACCATGATGACATTGCCCATAGAGTGCCAGCACTTAGGAAGAGAAGCAGAGGTGGTCAGAAGGTCACATCAGCCTTGGCTACAGAAGGAAGCTTTGACCTGCCTGGATCATATGCACCCGTCTCAAAATCAGGTGGGAGTGGCTGGAGATATGACTCAGCAATTAAGAGCACTTGTTGCCCTTGCAAATGACCCAGATTAAGTTCCCAGCACCCACATGATGGTTCTCAACCACCGGTAATAACAGTTCCAGGGGATCTGACACTCTCTTCGGACCTCCATTGTTACTGTATTCATATAGTACACATATATACATGCAGGCAAAACATTCACATGCATACAATAAATCAATCTAAACAGATTAAAAAATAAAGCAAGAAGGTATAGTATTATTCCTTCTCCCCCTCCCCTGACAGTACTGATGGCCCTGCACATACCAGCCAAGCATTATTATTTAATGTTTAAAAACAAAGGTATGCCCGGCGGTGGTGGTGCACACCTTTAATCCCAGCACTTGGGAGGCAGAGGCAGGCAGATTTCTGAGTTCGAGGCCAGCCTGGTCTACAGAGTGAGTTCCAGGACAGCCAGGGCTACACAAAGAAACCCTGTCTCGAAAAACCAAAAAAAAAAAAAAAAGTATAGTCCTGTATTATAGCACACACAATCCCAGCACTCATGAGGATGAGGTAGGAAAATCTTCAGATCAAAGGATAGCCAAGAATACTGACTTGAAATAGTAAGACCCTATCTCAAAAGCCCAAAGTAATTAATTAATTAATCAATTAATTAACTAAATGTTTCAAGCTAGGCTTGGTGGTGTATACCTTTAATCTCATGGTCCCAAGGCTTGGGAGGCAGAGGCAGGCAGCTCTCTGTGAGTTTAAGGTCTACATAGTAGAGTTCCAGGCCAACCAGGGCTACAGAGTGAAACCCTATCACAAAAATAAAAGAATTCAGCCGGGCGGCAGTGGTGCACGCCTTTAATCCCAGCACTTGGGAGGCAGAGGCAGGCGGATTTCTGAGTTCGAGGCCAGCCTGGTCTACAGAGTGAGTTTCAGGACAGCCAGGACTACACAGAGAAACCCTGTCTCGAAAAAACCAAAAAAAAAAAAACATAATAAATGATTCAAAATGAGATAGCTTTTAAATTGGAAAAAGGCACTTACCTTACAGGCCTGACAGACTGAGTTCAATTCCCAGAATGCACAGTAGAAAAAACTGACTCATTAACAATTTCTGCACATGCTGCACATGCACATTTGCATACACCAGACACACACACACACACACACAAATCATAAATAAGTCAATAAAACATTTACAAATTCAGGAACAAGCTGAGTTCAACTCCATAAATGAAAATAAAAGCAACATCTAGCACAGAAAGTTATCTACCTTAATTTAGATTTCTAGTTATGTGTAAGTTGGCCTTCCCACAAAGTCCTCCTTACTATGAACCTTAAGATCAACATATTACAAAGGTGTGTACAAACCTTTGAGAGCCTTCTGCAATGTTTCCAAACAGCTGACCAAATGCTGATGCCCTCCAGAACTCATTACTGCCCTCTTCTCCTATATCAAAGCACAAAACAAGTCAAGTAAAAAATCCCAAACTTATACAGCCTTTGATTAACATTTTAAATAAATAAATAAATAAATAATCAACCAAACCAATGTTTCAGGTAAAACATAGATGTTACCTTAGTAATAAAATTAACCTACAATTAGACTATAGATTCTGTCTTTTCTTTTGAGACAAGGTTTCTAGCCAGACAGGGATGACCTTGAATTTCTGATCCTCCTGCCTCCACCTCCTAAGAACAGTTTTCTTTTGTAGGGGGAGCTTTTCCTAACACTTACTTATTTGTATGCATGAGACAAAGGAACGTGTACACATGGAGGTCAGAGTAAACTGTCTAGGTGTCCCACCATGTGAGTTCTAGATATCAAGTTCAGGCTGCCACTCTTGGCAGCAAGTTTTTTAGCCAGTGGGACATTCCACCAGCCCAAAGTATTTTAGCTTTCTTAAGACAGGGTCTGGAACTCCTCTTATAGCCTAGAATGGCCATCATTCTGCGATTAAAGTAGTATACCACCAAGCCCAGATAGCCTACAGACTCTTAACTGTTAATCTGTTCATCTACCTAAAGGAAGAAAAGTTCATATAGATGAATAATATATCCGTATCAATATGTGATAGCAAAAAAGGTATTCTAGTATCTAATATAAGCTAAACTTGGGGGGAAAACTCTTAAGAATCCAATTGTCATGGGTGTGATCTACCTCCTACAGAAGCAACAACATCGCAAGATGTAGTGCTGCATGCCTTTAATCCCATGAGGATGTCTGTGAGTTTAAGGCCAGACTGGTCTTATATAGTGGGTTCCAAGATAACCAACCAGGGCTGAGACCCTGTCTCGAAAACAAAACAAAACAAATGCCTGGCAGTGATGGCTCATGCCTTTAATCTCAGCAATCTAGGAGGCAAAGCCAGGCAGACATCGGAGTTCCAGGCCAGCATGGTCTAGGACAGCCATGACTATACAGAGAAACCCTGTCTCAAAACAAAAACCCCATAAGACAAAAATTTTTAGTGTTGGAAAATAAACATAAGATTTGTATACTAGGGCTAGCTCTCTCCCTCTGACCTATATTCCTAGGTTGACAATACCATGTATAGAACAGTTTTCACCAGGAGTGGTACATGCCTTCAATCCAGTACTTGGGAGACAGAAGCAGGAGAATCTCTGTGACTTTGAAGCCAGCCTGGTCTATGTAGAGAGTTCCAAGACAGCCAGGACTGTTACAAGACAAATTCTGTCTTGAAAACCCCCCAAACAAGTAAAAGGAACATTTTTCAAATTAGATATGGTTTCCTTAGAGTATTAAACGACAACCTTTGAATTAAAAAAACTGTCACATTCATTTAACATTTTTCTAAAATTATTATCATTTGCATGTTAATGTGTACCTTTATGAATGTATACCACATGTGTCAGTGCCCATGGAAGCCAGAAGAAGGCGATGAGTTTTCAAATCACAAGAGACAGAGATGTAGATACACGTTTTGTTTTGTTTTGTTTTTCAGACAGGGTTTCTTTGTGTAGCCCTGCCTATCCTGGAACTCACTCTGTAGATAAAGACAGCCTGGAACTCTATCTACCTCTGCCTCCCAAGTGGTAGGATTAAATGTATGCCACCAACAATGCTTTCGGGGAGGCTAGAGAGAAGTTTCAGTAGTTAAAAGCACTTGCTGGAATTGCAAAAGACCAGGGTTGAGTTCCTACTACCCACATGCTAGTTCACAACTTGTAACTGGCACCAGGATTTCCAACAAGCAGTCAAATACTCAGAAACAGAAATAAAAATAAATAAATGTACAAGGCATGGTGGCACAAACTTTTAATCTCACCATTTTGAAGGCAGAGCCAGGTAAATCACTGTGAGTTTGAGGCCAGCCTGATCTACACAAGAAGTTCTAAGCCAGCAAGAACAAGAGACTTGTTGTCTCAAACTTGTTTGAAACTTGTCTCCAAACAAACAAAAATACTGGAGGTGTTGGAAAGCCATTCAGCAAGTACTTGTTGTTCTTGCAGAGGATGCAAGTTTGACTCCCAGCACCTCCAAGGCTCCTTACAACCACCTGTAACCCCAGTTCCATGGTATTCAACAGACGCCCTCTTCTGACCTCTGGGGCCTCAACACCTTTAATCCCAGCTCTCAGAAGCCAGAGGTAGGAGGATCTTTATAAGTTTCAGGCCAGCCTTGTCTACTATGTGAATTCTAGAACAGCCAAGGCTATACATACGTACAGAGACAAAACACCTATACATGTAAAATAAAATAAGCAAACCTTTAAAAAAAAAATGTTGTAGGCTAGAGAGATGGCTCAGGGGTTAAGAGCACTGACTGATCTTCCAGAGCTCCTGAGTTCAATTCCCAGGAATCACATGGTGGTTCACAACCATCTGTAATGGGATCTGATGCCCTCTTCTGGCATACAAATGTACATGCAGAAAGAGCATTTGTATAAATAAAATAAATTAAAAAAAAAAAAATGTTGTGGTAGCACATACCTTTAATCCCAGCTCTCAGAAGGCAGAGGTTCAAGGACCTCTATAAGTTCCAGGCCAGCCTGGTTTACAATGTGAGTTCCAGAACAGCCAAGGCTACACAAAGAAACTGTCTCCAAAAACTGATTAACACATACATACACACATACATACATACATACATACATAATCATTTAAAAAATCCTATTTTTATAAAAGGAGGGGTGGGCTAGAGAGCTGGATCAGCAGTTACGAGTGTTTGCTGTTGCTATAGAAGAGTTTAGTTCTTTGCACCCACATAGGCTACACAGTAAGCCTCTGTCTTAAAGGTAAATAAATGTACTTTAAAAAATGTAATGGAAGAGTGATGCAAGCTTCAAATGCTAGCACTAAGGAGAGACAGAGGCAGGAGAATTACATGGTTGAGAATAGTTTGGGATACATGAGACCCTACCTCAAAACAGCAAACTATAGAACCAAAAAAAAAAAGTAAAAATACTTTTTTTGAATGCAAACTAAATGAGGACGCACATGCATTTACTGATAGAATCCATAGTTTTGGAATGGCGGGCAATGGTTCAGCATGCACAAAGCCCTGACTTCAATCTCCAGCCAACAGTGATCAGTCATAGCAGCCTTTGCCTGTAATCTCAGCACTCAGAGGTGGAGAAAGGATATGGAGATAAAGGTCATTTCAAGGTCACCCTCCACTGTCAGTCTCATTTGATCCCGACAACTATATGACCTGGAAAAGGAGCTGGAAAGATACTCAGCAGCAGAAAACTGGTTAGACTCCCAGAGGACTCACAATCGACTCCCAGGACCAGACAGGGGCTCACAACCATCTGTAACTCAAGTTCCTAGGATCTCATGTCTCCATGGGCACCAGGATCACACAGGGTACACAGGCATACATGCAGACAAAATACCCCCAACACACAATCAAAACAAAACACAAAATAAAATATCTTAGATGAGCAAACTAGCATCATCTGCTTCCATGAGAAAACAAATTCAGAGATTACAATTACATAATTTGTTCAAAGTCACACAGTAGCAAGTACGGCTGTGGAGCCTACAGTATAGGTCTTTGGTTTTGGTTTATTCTTCCTCTGTTGCTAGTGAATGACTGTGTCTCATACATGCTAGGCAAACACTCTACCACTGAATTCATCACACCCCTTGGCTCTAAGATATAGCTCCTTATAAACAAATTTAGTTCCTCCACTAGCAATATTCTAATGATTGGACAGATAAACCGTAATAAAGATATTGAAGTAGACTTATCCTAGAATTAAAGTAAACTTTTGTAGGGAGGACAAAATATTCTCATTAAAGTATAATTTATATATAGAAAAGCTAAAAAACCGTAAGTGAACCAACACAAAGTGCCTCCCTGTCCTTGACTGAGGCTGAGTGATGTGAATGAGTACTTAGCGTACAGCCAGGATGCCTGTCCAGCGCTCCACCTTCCACTCATGCAGTCTAGGTAACACCTCACTGGGGCTCCACTCAGAGGGAAGAAGTACTACAGGGAACGATGGTAACAGTGGACGGGTACCAAACAAAATGTAAGAAAAGCAAAAACAAAACTAAAACTCAAAGACTCAATGAGACCCTATTTCACACAGACCAAAGAGAAGCTGAAGAGAGCAGGGTGGTGGTACACAACTGTTATCTCAGTACCTGGGAAGCTACAGCAGGACTGCCTCAGATATACAGCAAATTCAAGGTCAACCTAAGACACACGGAAGATGCTGACTGAAAAGGGCCACACATACAGGTCGCCTGGGAGGCTGAAGCAGAAGGACGAGTGCTCAAAGCCTGCTGAACAACTGAACAAAGCCAATGCCAGCTTGCGCAACTGCTTCACCAAATCAAGTCCAAGGCCAGAGGAGAACACCAAAGACTGCTTCTCAAATAGAAAAAAATATCGTCTGTACTGACTGTGAACACCACAGCTAACAAATATTCACATATATTTGTACTGTTAAGCATTGTAAGTAATGTAGAGGTCAGCTTAAAGTATACATGAGAATGTTTATAAATGTGCAAAGACAGTGCCTTTTTGTGTTTGTTTTGAAACAGGGTTTCTCTGTACAGTCCAGGCTTTCCTGGAACTTACTCTGTGGACTAGGCTAGCCTTGAACTCAGACACCTGCCTGCCTCTGATCACTGAGGAGTCCTAGAATGAACCCTCTGTGGATATGGGAATTCAAGCTACCTCCTTCCTAAGACACTTCCTTCCTAAGCTGGCCTGAAATCAACACCCCCACATTGTTTTGTGATGAGTAAAAGGAAGGACAGAGCACTGGAACGAGCAACCATTTCGCACGAGCGGCTAGTTTCTTAACTAATCCTTAGTTCCTTACTTATTTAGTCACAATACTCACCATGACTTGACGCACAAGCTTAATGGTTTCACTCCAAGGTCTATTCTGGTTAAATTTTGCATGGAGCCGTTCCAAGAGGGAGCTCATCTTACTCAGCTTCTCTGACTCTGCAACACAAAGCAGAAGACATCATCAGACACTCTGACATCAAGACCTTCCACCATTTCTCCTACAAAAGAAACCGCTGTATTTCAGTCAAAGTATTTTATATATAATTTACTCCAAAACATAAAGAAAGCTAGCTAGTAAAATGGTCACCCATACATTCTATCCCTGTACCGGGGATACTGAGGCAGGAGGTTTGTAAATTCAAGGTTAGCCTGAGCTACAGAGGAAGACTAAGTCTCAAATATATACACAACACACAAAGTTTTCTAACATAATTTCCTGAGAGACAGACTCTTACTAAGCTGTCCATTTTGTTGGCCTTGGAGTCTTTGGCCCCAACAATACACCTTCCCAAGCCTCCTGAGTCACTGTGACTACATGTATACACTGTGTTTGGCTTAGAAGATAGCTTTAAATTTTATTTTTATGCCAAGCATCGTGACAATGCACCTTTTATCCCAACACTCAGGAGATAGAAGCAGTCAAACCTCTGTGATATCAAGACCAGCCTGGTCTGCATAATGAAACCCTGTCTTAAAACAAACAGCAAAATAAAAACCAAGGGAGAGATGGCTCAGTGGTTAAGAGCACTTGCTGCTTTTCCAGAGGACCTGAGTTAGATTCTCAGCATCCTCATAGCAGCTCACAACCATCTCTAACTCCAGTTCCGGGGGATCTGACGCCCTCTTCTGGTTTCCACAGGCACCAGGCACACATGCGGTACATAGACAGACATGCAAGCAAACCATCCACATACATAAAACAAACATTCAAAATACCACAAGAAACCAAGCCAGACTGTGTGTGTTTATTATTTGTGTGAGGACATCTGTGCATGTGTGAGCACAGCTGTAAACTGGCCACAGTGCAGTGCCTGTTCTCACCTTTCACCTTGAGTACATGGAACCTTCCAGACCCAGATGCATTGTTTTGTTTGGTGTTAGGATCTAAAAAGGCTGGCTTTGAACAGAGATCCACCTGCCCCTGCCTCTTAAGTACTGGCATCAAAGCAGTGTTCTACAATGTGCAATGTATCTTTTAAAGAGCACTAGCTTCTCTTTCAGAGGATCTGAGTTCAAGTCCTACCACCCACATGGCAGCTCACAGCCACATGTAACTCTAGTTCTCAGGTGATCTACTGTTTATTTCTGGCCTCTTAGGGCACCAGGCATGTACTTGGTATACAGAAATACAGGGAGACAAAACTACTATACACACAAGCAATACATAGACTTTATTTAAAAAAAAAAAAAAGAACTTATGTTTATGAGTTTTGGAGTGTTTTTTTGTTTTGTTTTGAATCATGTATGTGTGGCATGTCTGTGCAGTGCTCATGGAGGCCAGAGGCACCAAGACTCCTGAAACTAAAGTTACAAATGGCTGTGAGCTGCCAACTGAGCCTACGCAAAGCACAGGGCTCTTGACCACTCAGCTCTCTCCAGCCCTCCCTGCTTTCTCTTCCATTTTAAGACAGTCTCTCGCAGCCCAGCTGACCTCCAAGTCCATCTGGCTGAGCATGACCTTGAGGACTGACAAGATGGCTCCAAGAGTAGAGGCACCAGACACCAAACATGAGAGCCTGGGTCCACGCCACAGAGCCCAGAGTGGATATGGTACATGCCTCACCTCCAAATAAAGAAATATAAGGAGTGACCTCCTCATGCTCCCAAGTGCTAGGATTATAAACATGGGTCACCTCCCAGACTTGAGTTATAGCCCAGACTATCTTCAAAGTCATCCTCTTGTCTCCTTTTCCTCATCCTCCTCTGAGTGTGTGCTGCTATAAACAGACGCCTTCTTTTTTATTTATTTTTCAGGGGGGTGGGGGTTGAGACAGAGCTTCTCTGGCTGTCTTATCTCTTTGTAGATTTGGCTGTCTTCAAACTCAGGGGCCCACCCGCCTCTGCCTACGAAGTGCTAGGATTAGAGGCATGCGCCTCACTTGGCTCTTTGGGTGTTTGTTTCTGAGTCTAGGTTTCTCACTGGGACCTGGGGCTCACTGAGTAGGCTCATAAGTGAGGGAGTTGGTGAGCCCCACAGAACTTCTGCCTGTTGGGGATCAAACTCAGGTCTGTTTTCATGTTTGTACAATAAGTATTTTATCAGCTGAGTTCTCCCCAAAGCCTTTTTTTTTTCCTGGACAAGGTCTCACCTAGCTTAAATCAACCTTGAACTTGCTGAGAGGGAAAGGGGAGTCCCGAAGTCCTACCCCTCCTGCCTCTTCTAAGTGGTGAGATTACAGGCATGCAATGCCCAACTTCTGTTCAAACGCATTGAAACAAACAAAAAACTTGTAATTACATACATATGCATGCAATACCTTGAAGGATATATTTTGAGCACAATTGAACAAGACATTATTATAATTAGTTTTCAGTATGAAAACACTGACTTCATTAGTTTTTGTTGCTTTCTCCTTTTCCTTTTCTTTTGGTGCTGGGGATTGAACCTGTGGACAAGCCAACCCTGCTCTAACCACTGCACTACATTCCCAGTCTCTAAATTATTTTTAAATCAACCTACAAAGCAATGGGTATCATTTTGGCATTCTTATACAGATAGGGCATTACACTTGGTCTAAGTCCTCTTCCTCTGACAGCCACTCCTGCCCCAGCCTCCAAACAGCCAAGCCTCTCACTTCATTTCATACTCCACTAACTTTTCTATCCTGAAAACCTTCGTTCTCACAGTCCCATATTTTCACAACCAATACACACCAACACATACTTAAGTGGAGATTCCTCATAAGAGAAAATGTGGGGGCCGGGCGGTGGTGGCGCACGCCTTTAATCCCAGCACTTGGGAGGCAGAGGCAGGCGGATTTCTGAGTTCGAGAGTTCGAGGCTAGCCTGGTCTACAGAGTGAGTTCCAGGACAGCCAGGGCTACACAGAGAAACCCTGTCTCGAAAAACCAAAAAAAAAAAAAAAAAAAGAGAGAAAATGTGGGGCTGGTGAGATGGCTCAGTGGTTAAGAGCACTGACTGCACTTCCAGAGGTCACAAGTTCAAATCCCAGCAACCACATGGTGGCTCACAATCATCTGTAATGATATCTGATGCCCTCTTGTGGGGTGTCTGAAGACAGGTACAGTGTACTTACATATAATAAATAGATAAACATTTTAAAAAAGAGAGGAAATGTGATATTTGTCTAGATACGTCTTATTTTGAGTATCATCCAATCTCCTCCAAACATGGAAACTTCATTTTGGATAAGCCAGTCCATGTGAGTTAAGGCTGTGAGGGGAATATCTAAACCAAGATTCAAACTCTTAGCTGGCCGCGACAGTGTATAAGCCGGCACTTGGAAGACTGAGGCAGGAGGACTTTGTCTCCAAAGAAAAAACATTCTATCCCTCCCTTTACTTCCCTCAACTGGGAAGTTGGTTTGGGGATTGTTCCTGGCAGTTTATAGTTCTGAACACCTCTCTCCCAGGCTTTAAAGCCTTATTCAAGTACAATTAAAAGAGCAGTTTAAAAAAAAAGAACCACAGTATCTTAAAGCACAACATTTGAACACTGTGACATTCCAAGAAACTGCTAGCTTTTACTATTATAAAGACCGAACGCTGTCACTCACCCTAAAACACCCTCCATTACTTTGACACATTGTTCTAGTGTCCTGTTCAGAGATCTCTCCTGAACAAAGCACCTACAAGTTTCAGTCTCACTCTCCTGGTGTCCCACCAGGCTAAGCTCAAAGTACCCTGCGGCTCAACGACTCGTCCCTAGTCCTGCAGGAAACCTTTCACAAGGGGAGGAGAAGGGGGGAGCAGCGCCTTCAAGCAGGAGCTCCAGCGTCCGGAAGGTAGGGTGAGGATCTGGGAGGTACATTCAACCTGGATCCAGTTCCGTGCAGGGTGGCCCGGAGGGCGTGGGTCCCCACCTCCTCGCACAGATAGGCTCCCCACGGCTGTGTCCGCCCCCTCTCCCCCCACCCCCAGTCACTCACCCTCGGTTTCCCCCTGAGCCTTCATCCTGACAGCGGTGAGGTCTCAGGTCCGCCACAAGCCGGGGAGCCTTTCCCCACCACTAAGAGGGGAACCAAGTTAGCCTGGGCTCCGGGGAAGCAGCGCACCAGAGGCCCCCGCTCTTCCGGGGAAGGCTCAGTCTGAAGTCTCCGGCGGCAAGAAGAGAAGGGTACTCGCGGCCGCCGCCATCTTCCCCAACGGAACTTCCCAAAGATCGCGAGATTAATCGTGTTCCTGCGAGACAGAAGAAGAAGGCAGAGCACCAAAATCTCGCGGAAATTGGCTGCTTCGTCCTTCCCGCGGGATTTCTAACCGGCCTGTCTCCAGTTGGCTCAGCTTTCACACCTTTGCGTCTAAGCGTGTGTGCCCAGTGTTGACAACTCTTGGAAACTTTATGTTTGGATCTTGACAGATAAACAATTTGTAAATTAAAAGCGTTAGCTCTTTGGCCCGGCCGTGGTGGTGCAAGCCTTTAATCCCAGTAGGCAGGTGGACCTCTGAGTTCGAGGCCAGCCTGGTCTACAGAGTGAGTGCTGGGACAGCCAGGGCTACACAGGGAGACCCAGTTAGCTCTTTGAACGCCCGGAGAAGTGGCACATTCATATAACCCCAGTGAGGAAGGGAGGTCGCAAATGCATAGCCAGTTGGAGCTGCATAAGTGAAAACCCGTCCTTACGAAATAATCTCTCTACTGAAAGATGTCAATGAGTTTTAAGGTCAGGGATGTTTTGTCAAAGTAAGATTTGCCTGGCGGTGGTGTGCGATTTAACCTCAGCGCTCTGAAGGCAGAGGCAGGTGGATCTCTGTGAGTTCGAGGCCAGCCTGGTCTACAGAGTTTCTGGACAGCCAGGGCTACACAGAGAAACCCTGTCTTGAAAACAAAACAAAAGGTAAGATTTGTAAGATGACAAGACATGTAACTCACCAGTAGCATACATGCTTAGTATACCAGAAGTCGTGGGTTTAATGCCTAGAGAAAGTGGGAAGGTGAAATTTCCTGAAGAACCAGCGGCAGTTATGTTGAAGGAAGGAAGGAAGGAAGGAAGGAAGGAGGAAAGGAAGGAAGGAACAAAGGAAGGAAGGGAAGAAGGAAAAGAAAAGAAAAATGCTGGTGGTACCAGGGTAACGCAGTTTGCTGCTTACTTTGCATGCAGAAACTTGGGTTTATCCCGGCACAACATAAACCAAGTGTGGTGGGATTGTCCCTGTAATTCTACCTTAGAGAATTGAGGAAGATGAGGAGTTCAAGGTCATCCACAGATTCATAGCAAGTCAAAACCTGCCTGAGCTACAAGAGGGTTTTCAAAAACATTGGTAACAGACTGTCAAGTGAGTAAAGGCGTCTGCTACCAAGTGACCGGAATTGCATCCCTGGGACATACTTGATGAGCGGTGAGAACTTGCTCCTGACAGTTTTCCTCTGACAGCCACACTTGTGCCATAGCACAGAGACTCAAAATAAATAAGACAGAATTTTAAAATAAGTAGCCCTTGGCTACATAGAAATTTCAAGGCCAGCATGGACCCTACCTTAAAAAGGGGGGAAGCAGGGAGGGAGAAGTACAAGGTTGTTGGAGACATAGCCCACTGCTTAAAAGCCCTTGTTCTTGAAGAGAACCTGGGTCCAATTTCCAGCACCCACAAGGCAGCTTACAGTCACCCATAACTCCAGGTCTAGGGAATCCAACACCCACTTCTGACTTCTGTAGGCACAGCCTGGGTCCACAAACATACAGGCAGGCAAAATGTTCATACATATAAAATAAATTTTTAAAAATATCTTTAAAGGTAAAAGAAAGGGGGCTGGTGAGATGGCTCAGCGGTTAAGAGCACTGACTGCACTTCCAGAGGTCACGAGTTCAAATCCCAGCAACCACATGGTGGCTCACAACCATCTGCAATGATATCTGATGCCCTCTTGTGGGGTGTCTGAAGACAGGTACAGTGTACTTACATATAATAAATAAATAAATAGTTTTTAAAAAAAAGGTAGAAGAAAAGGATACTAGTGCTCTATCACATTTTTTAAATTTTTTAGTTTAGAAGTGTAGTGTGTGTGTGTGTGTGTGTGTGGTTTTACTGTTTATGTCTCCCCTTCTAGACTCAATCCTTAAGGCAAGCACTGTATCTTATGCAACTCTGTATTTCTGTGTCAGTGCCTAATACACAGTATGTCCTTTAAGAATGATTTCACACATGCAAAAAGATGATTTTGGAAAACAGTATCCTAGTTTAACATTGAGAGTGACTTGTACAGAAATCAACAGTCACATTGGTCTACGCTAAGTTTAATCATTTCTCATTTGTACAGCGGGTCAGGCACAACTTATAGTAAAAGAGTAAGCACAGAAACTATTAAAGTATTATGTAAAATTCTTAAAAAGAGGATGGCAGTACTTTGGGGTTTGTTGTTTGTCTTCTTGCTTTTGAGACAGGGCTCGTAAAATGTATTTATTCCAGTCAACACATCTGATTCTACTGTGTGTTACCATTCATTTTATTATAACAGCAGTGAAAACACCCACCTTAACTTCTTCTCTATAATATGAATCACCAAATGTCTTCAGACAATGTCTTTTTATTTTTTTATTTTTTTTAGTTTTCCGAGACAAGGTTTCTCTGTATAGCCCAGGCTGTCCTAGAACTCACTCTGTAGACCAGGCTGGCCTCGAACTCAGAAATCCCCCTGCCTCTGCCTCCCAAGTGCTGGGATTAAAGGTGTGTGCCACCACTGCCTGGCGAATTTCTGTAATTCTAAGATGTTCATAGCCTCTGGAAACAACCAGAATAACTGTTACAGTGATATCAGTGAGTGAAAGATCTTGATCTTGGTATAGTTCGTTCTTTCTTTTTCTTTTGAGACATGGTTTCTCTGTGTAGCCCTGGTTGTCCTGGAACTTGCTCTATAAACCAGGCTGGCCTCAAACTCAGAGATCCTCCTGCCTCTGCCTGGAGTGCTAGGATTAAAGGCTTGTGCCACTGGTGCCCAGTTTGTGTCATGTCCTTTTAATCCCAGCACTCTGGAGACAGGTAAGCAGATTTGTCACATAGAGGCCAGCATGTCTAAATACCAAGTTCTCTACCAACCAGATTCACGTAGAGAGAACTGGTCTAAAAAAAAAAGCCGGGCGGTGGTGACACATGCCTTTAATCCCAGCACTTGGGAGGCAGAGGCAGGCGGATTTCTGAGTTCGAGGCCAGCCTGGTCTACAGAGTGAGTTCCAGGACAGACAGGGCTACACAGAGAAACCCTGTCTCGAAAAAAAAAAAAAACAAAAACAAAAAAATTAAATGTATCTGAGTGCTCTATCTACATATATAACTGCATGCCAGAAGAGGGCATACCAATCCCATTACAGATGGTTGTGAGCCACCATTTGGTTGCTAATTGAACTCAGGACCTCTGAAGAGCAGTCAGTGCTCTTAACCACTCTCTTTCCAGCACTCCTGAGGCAGAGACAGAGAGATTAAAGGCCAGTCTGGTTTACAAAGTGAGTTCTGGGACAGCCAGTGCTACATAGTGAGTCCTTGTCTCCAACCAACCAACCAAGCAAATGCTATTCAAACATCCTCCAATGTCATCATAGCATGGTTCACAAAGCAGGACCAGCAGTATACATTTTGTAAGAAGAGATCTTTGTAAATACCTGGAAACATTCTTAATGTGCTTGTGTATTTGTGATGTGTATAGCAACACTACTGTGTAACCACACTTTCCGGGGAAAATGCAACACATACATCTTCTCGCCCCCAGATAGGTAGCTCACTACATGCTAGGACCAAAGTCCAACTTGGTGAACAAATGTGTGTTATTAGGGTTACTTACAGGAACAGAAATGATTCCAAGACAGCTGCATCACCAAGGCCCAATCCAGCATGGGTGACAGCTCACAAAAACTGGGAAGCTGAAGCCCACTGCACAGCCTGTAGGCATATCAACACGTTAGAGAGTGTCCTTTGCTGGAGCCTCAGTTGTCTAAACCTCTTCCAAGCAGCTAGGTTGATCTCTGTTTCTTCCAGCTCAGAGTCTTTGCAACTTATCACTCTTTAGGGTTTTCTTTGCATCTTGGCTTGTTTGAGAATGACTGTCACCACCTTGGCTTGTTTACTCCTGGGAAGTAGAGGCCTAGAGAATCTGGTCAGTTTCGGGGACTTCCTGAAGCTGTTTTGAGTTGTTTACTTTCATGCTTAAGGATATTCTCTACAGGATAGAAATATGTCTTGGGAGTAGTCCCCTCCCCCCATACCCAGGTTTTCTCCTTGTAGCCCTAGCTGTCCTGAGGTTCACTGAAGCTAGCCTCTAACTCACAGAGATCCTCCTGCCTCTCCTGCTTATGCTTAGTAGGACCCCTAAGGAAGTGAGAGAAGACTATTAGCTCTCTGTCATCATCAGAGAAGGTGACAGTGGCTTATGCAAAAAATCTTGTCTCAATCAGTGCTTTGCTGCTAAACATTTTTTAAGGTTACCTATTTATTATTATACCTTGGTTTTTTTTAAAGTTTTATAACTTTTTTTCTAATATCTGAGTCTGACTGGGTAACAAAGGAAATCTTTTTAGCAGCTGTCTTTGATCCTTTAAAAAGGACCTAGCAGAACTTGTTTAAAGTCTCCTTGAAGGGAATGCTCACTTGGGAGAACTATTCCCCCTCCTTGGGTGTTTTTTTTTTTTTTTTTGGCTTTTTGAGACAGGGTTTCTCTGTGTAGCACTGTCTGTCCTGGAACTCATTCTGTAGACCAGGCTGGCCTCCAACTCAGAAATCCGCCTGCCTCTGCCTGGGTCTCTTTATTTGAGCTCAAGCTTGGGCTCCCTCCCAACCCTGACACAGCAGGAAAGTGGAGCCCTGAGTCTAGTTTTAGGCAACCATTCATAGAGGCAAGGGGTGGGGGGTATCTAGCCTGGTACCCATCTGATTGGAGGGTCATTATGGCCTGTAACATAATGGCTGGTGCTGGGAGCCAAATGATAAACTTCTGCTTTCCTCCTGATTGGTGATTGTTAGGAAGTGAAGTGTCAGAGGCAGGCTTGTCATCTGGAGGTGCAGATTTGTTGGGGAATAATCTGTAAACTGGTGCTAGATGCAGGTTTTGTTGGTGGGTAACCTGGAAACTGGTGTTAGACACAGATCTTGGGAGGTAGCCTGGAAACTGGTGCTAGGTACTGGCCTGTTAGTTAACTTGCGTTCAGCCTTAGGTTAGGTTCTCTAAGATGGAATCTGAACCCAAAAGATTTGGTCTCTGCCAGTGTTTTGAGCTCTGGTGTCTGGGATTCTGGTGGGATCTCCAGAAATGTTGTGGGGTATTCACCAGAAAAGACTGCTCAGACATGGGTTTAAACAAATAGCAAGTATTTATTAGCTGGCCAGCAGCTACTCTGGGTGTTCAGGAACCCAGTGTAGCTCTGAGCCTTTCTCAGGGTGAGCTTTTAAGCACAAATACTGTATCCTAGATTGACATACTTGAGTTAACAAGAACTCTTATCCAGAAGCAGAACTACAGAAGCCACAAAGCTAGGTCAGTACTTTAAAGACTGTCCCAAAACTATAGACTTAGATGGATTAGGTCTTTGATTTTTTTTTTAAAGATTCATTTATTTTATGTATATGAGTACACTGTTGTTGTCTTCAGACACACTAGAAGAGGGCATCGGGTCCCATTACAGATGGTTGTGAGCCACCATATGGTTGCTGGGAACTGAACTCAGGCCCTCTGGCAGAGCAGTCAGTGCTCTTAACCGCTGAGCCATCTCTCCAGCCCAGGTCTTTGATTTTATTTTTGGCAGGTGATGCTGTCTGCCTGCTGAGTTTTATAGCTTGAATGGCATTTCCAACTCGTGAGTTGTTCTAAGGTCATCTGGGGCTCTGCTGGCCTCGAAATCTGCCTGCCTCTGCTTCCCAAGTGCTGGGTTTAAAGGCGTATGCCTCCACTGCCCGGCTGTCTGGGGCTCTGTTATACTAGCATATCAGCTATCCAGGTACATGTTGGGATAGTTGTCAGAGGTGCTAGATAGAATTTGGTGGAATGATAATTTGAGTTTCACATTGCTCTTTTTTTCTTTTTTTCGGCCAGGTCTCATATAGCCAGTGCTAGCTGTGAACTCTGAACCTGCCTTCATCTCCTAAGTGCTGGGAAACAGGAATATGCACCATATTCAGCTTGAATATTTTGAGCATAATAGTACATCCTAGATATTTCTTAACCTGAATAACATGAATCTAAGCTGGGCTTGGCAGCACATGCCTTTAATCTCAGAATTTGGGAGGCAGAGGCAGGTGGATCTCTTTCAGTTTGAGGCCATCTTGTTCAACAAGGTCTTCTGGTTTCCTGGCTTGCTTCTGGCCTCTTGGCTCTTGCGTCTTCTCTCTTCCTCTCATTTCCCTCCCGTCCTCTCATGGCCAGGTTCACGCTGGACTTTTTCAGATATCTCTACCTCTGCCTGGGCTCTCCCTTACAGCTAAAATAAAAACCTCAACCAATTAAGAGTCCAGAGAGAACGTGACAGCAGACTGACCCAGTCCATGTGAGGAGAAGGGCAAGGGAGAGGGATGAGGCAGAAGTCAGGAGAGTGGGACCAAGAGTGGGCAGCCATGAGGCAAAGAGATAAAAAGAACCGTGTCACCGAAATGGTATATTAAGGAGGCACAGCTGGGGAAAGGCAGTGCGGTTCAGGGGCTGGAGAGGTTGAGGATGGGTGCGGGGTGCAAAGTGCTGAGGAGCCAGACAATGACACAGGTAGGGACAGAAGAAGTCCCTTTCACAAGTTAAATAGGCACCTGAGTGAGTCATTTGTCCTGGGGTTTGAGACCTAACACTTTCTCATGGAAACTTCCTACACAAATGAACAGGAACATGTATACTAACTGTAGCTTTAAAAATATACAGTTTACAAAGCTTATAAATCTTAAAAAGTTTGAGGTCAGCTTGAGTAATATGGGACTTAGTCTAAAAATAACAAATTAGCTGTTATGGTGGCACAAACTAACACCAGCACTTGGGAGGTAGAGGCAGGGAAATCTCTGTAAATTCTAGGCTAGCCAAGGTCACAAAGACCAGTTCTCAAAAACAGAAACATTTAAAAGGCACACTAGGAAGAAAGATACATGTCACCGGAATAGAAAATTCTCAAGGTATACACAGAGTATGTTGCCTGGGTTAGTGGTACACACCTGTAATTTTAGCATGAGGGAAATGGAAGCAAGAATCAGGAGCCTTAAGACCACAGACTGTGACTGCTACCTACTGGGCTCCAGGCCAGAGTCGTTGTGATACTGTCTCATAATCAAAACAAAATAAGGCCCAGATGGGTCTTTAGTGTCAGCACTGGGGAGGCAGAGACAAGTGGATCTCTGAGTTCCTGTACCACCCCAGGGGCCTTAGGAACCCTTTAAACCTAAGGTGACTCACGCCGACTCACACCTGTAACTCGTTACTTTAGGAGGGTAGAAGTGGGCTCCCACAATGGCCAGCTTTAGCTTCTGTGTGAGCTTCAGGTCAGTCTGAGCTAGAAAGAGAGATGTTGACTCAAAATGTCACTCTACCACCAACAATCTAAACTATCAACTTCATGTATGTGTGCAAGTAGTTACTGTAACCTTAGTTAAATATACTCTGTATAAATCTGTCTTCTAATTTTTATGTTTACTTTTGTTGTGTGTGCTTGGATGTTTTGCCTAGATGCATTATCTGTGGGAGGATGTTGGATCCCAAGAGCTGGAGTTACAGACAGTTGTGAGCTGCTGGGAATTGAACCTGGGTCCTCTAGAAGGGCAACCAACCAGTGCTCTTAACCACTGAGCCTTCTCCATGGCCCTGAAAATTCCATTTCCTCAGGCCTGTTAAGTTCTAACTGTATAATCTAAATGGCAACTTTCTGACCTGCTCTAGGGGAATTTGTAGGCAAGGGACTGTCATCACAGAGCTCTGACAGCCTACCCTGGAGGTCCTGGAGACCAAGCAATGGAAGTACGCCTGGAATCACTGAGCTCAAAACTTTTTTGCAATGTAAAGCAATCTTTTTTTTTTTTTTTCATTTTATTTTCGAGAGCATGTTTAAATTCTCACAAAAACACTCTTCTCACTGGTTATTGTGAGAATTCAGGGAGTTTACAAATTTTGTCTTCAAATTTTTGACAGTACCACATGGCATCCTATGCCTATTAACTCCCGTGTTTTGATGCTTAGGCGACGTCCAGGCTAGCTGGAGATAAGAGAGTAGGTGAGATAAGAAAAGGAAAAAGAATGGGAAAAGAAAAATAAAATTTCGGACTTCAGACGTCTTAAAGTAGTAGAATTTTATCCATTTTTATCCAATTTTAAACCAAAATGTGGTATAATAGAAATACTTCCGAGAGAACTACACCGGGCACTTCCTGAAGGTAGTGCACACATGCTTAGACCCTTTTTCTGAGTCTCGTTGTCTTCTCTCTCTCTCTTTTTTTTTTTTTTTTTTTTAGAAACTGGACGTTTGTCATGGTAAAACATTCCAGCAATAGAGAAAAGGCTGAGGCATAGCTGCAACTGGGAGGCCAGCGCAGGTTACAAAGACCCTGCTGCAAAAGTCTGACTGCCCCCCAACCCCGCACTCTACGCTAACGTTTCTACTCCTAACTAGCTTCTCTGAACCTCGGATTCCTTGCCTGTGAAATCTCAATGAGGATAGAGGATAGTGTCCCGTGGGTGTGAGGGCAGAGAAAATGAATGCAAAATGTCTAAACTTAGTAAATTCCACTAGCAAGCTTTGTTTAAGCACTCAGACTTGAAACAGGGCGGCGGTGGTGCATACCCCACGCCTTTAATCCCAGCACTCAGGAGGCAGAGGCAGGCGGATCTCTGAGTTCGAGGCCAGCCTGGTCCACAAAGTTCCAGGACGGCCTATACAGAGAAACCCTGTCTCAGAAACCCAAAACCAACCAACCAAAAACCCCAATATTCAGACTTGCGGGGTAATGTCCCCAGTGGTCACCTGTCCTTTGATTTTAAAAATTCTGTAAATCAAAAGGCTTCTTACAAGCTGTGCTAAGACCCGTCGCCACCGGAACCTGGGACTATTTACTCAAAGAATTACCAGTTAGGTTTAAATTTTAAAGGTAGTCTCCGCAACTTCCGTTTCTAGCAAGATCCCCAAAGGGGAGTTGGATACTTATCGCGAGAGTCTAACGGGACGCGTTTGCGGCTTGGGTCCTGTTCTCGCGTTTTCTGAGGAAGTAATGGGCCCGAGGTGAAAAGGGAAGCGCGAAGTATCGCGGGAGTCTAGTGGAGTCTCGCGATACTTCTGGAGCTCGCCCCTCCCCCTCCCCCCAAGTGCCGTTTCGGTTTAATCTAGTGTGTGACTGAGTCTGTGTGAGGGAGCGAAATGTGTATGTGAGGTCTTGGGGTGAGGCGGAGGGTAGAAAAGGGGCTCCCTCAGGGACGAGGGACAAAAGGGGAGGTGAGGCAACCTAGGCCACGGAGGCCTGGCGACAGGAAGCCGCCCCGAGCCGGGCTACCGGGTAGGGAAAGGGCCCGCGCAGTCCTCCCGGGGCTCCAGAGCCGGAGTCGGCCCCACAGGCTCGGGCGGACGGCTTCCTACTTCCTTGACCGCCCGGGCTCGCGGGCCTGAAGACTGGCTCGGCGGGGCTGGGCGGCCGTGAGGGGCAGACCCGAGCAGCTCCCGGTGTCTCGCTACTCCAGTGCTGAGGAACTCTTCATTTCTTCCCTCTCTCCTTCACCCCCCACCTCATGTAGGAGGGTGCTGCGGAGGCGAGAGGGAGGAGGAGCCTGGCCTACGGTCCCTTCTCTCCCCACCCCCTTTTAGGGGCTCTTCGGTGGGCGTGGAGTTGGGGCTGGGGGGAGGGTGGGGCTTTTTGGAGTGCCGGGGAACTTTTTCCCCTTCTTCAGGCCCGGGGAAAGGGAATGCCCAATTCAGAGAGACATGGGGGCAAGAAGGACGGGAGTGGAGGAGCTTCTGGAACTTCGCAGCCGTCATCGGGAGGTGGCAGCTCCAACAGCAGGGAGCGTCACCGCTTGGTGTCGAAGCACAAGCGGCATAAGTCCAAGCACTCCAAAGACATGGGGTTGGTAACCCCCGAAGCGGCATCTCTGGGTACAATAATCAAACCATTGGTGGAGTATGATGACATCAGCTCCGATTCAGACACCTTCTCAGATGACATGGCCTTCAAATCAGACAGGAGGGAGAACGATGAACGCCGTGGAACGGATCGGAGCGACCGCCTGCACAGACACCGTCACCACCAGCACCGGCGGTCCCGAGACTTGTTAAAAACTAAACAGACCGAAAAAGAAAAAAACCAGGACGTCTCCAAATCTGGATCTATGAAGGACCGGATATCAGGTAGTTCAAAACGTTCAGTTGAGGGAAATGATGATTACGGGAAGGCACAAATATCCAAAAGCAGCAGCAAGGAATCCAGGTCGTCCAAAATGCACAAGGAGAAGACCCGGAAAGAACGAGAGCTAAAGTCTGGACACAAGGACCGGAGTAAAAGTCATCGGAAAAGGGAAACACCCAAAAGTTACAAAACGGTGGATAGCCCTAAACGGAGATCCAGGAGTCCCCATAGGAAATGGTCTGACAGTTCCAAGCAAGATGACAGCCCTTCTGGAGCTTCTTATGGCCAAGATTACGATCTTAGCCCCCCAAGGTCTCATACTTCTAGCAATTATGACTCCTACAAGAAGAGTCCTGGAAGTACCTCAAGAAGGCAGTCAATCAGCCCACCTTACAAAGAGCCTTCTGCTTACCAGTCCAGCACTCGGTCACCCAGTCCCTACAGCCGACGCCAGAGGTCTGTGAGTCCCTATAGCCGGAGACGGTCCTCCAGCTATGAAAGGAGTGGCTCTTACAGCGGGAGATCACCTAGCCCCTATGGCCGAAGGCGATCTAGCAGCCCTTTCTTGAGCAAGAGGTCTCTGAGTCGGAGTCCAATCCCCAGGTGAGCTGTTGTCTGTCCTTCCTAAGGTAGGGTGGGTTGGGAGCAATTGACAACTAGTCTTTAACATTTTGTTAAAGCTTGCAGTGTTCATCTTTGACTAGTCATTTAGGTAAGTCTGGCTTTCCACTCACCCAGTTGAGAAGTAAACATTCCAAGTGCCTCCATCTACTCAAGCAAGGTAGGTAGATACTTTTCAATAATGGAGAACTTTCAGTTGTGAGAACTTGCTTCTGTCTAAGGAAGTGCATAGTCTCTAGAACTTGTTTAGCTATTTGTTGCTTTGTCTTAAAATTTTGTAAGTCATATTGGTACCAGTGCTTAAACCTTATTGGCACTCACAAAGAGAATTAAGATGCTACAAATTTTCATTTCTACTATTTGCATAAGTTTTTTTTTTTTTTTCCCCTCGAGACAGGGTGTCTCTGTATAGCCCTCCCTATCCTGGAACTCACTCTGTAGACCAGGCTGGCCTGGAACTCAGAAGTCCGCTTGCCTCTGCCTCCCAAGTGCTGGGATCAAAGGCATGCACCATCACTGCCTGGCTGCATAAGTTATCCTAAACAAATTTGTCTACCATGTTCCCAAGGTTATAGTTATCACTATTTTAACTTACTTCTGAAAAGTCCTGCCTTGTAACTGTGTAGTGAAAATTGAGCTAATGAGAGTACTTTCCTTTTGATAGACTCTAGCAAAAAGTGGTTGAGTTTTTTTGTTTGGAGCACCACTGTTGACCACTTACTTAGTGTTTCAACACTAGTAATTTTCAAAATTTTCCTTGAAATATTTGCTAATAGTGCCTTTGGCTTGTTATTTTTGTAAGAAAGATGTGTTAATTTGAAATTATCTATGAAAAAATTGTGTTCTTGTCTCATGTAGACCCATCTCCACAAAAACAAAATGGGAGCTGTATATTATCTGAGTGGAATCTTAATATTTCTTTGTGACCTTTGGCAAATGATTTAATTTGTTCATACCAAGCCGAGCAGTGGTGGCGCACGCCTTTAATCCCAGCACTTGGGAGGCAGAGGCAGGCGGATTTCTGAGTTCAAGGCCAGCCTGGTCTGCAGAGTTCCAGGACAGCTAGGGCTATACAGAGAAACCCTGTCTCGAAAAACCAAAAAAAAAAAAAAACAAAATAATTTGTTCATACCAGAGTTTCTTCATGTGGAAAATAGGAATAAAAACTACCTCCTTCAAGGCTGTTGTGAAAATAAGTAAATAATGAAGCATGGTACTGTGCCTTATACATACTGTGACTCAGTACATTTTATAAGTGAATACCACTGGCAGAGAAATTAACTCATGCATATGTTTTATAAGTCAGTGTATATTTATTTCACTGGCTTAAACTTACAACTAAAGTGGATTTGCTTAAGTTTGCTATAGTGCTTAAGTTTTCTTAAGTGTTTTCTCATTCTAGTGTTAAAAAAATTAATAGATTTGATTATATAAACATGCATGTATCTAACACCTAAATTCTGTACTTTGTTTCATTTTGTTTAAGTCCACTAGTTCATCTTTTGTTTAGATTCATCTCAAAGTTGTAGCAATCAGTATACCTTTGTAAACATTTAGCATGTATACCATTTCTTAGAGATAAGATTTATGCATAGTGGAATGCATAAGTCATAAATATACCATTTATAATGTTGCATAGTTTTAAAGGGAATCTAAAAAGTATTCTCAGAATTTTATTTGTGTTTTTTTAGGCAGGGTTTTACACTGTAACCTAGGATAACCTGAAATTTAATATTTAGACTGTACTGGCTTCAAACTGGCCTGAAATTTCTAGTAATCCTGCCTTAACCTCTTAACTGTTGGGATTACAGACATGAGCTATCATATTAAGCAGAATATTTGCTTTCTTAAGAGTGTGAACATTAAGGCTATTTGAAAAAATTTTACTGTTGAGTATAGAAATATAAAAGGCTAAAACAGGATTTTAAGTGAGACCTTTTGTTTTGAAAGATTCCTTTTAGATTTTTAGAGAAAATAACAGATATTAACTTGTCTAAGTGAGTTGAGAAAGTTGTGTTTCTTAATTGAGATTAATGTAGTAATGGCAGATAAAAGCCTACGAGGAAATGGAGACAATATGATAGTGGGGCTGCAAATATAAACTTAAAATATTACTGGGGATATATGAACACTTTTTTGTTAGCTTGATTAGAGCATTATTTGTTTGAATATTGCATATTTTTAATTATTGGAATTCTCAACAGTAACAGAAAAACTTGAGAGTGTAGAATCTGAGCATAAGCCCAATGTAAGAAAAGCTGTGGCAAGTGGATTTTTTTTTTTTTTTTTTTTTTTTTTAAAGACAGGGTTTCTCTGTGTAGCCCTGGCTGTCCTGGAACTCACTCTGTAGACCAGGCTGGCCTCGAACTCAGAAATCCACCTGCCTCTGCCTCCCAAGTGCTGGGATTAAAGGCATTCACCACGACCTGACAAAATTTATTTTTGAGGCAAGATCTCCCTAATAGAAGGGGCTAGCTTAGAATTCCCCCCCCCCCAAGATAGTTTTTCACTGTGTAGCTTTGGCTATTCTGTCCTGGAACTCCACTCTGTAGACTAAGCAGGCCTTGAACTCAAAGAGATTTAACCTGGCTCTGTCCAGTGCTGGAATTAAATAAAAATACTTCCTAACCTAGGCCCAGTAGTACTTTTTTTTTTTTTTTAAGACATGGTGTCATTGTAGAGCTCTGGCTAGCTTGAAATTCACTATGTAGACCAGTTGGGTTCAAATGCCTATCTTTTCCCAAGTGCTGCAGTTAAAGGCATAGACCATCAAGCCTGATTCTAGACATAGTTTTAGTGGTTTGGATTGTTGGTTTTCCTCATACTAATTCTTTTTTTTTTCCAGAGCTGAGGACGGAACCCAGGGCCTTGCACTTGCTTGACAAGCGCTCTACCACTGAGCTAAATCCCCAATCCCCCCATACTGATTCTTAAGCAGGGCTATAATAAAAGAGAGAGAGAGAGAGAGACAGACAGACAGACAGACACACACACACAGACTTTAGAATAGTATATTCTGTAGATTCCCAGATTTTATTTCACAGTCGTTCCTCATAAAAATTTTATTTGTGGGACTGAAAAAAATGGCTTAGCAGTTAACACCGACTGTAGGCAGGCACAGTTTGATGCTAACCTCGTCTGCATATCAAACTTAAGGCCGGTCTAGCTACATAGTAAGATCCTACTTTAAAAACAAAACAAACAAGTTTACTTGTATGTGCAGTTATTTCTTGTCTTACCTGTATTAAAAAGTTGATTGGAAATCATTTTTGTATTAAAGGAATTGAGTAAGACCTTTAGTATCAGCACTCAGTAGACTAAGACAAGATGATCATGAGTATTAAGCTAGCTTAATCTCTGTAACAGGGTCTTGTCTCAGAACACTAAAAGGTAAAACTATGAACTGTCAGGGCTGATAATATTGTCAGTCAGGGGTGATGAGTAGTAAGTAGTCTGTTCCCTTAGCAAATGGAAAGTTTGGTCCTTAGTGCCCAAAACTACAAGATACCAAAAACTCTTACAGGCTTTAAAATTTTTGTTTTAATATAAATATAATACAAATTTTCTCTGTATGCGTATAAATTCTAAATTCTGTATATTGGGCACTCATTTACTATAGATACAACTTTATTATAAGCTGAGGCTGTAAGGAGGACTCTAGTTAGAAAGGTAGAAGTTGGGCTGAAAGGTTGGCTCAGTGGTTAGGGGCACTGGTGGTTTTCCTAGAAGATTTTCCAGCACCCATACAGTGGCTCATAAACATCTCTAAATCCAGTCCCAGGGATTCCAGTGCCCTTTTCTGACCTCTGAATACTGGGCACAGGCATGGTGCACTTCCATAAATCCATAATACAAAGCACTCCCGCACATAAAATAATAAATCTTAGAAGACTGAATAAAAAAACATTATTGAAGTATATTCTTGATATTTTCATATTATCAAATATTTATAAAACAAAGTTTCTCAAGCATTATGAATATAGCTACATTCTGATGTGGGGAAATATGCCATCTTTCTTTAATTAAATAAGTAGTGGGCAAGCTGGTCAATGATGGGGAATACCTTTGATCCCAGCACTCTTTGAGTTAAAAAAAAAAAAGCCAGCCTGGATATAGACGGAGTTCCAGGACAGTTAGGACTACATAGAGACCCTGTCTGGAGAAACAACAAAAACAAAACAAAACAAAACAAATAATGAGTGGACACTTTTTGGTACTTTTTTGGTTTTGTTTATTTTTAATTTTTTCTTTTGTCAAGATAAAGTTTATGTAGCCTTGGATTCCTAGAGCTCTCTCCATAGGCCAGGCTGGTCTAGAATTTACCGGGATCAACCTGCCAAGTGCCCAGATGAAAAGCGCACCACCACCATCCAGCTTATTTTTATTTATTTATTTACTTTTTAATTGTGATGATTGTGCCTCTGTCTCTTTATGGCTGTGATTACCAGTGATGCTGCTACCATGCTGGCCCTGTTGTTTTTTGTTTAGTCTTTTTTCTTTCTTTTACACTGGGTCTTACTATATAGCTTAGGCAGGCTTGGAACTTCCTTTGTAGAGCAAACTGTCTAGAATTCACAAAGATCCTAAAGGCACAACACCCAGATGGGTGGTTCTTCTTCTTCTTCTTCTTCTTTTTTTTGTATTATTATTTTAAATTATGTGTTTGTGTGCATATATGTACGTGAATGCAGATGCCTGTGAAGGCCAGGGCCTCCAGATTGCCAAGTCTGGAGTTATAGGTGGCTGTGCCCAGTGTGAGTGCTGGGAGCTAAACTTGGCTCCTCTGCTAATGTTCAACCACTGAAGCATCTCTTCAGTTCCTGAAGTTTTTTTTTTTGTTGTTGTTGTTCTTTGTTTTGTTTTTGAACAAGGTCTAAATATGACCCAAGTTGACAGAAACTCACTCACTGTGGCTCACACTGGCTTCTCAGTCTCAGTAATTCTCTAAATGTAATTTAGAGAATTTGTAATTTGGTTTCCTAAATGCTAGGATTACAAATAGGAGCCACCAAGCCATAGCCAAGCCAAGTGAATATTTAGTTTTACTAGGTTCTAATATATATTTGATATTGTACATGCAGTTATTTGTTGTCTTACCTGTACTAAAAAACTGATTGGAAATCAGTTTTGTGTTAAAGGAGATTTAGAGTTTGTTTTGTTTTTAGATATAATCTCATATAGCCAAAGCTGACTTTGAGTTTGGCATATAGCAGAGGACTTTGGTTACTTTTTTGATACTTAAGTTTTATGTGTATGATTATTTGCCTGCATATATGTGTTTTACCACATGCATGCCTGGTGCTCAAGGAGACAAGAAGTGGCTGTTGGATGGTTTCAGCCACCAAGTAGGTACTGGGAAGTGCTTTTAACCACTGAACCTTCTTCTCTAGTCCCAACTTTGAACCTCCTTTTGTCTTTTTTGTTTTTGTTTTTGTTTTTTTAAGATTTATTTATTTTATGTGTGTTGGTTTTTTGCCTGTTTATATTTTTGTATAAAGATGTTGGATCCCCTGGAACTGGAGTTACATACAGGGAGCTACCATGTGGGTGCTAGGAATTGAACTTGACTCCTTTGGAAGAGCAGTTAGCACTCTTAACCACTGAGCCATCTCTCCAGCTCCCCTTTCCTCCCATTTTTTAGAGAGGGGGTGGTTCTGTCTTTTCTGGGACAGGTCTCACTAGATAGTTCCAGCTGTCCTAGAACTCACTCTGTATACTAGGCTGGCCTTGAACTCAGATCCATCTGCTTCTGTCTCCCCAGGGCTGTGATTAAAGCCCTGACTTGTTTTTGTTTGTTTGTTTGTTTTTATTCTGTATATATGGGTGGTTTGCCTATATATCTGTATACCATGTACTTGCAGTGTCTGGGGAAGCCCAAAGTGGGGGTTAGATATACCCAGAACTGGAGTAACAGACAATTAATTAGACACTGTGTGAGGTTTGGGTTTAGAACCTCAGTCCTCTGGAAGAGTAGCCACTGTTCTTAATCATTGAGCCAGCCCCTCCAGACGCCATTCCTCCCCCACATTTTCTTTTCTTTTTTTTTTTTTAACTTTTGAGACAGTAGACTAAAATGTCTTTGAACTTAGAGATTCTAATGACTGCCTTTGAAGTGCTGGCATAAAGGAGTATGCCCTCATACTTCTCTTTAATCAACTTTTAGAATTGATAACTCAGGATGCGATTAAATTTATAGTTCTAGACCCTGTTTTTATGGCCTATTATCCTCTTTATTACTCTGTGTATTGTGTGTTTTAAACTGCCTTTCTTCTTTTTCCAGTAGGAAATCCATGAAGTCCAGAAGTAGAAGTCCTGCATATTCAAGACACTCATCTTCTCATGGTAAAAAGAAGCGATCCGGGTCACGCAGTCGTCATTCCAGTATCTCACCTGTCAGGCTTCCATTGAATTCCAGCCTGGGAGCTGAACTCAGTAGAAAAAAGAAGGAAAGAGCAGCTGCAGCAGCAGCAGCAAAAATGGATGGAAAAGAATCCAAGGGTTCACCTATAATTTTGCCTAAAAAAGAGAAACTTGAGGTGAAGGAATCAGGGTTAGAGTCTAAAAAGTTACCCAAAGGTATAAAGTCAGAAAAATCTACCCCAGATACTGAACTGGTAAATGTAGCACATTCAAACATAGAGGTAAAAAATTGTTTAGATACAGGGAAAGTAAAGTTGGATGAGAACTTGCAGAAGCATCCTGTTAAGGATTTGAAAGCACAGGGAACAAAGGACGCTAAACCTGTAGCACTGAAGGAGGTGATTGTTACTTCAAAGGAGACAGAGACATCAGAAAAGGAGACCCTTCCACCTCTCCCCACAATTACTTCTCCACCCCCTTTACCATCTACTACCCCTCCACCTCAGACACCCCCTTTACCACCTTTGCCTCCACTACCGGCTATTCCACTGCAGCCACCTCTGCCTCCTCCCCAACCACCATTTAGTCAAGTTCCTGTTTCAAGTACTTCAGCTTTACCCTCTTCTCCTCACCCAAGGACATCTACTCTATCCTCTCAGACAAATTCTCAGCCCCCTGTACAGGTTTCTATGAAGACTCAAGTATCAGTAACAGCTGCTATTCCACACCTGAAAACTTCAACATTGCCTCCTCTGCCCCTCCCTCCCCTATTACCTGGAGATGATGACATGGATAGGTAAGTTTCATAATGGGGTGGAAAAAGTCAGTTTTCTGATTTATATTTAAAGTTTCTGAACCTATTAGATTATCTTTTAATTATTTTATAATTAGGAATTGCTTTTTGTTTTTTAGTAGAAAAGTCCATTCTTGTATTGCTTGAGAATAGAGAGTTAGAACTTTGTATTCTCTTTCATTTTTAAAAATTACATGTTTGTTTACTCTTGAGTGTGTATACTGTGTCTTAGTGCAAGGCCAGAGGAAAATTTGGGGGGAATCAATTTTCTTCTGTCCTGTAGATTTCAGGTATCAGTCATCGGGCTTGGTGGCAAGTGCCATTAGTTGCTGAATTATTTTGATAGCTACCTTTTGGGGTTAGGGGCAGGGATATCATCTTCTTACACTCACTGTATAGTCTCAGGTATCCTTAAACTTAAAGTAATCCTGCCTCAGTATCCTTAGTGCTGGGATTATAGACATGCATCATCATGCCTGACAAGAATTAAAATTTAAAACTTGATAAATCTTTTTCATATAAATTTACTTTAATTTTTAGGGTTTTTCGGGGGTTGGGGCTGGTGTTTCAGAAACAAGGCTTCATTGTGTAGCCCTGGCAGTCCTGGAACTTACCCTGTAGACCACACTGGCTTTAAACTCACAGGATCTGCCTACTTGTCCTTCCTGTGTACTGGAATTAAAGACGTGCACCACCACTGCCCAACCTAGATATATTTTGTGTATTCGTGCATGTGTGACTTTTGCCTGTACATATATGTGTGTATAACGTGGTCAGAGGATGGTGATAAATCCTATGGAATAAGAATATGGATGGTTCTGAGCTACCATGTGGGTGCTGGGAACTGCACTTAAGTCTCTAGAAGATTAATAAGTGCTCTTAATTATTGAGTCATCTCTCCAGTCCCAACTGTACTATATTTGAATATTTAATTTTCATATATGTGTATGTGTGTGAACCTGCATGAATATATGTGTCCCACATGGATGTAGAAGCTAGTGTAAACCAAAGGTTATTAGATTCCCTGAAATTGGAGTTAGAAATGTTTGTGTGCTGCCATGTGAATGCAGGTCCTCTAGAAGCACAGTAAGCACTCTTTTTTTGTTTGTTTGTTTTTGTTTTTGGAGACAGGGTTTCTCTGTGTAGCCCTGGCTGTCCTGGAACTCACTCTGTAGACCAGGCTGGCCTCGAACTCAGAAATCCACCTGCCACTGCCTCCCAAGTGCTGGGACTAAAGGCGTGTGCCACCACTGCCTGGCTATAGTAAACACTCTTAAACCTCTGAGCCATCACTCTAGGCCCAAGTGTATTGTTTTTATTTGTGTGTGTGCTCACATGTGTGCATTGGAGCCTAGAGGATACCCTCATACCTTAGTTCTTACATAATCACATCTTTATTTTAATTTTTTAAGTTTATGCTATGGATATGTATGTATGTGTGTGTGAACACGTGTTCTATGTGATACTTGTGGAAGTCAGCCATTTTGTGGAGTTGTTTCTTGCCTTTGTTCTTTGCATAGGTTCCAAATGGAACTCAGGTCAGTAGAGTTTCATGTCAAGCATCTTTACTGACTTAGCCATATTAGCTCTGTTTTCTTTTCCTAATATTTTAATATTTATAGAGGATTTATTATAGAGTGATAAAATTTTAAAAAATTATTTATTCTGCCAGGCAGTGGTGACACATACCTTTAATCCCAGCACTTCAGAAGCAGAGGCAGGTGGACCTCTGAGTTCGAGGCCAGTCTGGTCTACAAATCCAAGTTCCAGGGCAGCCAAAGCTATACAGAGAGACCCTGTCTCAAAATTTCCCCTCCTCAACCCCCCCCAAAAAAAACTCTTATCCTATAATTTAGAAAAAAAAGCAGTATAAGTCATCTTTGCAAATTAAACTATAACTCAGAATGAAGATAGAAAGAGCTTAAATCTAATGGGTCTCTGAGTATTGGTTACTGAAATGATCATGAAACATGAATCTCATAAACGACATTATGAAACATTTTTAATCTGTTGGCCATACTAGCTGTACAAGACCTCCAAACATATATACTTTAGCCAGTGGCTGGTATAGAAGTGTGGTCTTAACTGTTTTTTCTGTTGAGATCTTGCCCTTTTATTTTCTAGGGGATGAATTGTACTTCCTGTCAAAAACTTTATTGCAAATAAGAAAATAAGTTCTGTTTATCTTAAATTGAAAATCAATTTTCAAAGTTTACTTTCTAGGATACCTCAAATTTGAGTGATGATGTGTTGTGTGAGTGTAGGTGTGCAATTGGAGGCCTAAAGTCAACCTTAAGTGTTATCCAAGAGTCATCCATCTTGTTTTTGTTTTGTTTTAATTTGTAAATATATTTTATCTAGCTGAGTGTAGGCCTATAATCCCAACACTTAGGAGACAGAGACAGGTAGATCTCTTGTGGAGGCCAGCTTGGTCTACATAGTGAGTTCTAGGACAGCCATGTCTACATAGGGAATTGCCTTTTTTTTTTTTTTTTAAAGATAACCGGACAGTGGTAGTGGCACATTCCTTTAATCCAGCGTTTGGGAGACAGAGGCAAGTGGATCTCTGAGGATTTGAGGCTAGCTTGGTCTACAGAGTGAGTTTCAGGATAGCCAGGATGACACAGATAAGCCCTATCTTGGGGGGTGGGGGGAGGAGGAACAACCAACCATCGAAAGTTTTTTTTATCTCTATTGTAAGTGTTTTGCCTGCATATTTGTGCACCAGAAGGTGGCAAATCCCTTCGAATGGGTGGTTGTAAGTGGGTCGTAGGAATCGAACTATGGTACGCAGGAAGAGCAATAAGAGATTTTAACAACTTAGCCGTTTTTCAAGCCCTTTGAATTTTTCTGTTTCTATCCCTCTGGAGCTGAGGTTATAAGCCTGTGCCACCAAACCCATTTTTTAATATAGGTGTTACAGATCAAACTTAAGTCCTTGCTTGGGCAGCAAACATATTACTGACTAAACTATTTCTCCAGTCCTGTTTATTCTTTTTAGTTCTTAAGATCTATATTCTTTCAGACTACCTTCTGTGCTTCTTAGAAATGCTCTCGTGTAATAGTGGACAGGAAAGGGTAGGGAGTGGGGAGAATGCTTTACTTCTGAGGTAAGGTATTTCTTTATTTTCTAGACTGTTCTTGAACTCCTGGCCTTGAGACATCTTCCTTCTTTAGCTATCCATGTGCTAGGACTACAGTTATTCATCACCAAGGCTAGTTCTCTTGTTTTCATTAAGTATTTATATATTTTGTTTTTTTGTTTTTTTTTTTTGTTTTTTTTTTTTTTTTTTTGGAGACAGAGTCTCATTATATAGCCCTTGACTAGCCTAGAATTCATCAATCTACCTAGCTCTACCTCCAGAATGCTGGGGTCCATCTGCTTCTAACTTCATAGTTCTAGGATTAAAAGTGGGGGCCACTATGCCCAACCCAGTGTTATTAGTTTAAGTATTTGACAATTGGTTATTTTTTTATAAATTATTAAAAGTAGGAAATGGAAATGAAGATTTTTGTCTTTTCTTGAGACTGAGGGAAGAAGGGGATCAGTATCTGTATCTTATTGGCCAGCCAGACTAGGCAGTTTGATGAGATTTGGTTTACTGTCTCAAAAAATAAAATTTGAGAGCACCAGAGAAAGGCCTTTGATTACCTCTGGCTTCCTCACTTCCTCATACACACACGCACATAAAACTTATACACATGTATAGAAGCCTACAGTAGCAAGTACATATACAACACACATAACAATACAAGAGAGGATAGAGACACACACACCTTGACTGAGACCTTTAAAGTGGACTTAGTGGCCACTTGTCATGCCAGCACTCAGGATGCTGATATAGAGGGATTGCTTAGTGTTGGAGGGCTGGCCTAGACTCCCAAATGCTGGGATTATATCCCCTTTTAATATTGGTTATTAGACTAAATGAATAGTTAAAATTGCTCAAGGAATTAGGAATTTCATTTGGAGATCCACTTGTTTCTGCCTCTTGTGTGCTTTGATTAAAGGCATGTGCTAACAAGTCAGGTGACAAATGCTTACGTTTGTACCTACATGTTAATTTAAATTTGATTAACAAGTTTCAAAATTGTAAAATTGGGGTAGGAGTCAACTGTTTCTTATACACCAACTTAAAGCAGCCTAAATACCACATGGGAAGCCTTAAAAAAGTATGAATGAGAAACCAGAAGCACTAGATAAGGACAAATTGTATATATACATCAGTATTTCCTGGTAATTATTTTGGCATATAAATATCTTTCATTATGTCAGGCCCCTTCCCTATTTGGCATATTAAGTGCCTTACAGTAAGAGGTATAATGTTTGTTAAACATTGGATTTTTATGAGTCCTCATATTTTTTTGTTTTGTTTTGTGTTTTCGGGTTTTTTTGGTTTTTTTAAGACAGGGTTTCTCTGTGTAGCCCTGTCCTGGAACTCACTCTATAGACCAGGCTGGCCTCAAACTCAGAAATCCGCCTGCCTCTGCCTCCCAAGTACTGGAATTAAAGGCGTGCGCCACCACCGCCCGGCCCTCATTATATTTTTAAGGTTTTTAATATGTTAAAATTTTTTGAAGCAAAATTTTGACCTCCTCAGGTTAGTGTGGCCTCAATTGATGATTGTCCTGCTCAAGACTCATTCCTTCTTAAAACTTCCATAGAATAGAAGCTCCTGTAGCATGCCACCAACCCCCAAGACTGTCTCCATGTAGTCCTGCCAGTCCTAGAACTTGCTAGGTAATATAGACTGGCCTTAAACTCACAGAGATCCTCCTGCCTCTGCCTCTGGAATGTTGAGATTAAAAGCATGTGCCATCATACCTGGCAGCATGTACATTTTTCAATGGTAATAAACTATATTTGAAGCCATGAAGTAATAAATCTTTGAGGAAAAAAAACTAAGTGTAAAAACAATAGACTTAAGTGATAGTCGTGAGACAGTTCAGTTACTTTGTTTTCTTCTCTAGTAAACAGAACTAAGAGGTCTCTGTCTCTTTTTTTTTTTTTTTTTTTTTGTAATTCAAGACAGGTTTTCCACTTAGGCCCCCGACTTCCTCAGGTACCAGGCATGCATATAGTACACAGACATACATGTAGGCAGAACACTTACATTAAAAAAAAATTGGGGGGGGGTGCTGGAGAAATCGATTGGCAGAGTTGCTGCTCTTGCAGCACCCATGTCTAGTGGATCACAACCTGTAATTCCAGTTCCAGGGAATCTGACATTACACCTAGTTGAGCATCTACTGTCACTTGCATATACACACACAAAAACACAGAATTTAAAAATAAGTATATTTTTCAATTTTAGATTTATCAGGCTTTATAGCACATATTTGTAATACAGTACACAGGAGGCTAAGGTAGGAAGATTGGTGTGAGTTCCAGGCCGGCCAGGAGTACATAGTGAGACGTCTAAAAAAAGCAAAATGGCTGGGCGGTGGTGGCGCACACCTTTAATCCCAGCACTTGGGAGGCAGAGGCAGGCGGATTTCTGAGTTCGAGAGTTCGAGGCTAGCCTGGTCTACAGAGTGAGTTCCAGGACAGCTAGGGCTACACAGAGAAACCCTGTCTCGAAAAACCAAACCAAAAAAAAAAAAAAAAAGCAAAATGACCCAAAATTTGACTAGTTTTCAGATTTCTAGAAAGCTTTCTTTTTTTTTCCCCCCATACTAACTACAATTTGCTGGTTGTATGAGTCCTCCTATTAGAGCCTTAATAAGTATGAAATTGCTGCTTGAATTTTTTTTTTACCATTTTAGTTTCCAAGTTTTTATTTTGTGTGGTCATAGATCATTGTAGTCTGTCCCCCAAACAACTAAAGTACATTTTTCAGGAGTTTTAATTTCAAACTTAGCTGTAAAACACTTTGATCTAGTATTTCCTTTTTTTTTTTTTTTTTTGTTTTTTTTCGAGACAGGGTTTCTCTGTGTAGTCCTGGCTGTCCTGGAACTCACTCTGTAGACCAGGCTGGCCTCGAACTCAGAAATCCGCCTGCCTCTGCCTCCCAAGCGCTGGGATTAAAGGCGTGCGCCACCACTGCCTGGTGATCTAGTATTTCCTTTTCCTAAGTTTTATCTAAGTCTTTTAAGTAGTTTTAGTTACTTCTTTCATTTAAATCTTTTATTATTAAGTAAGTTTCATGAATTGTATGAGCTTCAATCCTACGTTATAACTTTTAGAACTTCCTTTGTACATTTTATTTTATCTGAAATTGGAATGTTAGTGGTTCCATTAAAGAGAGTTTTGACTTGTTTTAATTTTTTGATTTTTGAAACAGGATCACATGTAGTTACTGGCCTTAAAACTTTCTGTGTAGTTGTGGTCTCTTTTAATACCTGATCCTCCTGCCTATACTTGCCAAGTTCGTACCTTTCCTACCCCTTCCTCATCAGGTATTGGGTATTTAACCCAGGATCTAGGACCTGCTAGGCAAGAATTTTACCACAATGTGCTGGAGAGGTGGCTCAGTGGTTTAGAGCATTAGCTGCTCCTCTGTAGGACCTGAGTTCTGTTCTCAGCACCCACATAGCAGTTTACACCCATCTGTTATCTGATGCTCTCTTCTAGCCTCTACAGTCACCATTGCATGCATGCATATTAAGTTTAAATTAAAAGTATAACCCAAATACTATTATTAAATATAAGCACACTCAAGTTCTAATTTCTTGTAGAGTTTTTTTTTTTTTTTAAGATTTATTCATATGAATGCTTACCTTGCATGTACACCTGACAGTAGAGGGTTTGAAGATCCCATTATATTGTGAGCCACCATGTGGTTGCTGGAATTGAACTCATGACCTTTGGAAGAGCAGCCAGTGCTCTTAACTGCTGAGTCATATCTCCAGCTCCTAAGTTTTATCTGTTTAGTCTTTTTTGTTTTTAAAGATTTATTGTTATTTTATGGATATTAGTGTTTTGCCTACATTTATGTCTGTGTAACATATGTATGCCTGATGCCCACAAAAGTCAAAAGAAGGCAGTGGGATTCCTGTGGACTGGAGTTACAGACAATTGTGAGCTGTTATGTGGGTGATGGGAATTAAACCTTAGTCTTCTGAAAGAAACACCACTGCTCTTAACCACTGAACCATCTCCGTAGCTCCCATAAGTAAGATTTTAGTAATCTTTTAATAGGCATTATAATTTTCTTTGAAATCTTTATTTGCATAGTCTCTGAATGATTTTTTTTTTTATTCTCTCATCTCTAGTCCAAAAGAAATGCTTCCTTCAAAGCCTGCAAAGAAAGAGAAGGAGCAGAGGACTCGCCATTTACTCACAGACTTGCCTCTTCCTCCTGAGCTACCAGGCGGAGAGCCATCTCCCCCAGATTCTCCAGAGCCAAAGGCAATTACACCACCTCAACAACCATATAAAAAGAGACCAAAGTAAGTTTTACAGGATGTGAAAATTTTTATATTTTATGAACATAGGTGCCTTCATGTATGACTGTGCTGTATATGCATGTCTTATGTCCCAGGAGACCAAAAGAGGGTGCTGAATCCCCTGGGACTGCAGTTGTAAGCCACCATGTAGGTGCTGGAGATTGATTCCTGGTTCATGACTCTTACCTGCTGAGGTTTCTCACAAGCACATTAGGGATCGTTCTCTCAGTTTTGTTTTGTTTTTTAAGATTTATTTATTTTATGTATACAAGTAGTCCGCATGTACACAACAGATGGTTGTACAATCTGCATGTACACAACAGATGGTTGTGAGCTACCATGTGGTTGCTGAGAATTGAACTCAGGACCTCTGGAAGATAAGCTGGTGCTCTTAAATACTGAGCCATCTCTCCAGCCCCTAGGGATCTCTTTAATTTAAAATTATTCTCTTCTGTTTTATATCTAAAATTTATATATCTTCCATAACTCATAGAAGTGAGAGCCAGCCGGGCGGTGGTGGCGCACGCCTTTAATCCCAGCACTTGGGAGGCAGAAACAGGCGGATTTCTGAGTTCGAGGCCAGCCTGGTCTACAGAGTGAGTTCCAGGACAGCCAGAGATACACAGAGAAACCCTGTCTCAAAAGAAAACAAAACCAACCAATCAACCAACCAAACAAACAAACAAAAGAAGTGAGAGCCAATAAATACATATTTTCTTTCAATTTTATGGGAAAAATTTCTTGGCAGGATACCTGTCTTATTTACAGTTTTGTTTCTGTGAATAGATACCATGGCCAAAGCAATTCTTATGAAAGAAATCATTTAATTCCCCAATTAGATGGGGAATTGCTTACAGTTTCAGAGATTTAGTTCATTCCCACAGCAGGAAGTATGACAATATGCAAGCAAACACTGGAGCAAGAGCTGAAAACTGCATTCTGATCTATGGTTAGTAGGAGCAACTACTGGCCTGGCTTGGGCTTTTGAAACCTCAAAACCCCTCCAGTGACATAATTAGTTCAACAAGGCTATACCTCCTAGTCCTATCAAAGTGATGACTAAGCACTCAAATATATGAGCCCAATATAGATAACATCTTTTCTTGTTGAGAAAGGGTCTTAACTCTGTATCCCTGGCTGGCCTAGAACTCACAAGAGATTGCAGTCTCTTCAGTTTTAGCATTTGGGAGACAGAACCAGGTTGATCTCTTGAGTTTAAGGCCATCCTGGTCTACAGTGTTAGTTCCAGAACAACCAGAGAGCTAGCTACACAGTGAGACCCTGGCTCAAAACAAACAAACAAAAATATGGTAGACACTACCATGGCTAGCTTTAACCATATTTTTTTTTGAAAAGCAATCAATGTATTTAGTGAACACTTACACACCCCATCACTACCTTGTACCTTTTAAAGCAAGAATTCCATTATAACCATTGATAGATACTATTTCATTATTTCATTTCTACCATCTCAATAATAATTTTGTAAGAAGCCAGTTTAATGGCAAAAAATAACAGTTTTTCTGACTTTCCTTTTAGAATTTGTTGTCCTCGTTATGGAGAAAGAAGACAAACAGAAAGTGATTGGGGGAAGCGCTGTGTGGACAAGTTTGACATTATTGGGATTATTGGAGAAGGAACCTATGGCCAAGTATATAAAGCCAAGGACAAAGACACAGGTATTTCCCTAGAATTCTTGGTGCCAAAAGTATAATAATTTAACAATTATTAATATTTTAATAGATTTACTAAAATAAGTTTTAGGCTCTAATTTGCTCTCTTACTATTATTAAGTAGATGTTCCAAAAGAATAGTTTGGCCTAATCTCTTAGTCTGTTTGCTCCAGGACCTCCCTGTACCTACTCTCTTACATAAAATAGGATACTATTTGGATATAACCTGTGCCCATCCTCTTGTGTAGTTTATGTCATCTCTAGAATATTTATAGTACCAACAATAGCAAATTCTGAATAAACATTGTTATTATTCAAAGATTATTGACAAAACGATGTATGAAAATACATAGTTCAGACAGTTTTTAAGTCTACAACTATGTGATTTCATGAATGACCACAGAGCTCCTTTCGGACAAGGGATATACATACATACACACACACACGCACACACGCACACACACACATATATATATATACACATATATATACACACACATATGTGTGTGTGTGTGTGTGTGTGTGTATTTATTTCAGACGTAGACTGGTTGTATACACTTGAGAGGTCCTGGGTTTGATTTTCAGCAATATAAGCCCAAAGTTGAATCTTCTACTTTTTGTTGACTATTTTGAATATTTATTGTTTTGACTTGGTGGTGGACTTTATTATTTGTTTTGTTTTGTGTTTTGGTGGTGGGATTTGAACCTACAACTTGCACTGCACTCTATCAAAAAGGCTATAATTATAATATCAGCCTTCTTTGTTGTCTGTTTAAACTTTATATTACTTACTGAATTTTTTTTTTTGTTCTGATTTTTTTTTTTGGCAAGGAGGATATTGTATTTTATTTATTTAGTGAGTACAAATGTATGTCTGTTTTTGTCTTCGGGCATATTTGTGTCAAGTACACATTGGGATGTCAGAGGACAACTTACAGGGAGTGTGTTCTCTCGTTCTACCTTGTGAGAAGCAGAACAGTTGAAGATATCTTAATCTATTTATCAAGACCCCGCCCGTCCTAGAAATGAGAAAGCCAAGGAGGAAAAGAATAATATTGTTTATCTATTTATTCATTTATTTACTATTGTATTTGTTTCTTTGGTTTGATTTTCAAGTCAGAATTTATTTGTCTAACAATTCTGGTTGTTATAAACCTCACTTTGTAGATTAGGCTGTCTCTACCTCCTGAGTACAGGGATTAAAGGTGTGCAATATCACCCTGACCCAAGAATGAGATTCTATATCAGCATTGACTCTATATGAAAACTTAATAACATAGGAATAGTACTGGTTGTGTAGCCCTATGGTAGAAGCCATGCTTAGTATAGGTTCTAAATTCAATCTCAGCTCCTTAAAAAAAAAAAAAAGAAGGGAATTAGAGGTTTTATGTAAAAAGTCTGTGAAGGTGAGGACATGTAGTGCTGCTTCATAACTATGATTAAGAAATGTAAGTTGATCACAGTGACAGTTTGCATCTATTTTTTGCAGGAGAACTAGTAGCTCTGAAAAAGGTTCGGCTAGACAATGAGAAAGAGGGTTTCCCAATCACAGCTATCAGGGAGATCAAGATTCTTCGTCAGTTGGTTCATCAAAGTGTTGTAAACATGAAGGAAATTGTCACAGACAAACAGGATGCACTGGATTTCAAGAAGGACAAAGGTAATAGCAGAAATTTCTGTTATTTTAATTTCATTTGTATGTGATTTTACCTGAATGTGTATGTGTACACACATATATGCCTTGAAGAGCAGTAAGTTCTCTTAACTGTGGAACCATTTCTCCATCTCTCTCTTTTTGTGTGTGTGTGGGTTTTTTTGTTTTTGTTTTTTGTTTCTCAGTGGTGGGGGTGGACCCATTTTCTGCATAACACTTGACTGTTCTGTAACTCACTCTGGAGACCAGGTTGGCCTCAAACTCAGATATCTACCTGCTTCTTCCTAAATGCTGGGATTAAATGTGTGCACCACTGCAGCCAACATATATTTATTTTTGAGACAGAATCTCCTTGTAGCCCAGGCTCCCTGAAATTCTCTTTGTAGACCAGGCTAGCCTCAAACTTGAACTCAGACCTGCCTCTGACTCCAGAGTCAGTGATTAAAGGCTTGTGCTACCATTTAAACCTTATTGTTTGTTTGTTAAAAAGATTTATTTGTTTTTGTGTGTATAAATGGACATTGGATGGTCAGGAACTAGAGTTTACCAGTGGTTGTAAGTGGCCATGTGGGTTCTGGGAATTGAATAATGATCTGTTGCAAGAGCTACAAGTGCTCTTATTTATTGAACCATGCAGCTTCTGTTTTTATATTTATTCATTTACTTTTATACACAAGGTCTCTCTAGTACTGGCTGTTCTGGAACTTGCTATGTAGATGAGGCTGAATCTCCTGGAGAAGGAGCTGAAGGTGGCTGTAAGCCACTTTTTGTGGTTGCTGGGAACCTAACTCAGGTCCTCTACAAGAGCATTATATGCTCTTAAATGCTTAGCTGTGTCTCCAACTCCCATATTATTTTTTGAGACAGAGTCTCATATAGCTCACGCTGGCTTCCAATTTCTTTTCCTTACCTTTCCTTTCCTTTCTTTTTTTTCTTTTCTTTTTTTTTTTTTTTTTTTTAATAGGTTTTTCAAGACAGGGTTTCTCTGTGTAGCCCTGGCTGTCCTGGAACTCACTCTGTAGACCAGGCTGGCCTCGAACTCAGAAATCCACCTGCCTCTGCCTCCCAAGTGCTGAGATTAAAGGAATGCACCACCACTGCCAAGCTCTCTTTTCTTTTTTTAAAGGTTTATTTATGCATATGAGTACACTGTAGCTGTCTTCAGAAACACTAGAAGAGGGCTTCGGATCCTATTACAGAGAGTCATGAGCCAGCATGTGGTTGCTGGGACTTGAACTAGGGACCTCTGAAATAGCAGTCAGTGCTCTTTACTGCTGAGCCATCTCTTCAGTCCTCCAATTTCTTAAGAACCTCTTTACTTAATGTATGCCTCCCAAATGTGTGATTATAGCTATATTCTACTCCATTTTACTTTTCATTTCTTAGCTTGTTTACCTGTGAGGACTTTTTAGGTTACTATCTCGTGTAGCAGGTCAGTGTGGATACAGATGACATTGAACTCGTCCCCTCGCACCTTCCAAGTGCTGGGATTAAAGTGATGGCAGCACCACGTGTAGTTCTGCCTGTGTGAATTTTTTGATAGGTTGACCTAAGTCTTAGGTTTTTGTTTTTTAAATGTATTTATGCACATCACATGCATGCAGTGGCCACAGAGATCAGAAATGGGCATCAGATCTCCTGGAATTGAAGCTGTAAGTGGTTATGAGCCACCATGTGAGTGATGGGAGTGTCAGATTCCCTGGAATCTAGAGTTGTAGATAGATGCAAGCTGCCATGTGGGTGGTGGAAATTGAACTTACAATCTTTGGTAGAGCAGCCAGTGCTCTCAAACCACTGAGCCATTTCTCCATCCCTTGTCTTGTGTTTTGAATACTGAGATTACAGATGTGAGCCAGCATCCCTGATTTATACATCAATTTAAAAATTGTTTTGCAGGTATAGGAGAGTGAAACTGGTCTTATAAAAGATGTGAGATCAGTTCCCAGAAGTTTTATCAGGCAATTTACAATCACTAGTAACTTCAGCCCCAGGAAGATCTGACACCCTTTTCTGCCTTCCAACCATTATGTGGATATATACAATTTAAAAGCAGCAACAACAGCAAAAACAGCACTTACCAACTGAGCCATCTTTCTAGCTATAAGAAAAATCACAGTTGTGGGTAAACCGGACAGGTGACAGTAAATGGTAATGTTTAGATCTGAACTCTTGGTCCTCTGGTTAACCAACTCTTCATTTCATATCTGTTTTTCTTAAGTTAGCAGGTCTTAGATTAGTTCCATCTACTCCTTTAATGCAATCTTTCTCTGATGGAACTGTGGAACATTGGGGAAGCTGTGACAATGCTTGTGTTCTCATCCTGTCCCTCATCATTTCTCTTTCCTCAAAATGAGAAGGAAAAAAGAAATGTAATGAGCCTGAGGAGTTGTCTAGGTGGGTAAAGTGCTTACCATGCAATCCTGAGGACCCAAGCACCAAGGAAAACCTGAGAATATCAGTGCATTCCTCTAGCCCTACACTCTGTCAGCCAGAGAACGGTGGATGTCTGGAACTCACTGCCCAGCCAAAATAGTAAGCTCTACGTTTAGCGAGACTTTCTCAAAAAATAAGGTAGAGAATGATAGAAGAGGAAGATAACCTGGATAGGTCTTTAGCCTTCACACTATTTGTACCTATGAGCCAGAGTGTCTTGTGCACATATGTTTGTATGCAGTTGCACATGTACTTCCTCCCTCTCTGTCTCTCTTTCTCTTTCTTTTTCCCTTTCTCTCTTTCCCCTTTTCTCTTTCCCTTTCTCTCCTGTCCCCCCCCCCTTCTCTCTCAAAAAAAAAAAATGCATACTATTTGGGAAATATGAGAAAGTTCTTGAAGGCTACTCTCTATAGAAAGAATCCCTGCCTTGTCAGGGCTATAGCTAAGTTCTAGAGCACTTGCCTAGTACACTTGAGACCCTGAGTTCAATTTTTTTTTTTTAATGCTACTAGTTAACAGAATTATAAACCTGGGGTTGTTTGTTTGTTTGTTTTTTGTTTTTGAGAACAGGATTTCCTATACCCAGACTGTTTAACTCTGTGTAGCTAAGGATGGCCTTTAATCTTTCTACTACACTTGTTTATGTGGTGCTAGGGATTGGGCTAGGCGTGGTGCTGTGTGCCTTTAATCTGAGTGTTTGTGAGACATATGCTGTTTCAGGGCCAGCCTGCTCTGCCTATTACGTTCCAGGCCAGCCATGGCTACATTGTGAGACCCTGTTTTAAAACAAAAACATACAAATCCAGGGTTTTATGCATGCTGGGCAAGCATACTCTCAAGTGAACTATATCCTCGGCTTGTAGGTTTAATATTTCATGTTATGGTATCGGTATGATAAATTCCAAATTGCTTACAACTATTTTTAGTGTGCTTCTTTAATTTGTATTTATGAATTTAGAAGCTTTGATTAAATGATTTGTAGTTCTGAATTATTTTTGCAAATTATTATCAGCAACAACATCATCATATGCTTACATAAGCAGTGTTTACATTGCTTACATGTAGAGGTCAGAGGACAGTTTTCAGGAGTTGGTTCTCTTCTTTGACAATGGGCTTTGGGGATGAAACTCAAGTTGTGAGGCTCACAAGACAAGTACTCTGAAAAACACTGACCTATCCTGACAACATTTTTCAATTATTTTTACTTGAAATGTTTTCCATTTATTTTATTTCTGTTTATGTGTGAATCTGAGTTTATACCACATGTATGTGGGTGCCCATTTGAGACCAGAAGGTGCCAGATCTTCAGGGGCTATGATTATAGGCACTTGTGAGTTGTGCTCAGGAGTCAATAGTAGCCCATACTTGTTAGGCCAACCTGGTCTGCATAGTCAGTCCCAGACCTGTCTCAAAAAAGGGAGTAGGGAGGGTAGAGCTAGAGAGTTGGCTCAAAGGACCAAAACTTACATGTCATTATACAACATCTGTAACTCCAGTTCCAGTGGGTTCAGTACCATCTTTTGGCCTCTTCAGGCACCAGGTAAGGATATTTTGCACAGATAATAAATGCAGGCAAAGCTCTTACATATAGGATAAAAAGAAGAAAAAAGACTCATAATTTATAACAAATGGGCATGGTTATCTTATACAAGATAAAACTAGAAAAACTAGAATCGGTATCTGATTGGATTTGAGTTTGGCCCAGGGTCTGTAATTGCTAACAGACTTTGATCATGACGTATAGTAATATAAATTAATGGTAGCAGTTTTCTCACTCAGAATGTAAATTGTTCATATAACAGTAGTATAAAAATCTAGATTTATTTCCATTAGTATTATGTATCATTAGAAAGGGAAATTATTTTTATTATTCTAATTTAGATTCTTTTTCTATAAAATTAAGGGGTTGTTCCAGAGAGACTATGGTTAACTTAAAATTATATTCAAATTTGAGGATTGTTATGTCAACATTTAAAAATTTCTTTTTCATGTTATATAGGTGCCTTTTACCTTGTATTTGAATATATGGACCATGACTTAATGGGACTGCTTGAATCAGGTTTGGTGCACTTTTCTGAGGACCATATCAAGTCATTCATGAAACAGCTAATGGAAGGACTGGATTACTGTCACAAAAAGAATTTCCTCCATCGGGATATAAAATGTTCTAACATTTTGCTGAATAACAGGTAACATAGTAACCAAGTAAGGCTAATCACTTTTTCCCTTTCTTTTTGATTTGTCTAGATAATTAGGATTATAAGCAGTACAACTTTTTTCCTTGCATGGATGCTCAATGTGTTCTTTTTTTTTTTTTTTAACTTTTTTACCTCCCTCTTCTATCATTTTTCCAAATTTAATGTTAGAATTAACAAAATAGGATTGCAAATAAATATTTTCTAATTGCTAGCATTCTAGGGGCTTGATCTACTCGAGAATATACCATATAGTCAATAAATAGAGTTGTTACCAGAGCAAACTTAAATATACATTGGGTTCTTAATATTCTTCAGTGGAAAGAAACAGGCCTGCCTCTTTAGCTGCACTTAAGGCTGTCAGTTTTTTTCCTTTCAGAGGAAGATCTTACCTCAACCTGGGCATGCTCCCTCATCACACACGCGGGTTCTCTCTTTCTCTCTCTCTCTCTCTCTCTCTCTCTCTCTCTTTCTCTCTCTCTCTCTCTTACACTCACGCACGCACTCACACATGATGGTTGTATTCGGAGGTGGAATAAATAGCCAGGTGGGATTACCTAAAATTGTCTAAAAATACTTTTTTTTTTATAAATTAGACACTGTCACTGTCTTTTAGACTCACCAGAAGAGGGCATCAGATCCCTTTACAGATGGCTGTGAGCCACCATGTGATTCCTGGGAATTGAACTCAGGACATCTGGAAGAGCAGTCAGTGCTCTTAACCGCTGAGCCGTCTCTCCAGCCCCTGGCTTTTAACACTAAAAGTTTGGCTGTGTACACTGTGCAGCTGAGTTTAGTAGTAGAGCTAACCCATTTATTAATGATCAGTTCAGTAAGTATGTTTTGTTGTTTTACACAAGGTTTCATTCAATCTGTAGCTCAGGTGTGTTTAAACTATAATGTTCTGTCTCTCAAGGGCTGGGGTTAAAGCCACACACCACCACACTGGACCCATGTTTGTTTGTTAAATTTAGAATTACTTAGAACATTCAGTTTTGAGGAATTAATAGAAATTTATCAGAAAAACTAACAATGAAGATTGAAAATCTCTGCAGAAAAGTTTGCTTATACAAAAGCATATACACATGAAAAAGAACGTGCCCATAGTCTCAGGACTTAAGAAACTAAGGGAGGAGGATTCAGGGTTTGAGAGTAGGGCTAGGATGTATCTCAGTGTATCTCAATTGGTAGACTGTTCTTGCCAGTGTGCCTCAAGACCTGGATTTGATTCCTAGCACTATGTACCAGTTAATAGCCAGTCTGAAACTTTAAGACTTACCTCAAAAAGAAAAAAACAAACAAACAAACAAAGAATGTTAGGAAACTATAAGCATAGCTTTATTGCTAAAGCAAAAAGTAAAGCACATTAAGGTGAAATATGAAGCTCTTAGGAACCAATTTAAGATCTTGTATATCCTACGAAGGAGCTTACTTTTATCTGTAGTTCAATTGGGATGGTATTCAAGGTGTCTGTGTAAAGTACTGTTTAAAATTATGTGGCTTTATTGTGAGGCAAACATGATGTAAAGAGACTAAATCTTAAACTGGAACTGTGGGTAAATTCTTACCATCACAGCTACTAGGAAAGTTAAAGTAGAGGGTGTCAGGAGTATGGCAGCTTGGGCAATTTAGTAAGATACTTTGAAGAAGTTGGGTTTGGTTTGGGGGGGCGGTGTCTTGTTTTTATTGTTTTGGTTTTTTTGTTACTATGTCTACAACTCATAATCTCTTATTAAAAGGGAAGGTTCGTTATTTCTCTTAAGTCTATATCATTTATAGTTAGTTCACCTGTAGTCTTAGCTACTTGGAAGGTTGGGGCAGGAGAAGCATGCATTCAAGTTTCCCCAGTAACTATGAAGACTATCTACTTGGCATAGTGGTACATGCCTTTGATCAGGGGCAGGTAGTTCTCTGAACTTAAGACCAGCCTGGTCTCTAGTGAGTTTGAGGCCAGCCAGGAATATATAGTAAGACCTTGTTTTAAAAACAACGACAACAACAACAAAAATCATATTTATTTATTTAGTCCTGGAACTTAATGTTTAGACTAGCCTGGCCTTGAACTCTCGGGGATCCACTTTCCTCTACCTCCAAAGGCCTGGGATTAAAGGTGGGTTCCACTGTATTTGGCTGAGTTTTTACATTTTATTAAGTGCTACAGGAGGCAAGGGCTCTTCAGTAGAAGTGTTCACTAGTTCTTTAACCATTGCCTGGTTTGCCCTAAGGATTCTGTGAGTGGCTCTACACATGGACGCATTCCCGTTGTTTAGCACATTCACTAGGTGGTTTTAGGGCATAGCCGAGTTGATCATGGTGGCATACTTGGTATAGGGACTGTTTTATAGTATAAAAACACTAAAGCGTTCATTTTTTGGTTTTTTGAACAAATGTCTCACTCTGTATCATAGGGTGTTCTCTAACTCAGAGTAATCCTGCTTCACCCCCTCAAGTAAGTCCTGAGGTGTAAAATGTGTACCCAACTTGAGCTTATATTGTCTTGGAGAGACCTGGCTTTCTCTTTTAGAGGGGCACTAATACTATATGGTGAAAGACTGAAGACAGGGAATCCTGCTAAAAGTATCAAAGAGGCTAGATTGGTGTATCAGTAGTTAAACTCATGTAGATGGCCAAGGTTTGGTTCTTAGTGTGCACAAAAGAACTAACAACCAGCTATAATTCCTGTTCCAAACAATTCAGTATTCTTTTTAGCCTCTAAGGGTTCTTGCATGTACGTTGTGTGTGTTAATTCATGCACACACACATATTCATATAAAAATACTATATATACTTACAATAAGATGGTCTCTGGGCTGGAGAGATGACTCAGTGCTTAAATGCACTGACTGCTCTTCTAGAAGTCCTGAGTTCAATTCCCAGCAACCACATGGGGGCTCACAATCTGTAATGGGATCTGATGCCCTCTTCTGGTGTATTTGAGACAGTGATGGTGTACTCACATACAAAAAATCTTTAAAACAAAACAAAAAAAATTGTGTGTATTGTATTTGGCACTGAGTTCGAAAACAATATATCTTTAAGTCAGATATGGTGGTTCTCTTGAATTTGAGGCCAACCCAGTCTACATAATGAGACCCTGAATATTAAAATGAGTAGAATCCAAGAGAAATGGCTAAAGAGAAATAAGGAAAATACTGACTACAATATAGTCATGTTTACAAAGGGACTAGTCCTAGATGTCAGATTACAAATTATAACACTTAAGAAAAAAGTCTGCCAAGTAAAGATGAGTGACGATATGAGTGTGAGAGGTAAGGGGAAATGCAGCACAGTCAAAGGGTAGAGGTATATTGGATGGACAGATGGATTCCGAAGCCATAAAACCATTGAGTACTTGTAGATTATGTTGGAAGACATTTTGTTTCTATTGGGATATAATGAATAAAACAATAGTGGGTTTTTTTTCTTTTGTGTATGCCAAATTTTTGCAATATTTCCACATAGGAGTTTTAAGCTACCCTGAAATAGAAGAAACCTTTATAAAAGTTTATAAATATAAAGAACCTTTACCTTTAAGGTTCTAAGTTTAATTCTAGCACCACAAAAAATAAGTAAGGGACAGTGAGATGGATCTTGTCAAGTATGGTGAGAATTCAGTCCCTAGAACTCATAGGATGGAAGGAGTATACTGACTGCTGCAAGTATTTTTCTAGCTGCACAAACATACACCATACACACACACACACACACATTCAACATCCCTTGCACATATAGAAGTAAAGAATAATAACCAAACAAGTAAAGAAATACTTTACTAGTCTCTAATATGATTCATGCAGCAAGTATATTAGTAAATTTTTCTTTTTTTCTTTTCTTTTCTTTTTTTTTTTTTTGGTTTTTCGAGGCAGGGTTTCTCTGTGTAGCCCTGGCTGTCCAGGAACTCACTCGGTAGACCAGGCTGGCCTCGAACTCAGAAATCCACCTGCCTCTGCCTCCCAAGTGCTGGGACTAAAGGCGTGCGCCACCACCGCCCGGCAGCAAATTTTTCATAGCTATGTTTTTTTGCTATTTTAATTTAGATTTCCTTTGTGTGGAATTTGTTTGTAAGTTAAACTTTAAAATGTAATGAGCCAGATAAAGAGGCTCATGCTTTTAATGCCTACATTTGGAAAGCAAAAACTGAAGGATTATTATGAATTCAAGGCAAGACTGGGTTATAGAGTGAGATCTTATTTCACACTGAAAAAAAGAAGTGGTATTTTGGGCAAGTGGATGAAGGTGTATAGACTTCTTAGTAGGAATGATAGTAGTTGATCTAATGTAAAATTTTGTTGCTATTACTTTTCTTAATTTTGTTCTTTTTTTTTAAGATGTATATAATTATTTTATGTATGTGAGTATACAGTCACTTTCTTCAGACTCACCAGAAGAGGGCATCAGACCCCATTACAGATGGTTGTGAGCCACCATGTAGTCGCTGGGAATTGAACTTAGGACCTCTGTAAGAGCAGTCAGTGCTTGTAACTACTGAGCCATCTCTCCAGCCCCTCTTTTCTTGTTTTATATTCTGTCCTTTTGCTCATAGGTTTGGGAAACATTTCCAAGATAGCCTCTTTTCTTTACTCTCTGAATTTTGTCTTACCTGAGCTATCAGGCACCTCAGATACAGTAGCCCCTACATTCTCCAAATGTAGCAAGGCTATAAATATTAAAATAGGGTACAGAAATTTAGATAGATTAACATAATTCTGAGTAGTTCATAATTTTTAAGTAATTCTCCCAATATTGTGTTTCATTTTCTTAAAATACTCCTTGACATCTCTGTATACTGAGGGATGGGAATGTAGTTCAGTAGTTGAGCACTTAACATCCACAAGTACCTGAGTTTGATACCTAGTACTAAAAGAGATGGAAGGAGGATGAAGAGAGAAGGAGATGGGAGAGAGGGGAAGGTAGAAGGTGAATTAGACAGTCACTGCTGAGCAGAGTCAAAGGGGATTCTGACTCCTTTATAGGAGTGTCTCAAGCTGCATGGTCATGCAGAGGCCAAAGATTATGAGTTTGAAAGGAGCCTGGCGGAGCCGGGCAGTGGTGGTGCACGCCTTTAGTCCCAGCACTTGGGAGACAAAGGCAGGTGGATTTCTGAGTTCGAGGCCAGCCTGGACTAGAGAATGAGTTCCAGGACAGCCAGGGCTACACAGAGAAACCCTGTCTCGAAAAACCAAAAAAGGAAAAAAAAAAAAAAAAAAAAAAAAAAGGAGCCTAACCTCCATAACAACATGGAGTCTCAAAATGATGATGACGATGGTGGAATAAATAAATAAATAAATAAATAAATAAATAAATAAGTCAAATTGTGAAATTACAGTTCTCAGACCAGCTTCATTGGAGTCATGGAGGAGTGTGTTAGAAATGTACATTCAGAGCCAGGTGTAACGGCTCATGCCTGTCATGACAGCAACTGGAAGGGTGGTGCTGGAGGGTTACTGTGATTTTGAGACCAGCCCAAATTCAGGTTCTGTGCCTTCCTGGATTTCAAAGGAGACCCTATCTCAAGAGAAAAGAAAAGAAAATGAAATAACCGACTCAGAATGGGTAGAGTACTTGCCTAGTATGTATGGGACCTTGGGTTCAGTCCCCAGGACTGTGAGGAAAAGAGTACAGATTCATGAACTGAGCCCTGTTACTGAATTTATCATTTATCAGAATGAAAGTTCGGCAAAGGCAAGGTTTTTTTTGTTTGTTTGTTTGTTTGTTTTTGTTTTGTTTTGCTCTGTATAGTGTTAGGGATCAAGCTTAGGGTCTTAGGCTTTCGTATTCTCTGCCACTTAGCTACATCCCCAGTCTTTGGTGATTTGAGACAGGATCTCACCCTGAAGCTTAGGCTGGCCATGAACCTGAACCTCTTGCCTCTGTTTCCCTAGTGCTAGGATTAAAAATATGTGCTATTATGTCTGGCCTTAAGTATCTCTTTGTCTTTAACATTAGGTATTACTTTAACACATGTACTATGCACAGATGACTACCACAAAATAAAGACTTAAAGACTAAGTGTAGTGGTGTACATCTTTAATCTTAGCACATGACAAGGCAAAGACAGGTGGAACTCTGTTGAGTTCAAGGTCAGCATGGCCTACAGAGTGAGGCTGAGGCCAGGGTATGTGGTAAATTCTGTCTCATAATAAAAAAATAATAAATAAAGTAAATGTTTAGAACTGGCATTGAAGATACATACCTATAGACCTAGTTCTTCACAGGGTTGAAATAAGATAGATGATTGTTTTAAGAGTTGGGGACTCTGGGTAATATATGTAGACTACATGGTAAAAAGAAAATTAGAAATCAAATCCAGAAATGCAATAATAGAAAAATATTGTGAGGCATTGCAAACTTTGGCAAATTTAAATTGGGGAGGGTAACCATTAGTAGAAATATGATCAGGCATCAAAAGTTAATTTTGTAATTCCTTTAGCTCTTTAATTGGCACTTAAGTTTCCAAGTGTAGTTCAATGGCTGCTGCATTTACTTATGAAAATAATTTGTTTGTTTTACAGCGGGCAAATCAAACTGGCAGATTTTGGACTTGCTCGGCTCTATAACTCTGAAGAGAGGTGAGGCATTGTCAAGGTTTACTTGTGACATATGATTTAAGGCCTATTTTGGCATAGTAAAAACACTATCCCCAAAAAATTAGTTAAATAAAACTGATGGTGGGAATTAGAGAAGAGTCTTGATACTCTCAAATTCTACAAGTTAAAGTGACTGTTAGAATTCCCTAGTGCTTTGAATGTGTTACCACATAGATCTTTTTTTGTTTGTTTTTGTGACGGGTTTTTCTTGGTTGCACTCGCTATCCTAGAACTCGCTGTATAAGCCAGGCTGGCCTTGATCTCACAGCAGTGCACTTCACCTGCCTTTGCCCAAAGAGGGCTGGGATTAAGGGCATGAGCCACCGTCCCCTTCATTCGTTTGTTGTTATTGCTCTTTGTATGTTTAGAGACTGCTTTTTAATTTTTTTTTTTTCTTTTGAGACAGGGTTTCTCTGTGTATCTCTGGCTGTCCTGGAACTCACTCTGTAGACCAGGCTAGCCTTGAACTCAGAAATCCACCTGCCTCTGCCTCCCAAGTGCTGGGATTAAAGGTGTGCGCCACCACCACTGCCTGGCCTAGCTTTTTAATTTTTTGTGTGCATGTTCATCATACCCATTTGACTGCCTAAGTATCAAATCCACCTGAAGCTGGAGTTGTGTGCATTGTGTGTATTTGTGTACATTTATGTCTAGTGCCTTCCACATGATATGGGGGTGCTGGCACTAAACAAATGTGCCATCATGTCTGAATTCTACAATCAGCCCTCTGCTGACATAGTTAACCCAAATTGGACTAGAAGTGAGTTTTTCATCTTTCACTCATGTCCATCTTACTTTTTGGCTTGTTAATTTGTTATTGGAATTGTTTTAACAACCTCATCTTTAGTTGGTAGCTATTTTTTTGTTAGTGTTTAGGGACATATTTTTTATCAAAAATATGAAAAATATGCAAAAAACATCACTCACTCAAATTTGTATTCTGATGGTTTACATTTCAGTCGCCCGTACACAAACAAAGTCATTACTCTGTGGTATCGACCTCCAGAGCTGCTGCTTGGAGAAGAAAGATACACACCAGCCATTGATGTTTGGAGCTGTGGGTAAGACTGTCTTAACCTTTTTGTTTTGTCTATAACTCATAATATGTACAGTTTCCTCTTTATATTAGCTATTTGTCTTTTTTAAGTGTATGCACACTTACACACACACACATAAATATAAATAAGAATGAATCCAATTTAAAAAACAAACAAACCAGGAAACAGCGTAGTAGCTGGCTTCAGTTTACCCAGGCTGGTAATGTTCCTGTCTCAGGCCACAAAATTAACTAGATTGCAGGCACATGTCACTAGGCTCTGCTTATCTCAAATCTTTTAATTAACATCCCCTTTCCATCTCTAGATTTTCATTTGTTTCCTTATAATCTGCTTAGAGAAAATTAGATCATTTATTCTATAGATGTCTCAGTCTGAGTTTGTATTATTGTTGCCACTGTCACAAAAACAAAAATAAGATTTGCCTGTGTCTTGTGTGAAGTCTTGGGTCTCATCCTCAGTGTTGCAGAAAAGCTAACTAGTTCATTTTATTTACCAGTTTTCAACGTAGTGAGGTGACTTTCTGCTATTTTCTGAAAATGACTACTGAGAAGATTTTGTTTATTGGATTTTTGTTTATTAGAAACTGATAGACTTGCATATTTGATATGTTTTTACAGGGAGAGAGAAGGAGAGCACAGAGGCATATGCTAAATCTGTGGAAGTGCCCCTACACACTAGCAGAGGGTGTCAGATCCCCAGAGCTAGAAGTAACAGGTGGTTGTGAGGTGGCATGACCTGGGTGCTGGGAACCAAACTCTGGTCTTCTTCAAGAACAGCAAGTGGTGAAAACCTTCTAGCCATCTTTCCAGTCTTTATCACAGTAGTTCTTGTTCAAATTTCCTAATCTTTGTCTAGTCTAAACTTGATCAAGTTAGTTCTTGAGTTTTCTTGATACATTGTTAATAATCTTGAATAGTTTTCCTTATTCTAGTCTTCTGTCTGCAATCAGCCATTTCTCTTCAGGAGCTTTCTTTCCTTTTTTTTTTGTTTTTTGTTTTTTGTTTTTTGTTTTTTTTTTTTAATCTGTTTCCTTCTACCTCCTTTTTTTCTTCCTTCTTTCCTTTCGATTTTTCTACTCAGGATCTCTCTAGCCCTGTCTTTCTTGGTTTACTATTTAGACCAGGCTGGCTTCATATTGTGGCAATCTTTCTGCCTCTTACCAAATGCTGGGGTTGTAAGTAAGCACTGATGTGTCTACTCTAAAAAATTTTTCTTTAAGACAAGGTCACATTTAGCCCAGGCTATCATCAAACTCAATATAGAGCCCAAGATGACCTTCGACTCCTAAGTCCTTTGCATCGAAGTTGTGGGATTACAGACATGTATACTATTCCTGGCTTGAAAATGAAATTTGAAATCTGCATTTTGCATGTTAGGGATTGAAGTGTTTATTTTTATTAATTCTTTCAAGACAGGGTCTCATCATGTAGCCCTGGCTGTCCTAGAAGTTGATACATAGACTAGGCTAACCTTAAACTCATAGGGATTCACCTGGTTCATCCACCCTGGCCCCTCAGGTTCTGGGTTTGAAAGTATGTACTACTTTTGTGTGGGGGGGTGGGGGGAGGGAGGCAGGCCCCGAGGCCTAAATAGTTTAAATGGACTCTCTCTGTTATTTGTTTGCATATGGTGTGGCAAATTGGCCTTTGACCTTTGTTGGTTGTGATTCCCAAATATATACCTTCTAAAAGAGCATGTTATCTCTCCCATTCTTTTTTTTTTTTTTTTAACTTTTTTTTTTTTAAGATCTAATTTATACATACCCAAATGCTCTATCTGCATGTACACCTACATGCTGGCAGAGGGTGTCAAAACTCATTATAAATGGTTGTGAGCTACCTTGTAGTTACTGGGACTTGAACTCAGTACCTTGGGAAGAACAGTCAGTGCTCTTAACCACTGAGCCATCTCTCCAGTCCATCTTTCCCATTCTTATCTATTTTTCTATTGTAAGTTTTTAAAGAAGAGTCCTATGGTTTTTATTTTTAAAATTCAACAAGAGGTAGCTTACTGAAATCAAATGATGCTTTAGTAAAGTTTTAATGACTCAAGATGGATATATTTGTATTCAAAGAACTAGCCCAAATTAGAGCTAAACTGGAAAGTTAACAACTCACTAAAATGCATGAGGAAGATCTAGAGGCAGGAAAATCAGGAGTTCAGGGTCAGCGATTAAGAGTACTGACTGCTATTCCAGAGGTCCTGAGTTCAATTCTCAGCAACCACATGGTGGCTCACAACCATCTGTAATGAGATCCCATACCCTCCTCTAGTGTGTCAACTTGAGCTACGTTAGAGAACCTCTCTTTTTTTTTTTCTTTTTTTTTTTTTTTTGGTTTGGTTTTTCGAGACAGGGTTTCTCTGTGTAGCCCTGGCTGTCCTGGAACTCACTCTGTAGACCAGGTTAGCCTCGAACTCTTGAACTCAGAAATCCGCCTGCCTCTGCCTCCCAAGTGCTGGGATTAAAGGCGTGCGCCACCACCGCCCGGCGAGAACCTCTCTTAAAAGAACAACAAAAGGAAAAGCAAGATGCATGGGAGAATGTATAAGTGTATTGGTATTTTTTCTTCCCAGTCTGTGCAACCTGCTATCTTACCATGATGAATAAAATGTTGGCCACATAATAAAAAAGTCTTTCACAGCAAAGGGTTCTAGCACTTAGGCATACAAATCAGGGCAGAAAGTAGAAGAACTCGTCTAACAAATTATATTTGTTAATATAAGTGGTGCTGGTTCAGGCTTTTAGTTCCAGTACTTGGGAGTCATAGGCTGGCTCTGTGAGGCTAGCCTAGTTTACAGAGCAAGTTCCAGGACATCTAGGGCCACAGAGAAAAACCATTTCTCGAAAAACACAAAAAAAAATTCAAGGTCTTCTTGGGCTTCTTAACAAGTTTGGGAACACTGTCTCCAAACATTTTAAACTAACCTTGCTATTTCTTTGGGATTTTCTTTTTAACTGCTCTTCTATTTCTATTAGTTGGAATAAAACTATATTTAAATGTTGATTTTGACAGTTAATATTGGAAACAAAATTTATTTCTACTTTTTCTATCTTAAATCAGGATAGACATTAGAAAAGCTAATAAAATAAATTAAAGGTGAGATTTTAATGGTAGTAGAGTGATGCATAATGCCACATACCTTTAATTCTAACACTTGGGAGGCAGAGGCAGGTCCGTCTCTCTGATCAAAGCCAAACTAGTCTACATAGCAAGTTCTAAGCAAGTCAGGTATACACAGTGAGTCCCTTTCTTAAAAAAGAGAAGAGGAGGAGGAAGGAGAAGAGAGAGGACTGGAGTCAATAACGTAGCTCAGAGATTAATAGCTTTTGTTGCTCTTGCCAAGAAATCCAGGTTTGGTTCCCAACATCCACATGAAAGCTGACAACAATCCATAACTCCAGTCCTAGGGGATTTAATATCTCTGATCTCCGTGGGCATGTGCATATACATGTACATAACACAGACAGACAGACAGACACACACAATCACGTATAATTTAAAATAAATATTTTAGGGGCTGGAGAGATGGCTCAGTTCTCAGCACATAGATCAGGCAATACATGTAATTCTAGCCAAGGGGTAAAATACTTCTAGACTCCCAAGAAACAAATATACAAATAATAAAAAAAAATCAACCATTTTAAATCATTATGATCAAAATGTATTGTATAAATTCCTCAAAGAATTAGTAAATTGAAATTGCAACATTTTGTAGGTGGAAGCTGGAGAATTAGGACTTAGATCCAGCCCAGACTACATGAAACTGTGTGTTCACAGAACACAACAAAAAGCACATTGAAGTAATTAGTACCACTCTAGAATCACTTTTTAAAAAAACAAAAAACAAAAAAACTTTTTTGAAGACAACATCACTTTATGTATCTCCTGACTGTTCTGGAAGGCATTATGTAGACTAGGCTGGCCTCCAGCTTACAGAGATCCATATAACCATAATATAGTTATAAATTAAATAAATTTACATAGCTGAACAGCATAGTGCATACCTATAAATCTGTGTTCAATCATAGAGGAAGGATGATTCCAATCTCAACGTCAACCAGATAGGTATATCAGAAAGGAAGTTTAACATTAGTATAGGATAATTTTATACTATATAGTGCTTTAGTCTATATTTCTATTCCAGTTTTATGCTAATGATGTCCTAGAAATAATACCTTTGTTTATTTGAGGTGTGTACATTACAGTAATCTGTTTTTTGTTTTTGTTATTTGCTGTTGCACATCTTAGTTTCTAACTTGCTTGTTCTCAAGTAGCATAGTTATAGGTGTAGGTGGCTTCCTTTATCAAAGTCTTCTTTACTCCGGAACACTGCTGTAGCCTTTTTTGTATTTCACAGCATTTATTATTTTGAAGACTGTAGACCAGGTTCAGGTTATATATTTTTAACTAGAATACACCATAAGCAGTGTCATGTTCCTTATTGGATGTTTTATGTACATTTTACATAGACTTCATTCACCCTTTAGAATTGATAGCAACTATAGTCACTTGGGTAATGTGTTGTCCTTTTTTTCTCACCAAAAAAGTTAATAGTTTTCCTCCTACAATTAGTAACTATTTTGTGCATAGATGCCTTGAGACTGTAAATAGTTTATTACAAAGCTGTTTCTAGCAGCAGCAGCTGCTGCTGCTGTTGTTTTGGTTTTTTGAGACAGAGTCCCTGTAACATAGCCCTAGCTGTCCTGAAACTCACATGGTTGGAAACCATGTTGACCTTGCTTAGGATCAAAGGCATACAACACCATACCTGGCATCTTTCTCTTTTCTTTCCTTTTCTTTTTTCTTTTCTTTCTTTCTTTTTTTTTTAAAGATTGATTTATTTTATATGTGTGAATATTTTGTCTACTTGTATGTATGTTTTTACAGAGTGTGCCTGGTGCCTATGGAGCTCAGAAGGTATGGGATTCTCTAGGACTGGAATTGCAGGTTGATGTGAGCCACTATGTGGGTGCTAGGAATTGAATCCAAGTCTTTTTGATGATGTTCTAGAGTATTTTTTTTAATTCACTTACAGTTTATTACATAAAATGATGTATATGCAAGTTTGAATGCAAGAATGTGTGACTCTGTTTTGTTATTCACTGCTTGCCCAACTTCCAGGGATCCTCCTGTCTTGCTGTAGAATCACAAGCATTATAGGCACACATGACCACACTCAGCTTTTTTTTTTTTTTTTTTTTCTGGTTTGGTTTTTCAAGACAGGGTTTCTCTGTGTAGCCCTGGCTGTCCTGGAACTCACTCTGTAGACCAGGCTGGCCTTGAACTCAGAAATCTGCCTGCCTCTGCCTCCCAAGTGCTGGGATTAAAGGTGTGCGCCACCACTGCCCGGCTGACCACACTCAGCTTTATGTGACTTTCACAGATTCAAACATAGGGTAAATCAATACTTGATTTACCCACTGAACATCTCCTAGCCTCAAATATCCATCTCAAAATAACTAAGGTATTTATTTACATAGAATTTATTTAAAAGTCTTGATGAAACTAATTTTAGCTGTTATTACGTTGTTTTCTTTGTAAATATATTGTCAGAGGGGTTATAATAGTATAGTACAGAGTATAGTACATCTACAGAGCAGATTAACGATGACAGATTCTCTTTGTAGAAAGACTGCTAAGCATCTGTAAGCTTGTGTGTATTTTCTTACATTACCTTGGTTGACAGAGATGAAAAACTCCTATTAATTCCCTTTGCTTATGAAGGACTGTTGTCTACAGGCAGTAGAGTTTGATCTGCTGGCAAATTTAAAAGCTTTATAAGTGTTTTCACTGTAAAAACTTGTTTTTATCTTTTAGGGAACCCAGAGACTGAAGTTCTGGGCTAGTTTACTACAGAGTATATTATTGCATGTAGCCCAGGATAGTTAAAAATTTACTGAAACACACTTAAGATAGACTCGAGGAATTCTTTCTAACCTATGAATTTTACTCTTTTTAGGTGCATCCTTGGTGAACTTTTCACAAAGAAACCTATTTTTCAAGCCAATTTGGAACTGGCTCAGCTAGAACTGATCAGGTACAGTTACACATATGCTCTTTTTTTTTTTTTTTTTTTTTTGGTTTTTTTTTTTTTTTTTTTTGGTTTTTCGAGACAGGGTTTCTCTGTGTAGCCCGGGCTGTCCTGGAACTCACTCTGTAGACCAGGCTGGCCTCGAACTCAGAAATCCTCCTGCCTCTGCCTCCCAAGTGCTGGGATTAAAGGCGTTCGCCACCACCGCCCGGCTACACATATGCTCTTAAATGCCTGTATTTTCTTAAACTTTTTTTACTCATAACCTGTTTTCACGTGAGAAGGTGAAATAAATAAATAATAAATGTACAAATTCAAACATTTACTAACAATAAATACAAATTTAAGGTTATCTTTGACATATACTTAATAATTTTATAATTTATTGAATATGAAATTAAATTTATGTATTAATAAAATAGATTTTTATTTATTTTTACACAAGAATTGGATTTATCTTAATTTATGTGTGGGCATACACATGGATGTCAGCTTTACAACCTTAGAGTCTTTCCATCCCTAACTCCATGGTAGGAGAGAACTAACATCCACTATTTATCCGATGACTTCTACACATACTTATGAGCAACATACAGAGAAATAAACAAATAAGTGGGGGAAAAAAATACCAACAGTTTTGTTTTTTTTTTTTAAAAAAAGAGGCAGGACTGGAGAGATGGCTCAGCAGTTAAGAGCCTTGACTGTTCTTGAAAGGACCCAGGTTCAGTTCCTGGTATTCACATGTTTGTGGCTCCAGTTCCAGGACACCTGAAACCCTCACACAGACATACATACAGGCAAAACACCAATGCATCTAAAATAATTAGAACAAAAGAAATCAGGCATGGTGGCACATACCTGGTTTACATAGTGAGTTCTAGATAAGTTAGGCCTACTAGTGAGACCTGATCTCAGCATAAACAATGCAAATAAAAGAAATAGTTGTAAACGTACTTACTTTTAAAAAGAAGTTCAAGTGCCTAACTCAACTAGTTTCTAAAATCAAATAATCTACCCTAATACAATCTAAAAATAGACTAATTTGATACTTACATCCTGACAAATAATGGTAGGAAGCTATTTAAAGCCTTGCATGCTTGCTTGTTTGCTTACTTGCTTACTTGCTTGTGACAGGGTCTCTATGTAGTCCTGGTTATCCTAGTGCTATCCTAGAGCTTAATAAGTAGACCAGACTGGTATGGAACTAACAGGGATCCTTCTGAGTGCTGTGATTAAAGATATGCACCACCATGCCTAGCTGAAGCCTTTTTGTTTGTCCTTTCTCCCTTCCCTTCCCTTCCCCTTCCCCTTCCCCTTCCCCTTCCCCTTCCCCTTTCCCTTTCCATTTCCATTTCCATTTCCATTTCCATTTCCATTTCCATTTTTTTCAAGACAGGGTTTCTCTGTCTATCCCTGGCTGTTTTGGAACTAACTTAGTAGACCACAGTAGCCTCCAACTGAAGAGATCAGCCTGCCTTTGCCTCCCAAGTATTGGGATTAAAGGCATGGAAAACTACCACTCAGCTAGCGTTTGTTTTTTTTTGTTTTTGTTTTTTTTTTAATTAAGCCAGTATTGTTTCTGAAAGAGCAAAAAGTTATATATACGCACAGATCTCAGCATGATGGTGTCAGTATTTCAGGTAGTGTTTATCAGCATTTTGTGAGATTATACCACACTCACGGTGCTAGGGAGCTGCGTGTTCTGAATCAAGATTTCAGTGAAGTTACACAGTGTAACACTGGAGAATACTGCCGGAAACAACTCAGACTTATTACATATTGGATTTTTAGTTAACCTTTTGGTTGTTGTATATATTACTGTTGCCAAATTTGTCATGGCCCTGTTATATAACCCTTAGTTATGACTTATCAATGTGTATGAGTGCTCTGTCTGCATGTACACCTGTATGTCAGAAGAGGGCATTAGATCTCATGATAGATGGTCACACCTCACTAGGTGGTTGTTGCTGGGAATTGAACTGAGGATTTCTGAAATAGCAGCCAGTGCTGTTAATTTCTGAGGTAGCTCACTAGCCTGACCTATACTTTTTTGTGTGTGTGTGGTTTTCCATTGACTACCACATGTGCACATACACTCACACACTAATTAAAGTAGAAAAAATGATTGAAAAAATATTTTTCTGACCAGCCTTCTTGAAAAACAGATCTAAGGAGCCTCATTTCCTCACATACTGCCTGATGGGTTTTGGTGGTGTCAAGGTTTGTGGAGACAAACTACTCTGGGCCAGTGAGCTGGCCTCTTGGGTACAGGTGCCTTACCATTAAGTCTGACAACATAACATACATTCCATCTTAAGGACTCGTGTGGTAAAAAGAAAGAACTGACTCTTGCAAATTATTTTTTGATCTCTACTAGTGTGGCGTAGCATATGCCTTGTTAACTATACAGGATAGGAATAGAATTTTTGGCTGTTTTTTATGTTTTGTGGAGTTCATGTTATCTTCTTCATTCTACCCTGTGGATCCTAAGGATTGAACTCAGGTCATCTAGCTTGGCAGGAGGAATCTTTTCCCACTGAGCTGTTTCTCTAGCCACAGTTTAAAAATGGACAATTTGGGGAAGGCTTGAAACTAGACTCAGGACCTCTCGTGCTATATACTTCACTTTCTTCTTTTTTCCTTTTCTTTTTCTCTGTTTCTTTTTTGGTTTGTTTTTTTCGAGACAGGGTTTCTCTGTGTAGCCCTGGCTGTTCCTGGAACTCACTCTGTAGACCAGGCTAGCCTCGAACTCTCGAACTCAGAAATCCGCCTGCCTCTGCCTCCCAAGTGTTGGGATTAAAGGTGTGCGCCACCACCGCCCGGCCTTTTTCTCTGTTTCTTTCCCTTTTTCTTTTTGATTGGATTTGTTTGTTTTGGGACAGAGTCTCTCTTTATGCACCATACTGGCTATCAGTTCACCAATTTTTACTATTGGAAATTAGTTCTGCCAGGTATGGTGGCACATGTCTTTAATCTCTGCCTTTGGAAGCAGAGGCAGGTTCATCTCTGAGTTCAAGGCTATCCTGGTCTACACAATGAGTCCAGAACAGCTAGGAGTTCATAGTAGAGAGACCTGGCCCAAAAAAGAAGGAAAGAAAAGAAGTTAATTCTAGCTGAATAGACTAAAATTGGTGATGAGAACCTTATTAGATAAGAACATGTTTTATTAAATATGTGAATCATTTTGGATACATAAAATCTTTCTTTTTTTTTTGCTAGCTTTTAGTATTTACAGTATGTTTTCTTGCAACCAGTTCTCTTATATTGCTTTTCCTTAGAGCAATTAAGGTTGTGCTTCGCTTTTTTTTTTTTTTTCATTTAATACCTATTAGTTAATAATGTAATAAATCGTAGAGTTTCCATAGGGATCTCAGGAGATAATCTCTCCTTTAAGAACCTATAGCAGTCATGATATCCTGATGAGTCACATCATTGCACTTGTTGTTTTGCTTTCTTTTCAGTCGTCTCTGTGGTAGTCCTTGTCCTGCAGTGTGGCCTGATGTTATCAAGTTGCCCTACTTCAACACCATGAAACCGAAGAAGCAATACAGGAGACGCCTAAGAGAAGAATTCTCTTTGTGAGTTTAGCAAAATCCTCTTATATCTCTTTTCTGTATCTAGCTTCTGTTGGTACTTTTACTGTTAATCTCAATTTAATACAGCAAACATTTTAATTGCATTTTTTTGTTGTTATTTTGTTTTTCTGAGACAATCTCACTATGTACCCCTAGTTGGCCTGGAACTTGTTACATAGACTAGGCTGGCCTTAAACTCAGATATCTATCTGCCTCTGTGTTCTGAATGCTAGTGTTAAAGGTGTGCTCCACTAAGCCCCCCCCCATTCTTTGATTCATTTATGTATTTGTGGATGAATATGGGTGTAGAAGACAGTTTTCATGAGTTCAGTCTTCTATCATGTGGATCCTAAGGGTATATAATATTGCTCATAATGTTTGGTAACAGGTGCTTTTACTTGATACGCCTCAATTAGCCCATTTTATTTTATTTTACATATATTAGCATTTTTTGCTTGCATGCATGTATGTGTGTCATGTGTCTGTCTGGTCCCTTCTGCGGCCAGAAGAGTGTGTTGGATTTTCTGGAACTGGAATTTGGAAGAGTATTAGCTGGCATGTGGGTACTGGAAATTTAATTTGGAGTTTTGGCAAGAGTGCCAGTGCTCTTAACCTCTCCAGCCCTACTATTGAACAGTTTATTTTATCCATCCCTATTTCTGATTTTCTCTTCTGAAGGCCTTGGACAAATAAAAACCTTTGAGCTTCCGAAGGAAAGAGTACAAAATTGTTGGTTTCATTCGTTTTCACCTCCATTGTAACATTTCTTAAATCATACCTTAGATCTGTTGGTCACATTGGCCAATTTCTGATTTTCTTTGCTTCATTTTATATGGAGATGGAAATTCAAATAACTTTTGATATGAGTTTCCTGGTTTGAGAACTATGGTTATTGTGAGCTTTTGATTCCCCTGTTCCTTTCCATAGCATTCCTTCAGCGGCGCTTGATCTATTGGACCACATGCTGACACTGGATCCTAGCAAGCGTTGCACAGCTGAACAGACCCTACAGAGTGACTTTCTTAAAGATGTGGAACTCAGCAAAATGGCACCTCCAGAGTAAGTATTGTGACTATAAAATGATTTCAAACTTTCTGCTAGATTCAGAGAATAAGAAGCTAAAAAATATATAGGTTTATCAAAATAACTGCAAATGGAGTGTTAGTGTGGATAAGGTTACATATATTAAAAAAGGAATTAGTTTAACCCTATTGGAGTCATTATTTTCTTTTGTTTCTGCATCTCTAGTGTGTATTGTGCTAGCCAATGTCTTTGAAAAGATTCTCTGTGGCTTTTGCATTTAACTATTCCTTCTCTTGTAATCATTATGTTGTCACTGTATACTTCTCACACTGAAAGAACAATTCTGATTTTAAATAGTTTTCATCAGTGTCAGGTCCGTAAGGGTATGGCACTTGTGTAGGCTGGCCTTGAACTTTGGATCTTCTTCTTCAGATGCATTTTCTTACCAGAGAAGAACTGGGATGATGTGGTGGTAAACACTTACAATCCCAGCACTTGGGATTTGTTGCAGCTGAATCCAGAGTTCCTAGTTAGCCTGGAATAAGATGTTTTTGTTTCAAAAAAACAAAAGAGAGGACATGGATAATTATATATACATATCATTGCTCTAAAGATCTATCCACATTCATTCATTTATTATATTAAACTGTTGATACTTAACTTTTTACTGAAAGTTAGGAACTGTTACATAGTTTTGTTTGTTTTTTGAGAAACAATGTAGCCCTGGATGACCTGGAACTCACTAAGTAGACCAGGCTGGCTTATAAGTAACAGGGATCCCACCTTCTTCTGCCCCCTAGTTGCTAGGATTCAGAACATGCCCAGTTTAACTTTGAATGAAAAAGTTAATGGTATTTAATCATGGATATTCAATGGATAATTTAGTACATTGGTGATTTAGTCATGATGTGTTTATGCAGTTCCAAGATTTAAAACACCGTTTGTGTTTGTTTGCACACATGTTCATTCTCTTGCCAATGTACATGTGAAAAGTCAGGGCATGTTATGGGAGTTGGTTCTGTTTTTCTTTTCTTTCTTTTTAAGATTTTTTTTTATTATATATGTATATGAGTACACTGTAGCTTTTTTCAGACACACCAGAAGAAGGCATCAAGATCCCATTACAGATGGTTGTGAGCCACCGTGTGGTTGCTGGGAATTGAACTCAGGACCTGTGGAAGAGCAACCAGTGCTCTTAACCACTGAGCCATCTCTCCATCCCGGGTTCTGTTTTTCTAACATAAAGGTTCCAAAATTAAACTCAGGTTGTCATTCTTGGTGGCGAGTCCTTTTACTTACTGAGCCATCTCCCCAACCTCTTTTGTAGGGTTTCATAACTATTAATAAGCTGTTCATCTCTGTGTTCTTATTTATCCTCAGCTGATATTTCACTAGTAAAATTCTCTTTATTCTTTTTATACCAACAGAATCAGTATTTGACTAGATAGGAATTGGTTCTATTATCAGTAAGATTTTCATTTATTACTGCATACATTTTTGGGGCTTTTATTTTCCACAAACTACCACTTGCCGTGATTCTTTTTACACTGCATTCTAATATTTATCATTTTTAAATTTTATTCCCTGTGTTTCTTGCTTTTTATTTTAATTCATTATTCTTCCATTTATTCACTACTTACTCTTCCTTGGTTTTGTGTTTCTTCAGCCTACCTCACTGGCAGGACTGCCATGAATTGTGGAGTAAGAAACGTCGACGGCAGCGACAGAGTGGCATTGTGATAGAAGAGGCACCTCCATCCAAAGCTTCTCGAAAAGAAACTACCTCAGGGACAACAGCTGAGCCTGTGAAGAACAGTAGCCCAGCCCCACCTCAGCCTGCTCCTGTCAAGGCAGAGCCTGTTCCAGGGGATGCAGTAGGTCAGTGCTAGAATGAAGCCTGCCTGCCTCTTTCTTTCTTTCTTTCTTTCTTTCTTTCTTTCTTTCTTTCTTCCTTTTTCTTTCTTTCCTTCTTTCTCTCTCTCTCTCTTTCTCTCTTTCTCTCTCTCTTTCTCTCTTTCTTCCTTCCTTCCTTCCTTCCTTTCTTTCTTTCTTTCTTTCTTTCTTTCTTTCTTTCTTTCTTTCTTTCTTTCTTTCTTTCTTTTTGGTTTTTCGAGACAGGGTTTTTCTGTGTAGCCCTGGCTGTCCTGGAACTCACTTAGACCAGGCTGGCCTCAAACTCAGAAATCCACCTGCCTCTGCCTCCCAAGTGTTGGGATTAAAGGCATGCGCCACCACTGCCTGGCGAAGCCTCTGTTTCTGTTAATTATACTTAAGTAGATTTTGAGGGTAAAATGCATATGTGTTCATATCACTGTGTTTTTGTCCACTGGAACGTTAGAAAACTGATTGATGTCCTCATTTCTAAGGAGAACTAAATCTTTCTACATATAGTTCAGAAAGTTTGCAGTAGGGTATTTTAATTCCTTGAAATACAGAATACTATATTTTACTTAGATTATGTGTGGAAGAAACCATTCAATTAAATTTGTAAAATTTAAGGTTGGTTTACTCATGCATTTTTTTTAAATTACACACACGGTACACAGTTGTACATGCTGACAAAAACATATATATCTATTTTTGTCAAATTTCTAGCCAAATTTCTTGGCATATTAGGCCCCTAATTCTTTAATCCATCCTAACAGTTTTTACATATAATAATGGTTGAAATCACTGACCTAGAAGTGTACAGATGAAATGTTGTCACTTTTATATATAGTGCAGAGATGCTTTTGTTAGTCCTTTTGTTGTTTTAATTTTTATTTATTTCATTGGAGGTGGCACATAATGTGTGTAGAGGTCAGAGGACAACTTGTAGGAGTTGATACCCTCCCCACACGTGGGCCTTAGGGTTTGTACAGTAGTCATGCTCGGGGCAAGTGCCTCTTACCTTGTGCAGCATCTCACTGGCCCAAGTCTTTGCATTTTAAAACAAGAGTAAAGAATAAACTGTGATGTAATAATCTGAGATATTAAACTATGAGAGATTCAAAATGAAACTGTACCTTTGGATATTATAAATTGCTTTTGTCAGTTGAAGAAGACAAAGGGCCTTGCCCTTCCTTGTCATCTTATATTGGCTCCACTCTCGTCCCACAGGCCTTGGTGACATCACACAGCAGTTGAATCAAAGTGAATTGGCAGTGTTATTAAACCTGCTTCAGAGCCAAACTGACCTGAGCATCCCGCAGATGGCACAGCTGCTTAATATCCACTCCAACCCAGAGATGCAACAGCAGCTTGAAGCCTTGAATCAGTCTATTAGTGCACTGACTGAAGCCAGTTCCCAGCAGCAGGACTCAGAATCCATAGCCCCAGAAGAATCATTGAAGGAGGTACCTTCTGTGCCTGTGGTCCCGCCTCCTGCTGAACAGACAACTCCTGAAGCTTCAAACACACCAGCTGACATGCAGAATATGTTGGCAGTTCTCTTGAGTCAGCTGATGAAAACCCAAGAGCCAGCAGGTAACCTGGAGGAAAACACCAGTGACAAGACTAGCGGGCCACAGGGGCCCCGAAGAACTCCTACAATGCCACAGGAGGAGGCAGCAGGTAAACAGACCGGTCATGAATCTCATTGAGCTCAGGTGCTGTTGATCCTCTTAAAAATCTCTTAACGCTTTGTTTTTTACATCATTGGTCTCAGTTTCAGTTTTCTGTAATCTAGTCTACAGAAGGACATAGCACCAAATGATGTATTTCTTGACCAGCCTATCCATTTAAGTCTCAAAGCACCATTTATTGATAATTTTTCCAGTTAATAAGGTACTGGTAAGTAAAGCCCCTGTATTCTAATCAAGGAAACCAAAGCTGTAGATAGTGAGGTATCTTGAACCAGTCTGTATGTGATAGCAAGCTAGTCCTGGAGAATCTGACTTTAAAATAAACAACAAATTATTCTTTATATCTAGTGGAGTGGATCCTGGATACCAGAATTTTATGTGGAAGATACAGTCAAGAAAGCCCTAATAAAATACCATTTCAGTTCCTGAAAATAATCAGGGAATTGTTTTGAGCAGACAAACACCTTATATATTTTTTTCCAAACAGTAATAGTACCTAAAGGTGGTTATTTTAAGTCTGTGTTTATGAAAGGGACAATGGAATCAGGAAGAAAAGCATTATGAAAAGAAAAAACAAAGTCTAAAGGGAAAGAAGTGGTATGCCTTATGTCACATGACCAACCACACCATGCAGTATTAGAGGGGAAGCATTGTAAGTTCTCTAATCAATTCTGAGTCACAATCTGTTTACAAAGTCTTACTATCTGAAAATGTTTTCGACTCCTTGGAAATACTCATTGGCCTTGAAGATCCTATGAATTGGGGAATAAGAAGAGACACAGACTGAAGAGGTATACTAACTCTGAACTTTAGGATTCTGCATTTACATTTCATTTGGGTCGGTATAGAAAATATATTCTTTATTTTCACTAGTATAAGGTTGAATACATACCCTGTTTTTTCATATGTGAAAATTACTCAAACTGAAAGACAATAAAATTAACCTTTTGTTTTGTGACTAGGTAAACTGCATCCTAAGAAATTTAAGTAAATCTGTCTGTGATCTGCTGATTAATAGCAGACAAAGCTAGAACTTGTACACTCATATGTCTTGATTTACATTGCTATTCTCCATGATGATTTAAGTGGTTTTAATAGGCAAGGTAATAGAAAAGGCCATATATAGGGGCTGGAGAGACGGCTCAGAAGTTAAAAACACTGGCTGCTCTTGCTGAGGACCTGGTTCAATTCCTAGCACCTTTATAATGGCTCACAGCTACCTGTAACTCCTGTTCCAGAGGTTATGATGCCCTCTTCTGACCTCCACAGGGACCAGGTACACACTTGGCAAACATGCAGACAAAACACTTACACAATAAAAATAAAGATGTACATGAAAATAAAGAAAAGGATATGTAGAATTAAAGCAGGTTTTTCATCTCCTGTCTCAGATTCTGATCCTACCCAGTCATCCTTCAAAAAATAAATAACAATTTTCAACTCAAAGTACCTGAAAGATCTTTGTCAAATTAAATAGCACCCTGATTGAAAAATGTTCACCAAATAATTCAACAATCTGTCAACCACATAATGAAGTTGAACTGAAAATAAGTCATAGCATATAGCTAGAAATTGGATATGGTTTTTAGAGGAGAATGTAAAAATGCCACAGCTAAAGATGACTAGAAATGTTGGGTGTGGTATACATTTTTGATTCTGGGGCTCAGGAGGCCAACTTGGTCTAGTCCTACACAACACAGGAAGTTCCATCCAGCAAGGTCCTATCTCAAAAACAAAAAACAAAAACAAAAAAAACCACACACACCAAAATCCACAATTGATTATTACAGTCATTCCTGGATTATCTAGCGTGTCTGCAGAGGTTTTTTTGGTTTTTTAGTTTGTTTGTTTGTTTGTTTGTTTAGCACAAATTGACTTCAAAACTTTAAGATTCTGCCTCCTGCCACCACACCCTGGTACCTCTGACTTGGCCATTGCATTGTTCATTAACACTTCCACCAGAGGGCAGACTGTATAAACGAAAGGTGATCTTAGTTTGGCAATTTAGTTTTTCTGTACTTGTTAAGAAAGAGTAATGGTTAAAATCTAATAAATAAAAAGAAAGATTTAAGCTACTTTTACATTTATTTACCTCCTTTGTTAGTACAAAACTATTATAGAGTGGCAACATCAACACTTTAAATCTGAGGACAGTATGGTTTATAATTTATAGTTTTAGTTTTAATTCCTTTAAATAAGCTTTATTATCTTCAGTAGTTCTTAATGAAAAGTAGTATAGCTGGAAGGATGTAAACTTAAACTGACACTTAGTTTTTGTTTGTTTTCTTCCAGTATTAAAAACTTGGTGATTGTTTTTTTTTTTTCTTCTAATAGCACTGGTACTTGGATATCCTTATAAAGAGAGATAAGTAGTATTGACAGTAAAAAAAAGACTTTGAAATATAATACATGGTTATAGTTCAATTACCTTATCATTTCAGGTTATTTTTTCCTCCAAATTGTAAATTTTCAGTAGTTGATTTATTTTTGCCTTAAATTCATTTTTTTCCTGCTACTCAGCTGACCAGCCAGTCAACAAATAACTTAGAATTGCATGTTATAAAGTGGACTATTCTGTTTCAAAACTGAAAGTTGATACCCTGCCTCCCCTTGCCTCCCTGGCTTGTGCCCCTAATTGCAGAAACTCTTAAACTATTTACCTTTATTTGTTATTTGATATACCATCTGGTCTCATTTTTAACTGCATAATGTTAAAATGTTTTTTTATTTTTTTATTTTCTTGGGTTTTTTTTTTGTTTGTTTGTTTGTTCATTTTTTTGAGATAGGGTTTCTCTATATAGCTCTAGCTGTCCTGGAACTCACTCTGTAGAGAGCAGGCTGGCCTCAGACTCACAGATATAGCTGCCTTACTCTGCTTCCTGAGTGCTGAGACTATAGGCTGGTGCCACCACTACCCAGCTTGTATATTAATTTGAGAGTGCTTTCATCTGCATACTTGGGGAGTGCAAATTTAATTACTATTGTTTTTACAAAGTTTATGCGAGATAATTCTGCTATGGGAATACCAAATTGTAACCAAAAACTGTTTCTGGCTTGTCTAAGTAATGGCATTACATCACTAACTAACAAAATACAAGAAAATGTTTTAAAATGTTCCCATAAGGAAAAAAAATTGGTCATTTGTAAGATAAGACCAAAACATCAAACCTGAAGATACTGTTTTTGTCTCACTAGTTTTATATGGCCTCAAACTCATATCATTTTCTCTCTCTTACATCTTACCCTGGTAAGAATTCATTTTCAGGCAAATTTAGACAGCAATGAAGAAACAGAAGTCTGGGTACATGGTTCAGGGAAGAGATCTTAGTAATAATTGAGTTTAGTATTAGTTCAGTAAGGATGAACACGTCTTTATCAACAGTTCAGTTCTGTGGGATGCTACTAGAATGACTTTTCTTTTTTATAGCATAAAAAAAATGCAGAAGGTAAGAAAATAAAACTGAAAATTACAATAGGATTACTTTGGTATTTGCAATTACTACAATTGTTGACGAAGCTGTGGTTGGTTAATATACTTTTCTTAAGGATATGGTTATAGAGAGAAATGACTAATTTGTAGAAGCAAAATGTCCTTTTATACATGTTGAGAAGTTTTTTTTTTTCCTTGATTGCATCTCTCCTGTTGTATTTCAGGTTAATTTTCTATCATCAAACACTATGTAAATGTGTTAGCCAGGTTTGTACATTGTACAGAAAGATTATGTCCTAGAAATGTGACCACAGAGTGTATATATATTATTCTTTCTCATCTTCCTTCTTTCTGCTTTGTTTTTAATAATGTTTTGATCTAACAGCAGAAGGGATGGAGAGGTTGCCAACAATCTGCATATTAGAACAGTTCTTTAAAGAAGAAAATCTCAAAACAAAAATATTTAGGACAGTCATTTGAAACATAACATCTTTTTATACCAGCCGTCATATCCAGAATGCAACTGTTTTACTTCTAATCACTTGATTATTTTATTTATAAATTTCAGTTTCCTGGTCCCAGGTTTTTTTTTTTTTTTTCTTTTAATATATCTGGTTACTTGTATTAGTATTTATTTATGTTGGACAGTATGTGTTTGTGTTTATAATCACATGTGATTTTTAAAATGGTATTTAAAAGAAGTAACCCTTCCACAGCATGTCCTCCTCACATTCTTCCACCAGAGAAGAGGCCCCCTGAGCCCCCTGGACCTCCACCGCCGCCACCTCCACCCCCTCTGGTTGAAGGCGATCTTTCCAGCGCCCCCCAGGAGTTGAATCCCGCCGTGACAGCCGCCTTGCTGCAACTTTTATCCCAGCCTGAAGCAGAGCCTCCTGGCCACCTGCCACATGAGCACCAGGCCTTGAGACCAATGGAGTACTCCACCCGATCCCAGCCAAACAGGACTTACGGAAACACTGACGGGCCTGAAACAGGGTTCAGTGCCACTGACACTGATGAACGCAGTTCTGGTCCAGCCTTGACAGAATCTTTGGTTCAGACCCTGGTGAAGAACAGGACCTTCTCAGGCTCTGTGAGCCACCTTGGGGAGTCCAACAGTTACCAGGGCACAGGGTCAGTGCAGTTCCCAGGAGACCAGGACCTCCGTTTTACCAGGGTTCCCTTAGCATTACACTCAGTGGTTGGGCAACCATTCCTGAAGTCTGAGGGAAATAGCAACTCTGTGGTACATGCAGAGACCAAATTGCAAAACTATGGGGAGCTTGGGCCAGGAACCACTGGGGCCAACAGCTCAGGAACAACCCTTCAGTGGGGGGGCCCAGCTCAGTCTTATGGAAAACCCTACCGGGGGGCTGCAAGAGTCCCACCACGAGGGGGAAGAGGGAGAGGAGTTCCTTATTAACATAGAGACATCAAATGCCCTGAAAGATTCCTTCCCTATCCATCTTCCCATCTAGTTCTCTGAACCTTTAATGAAATCACTTGCCAGAGCAAGGTAATCATCTGCATTTGGCTACTACAATGCTGTCTCTTGTTTTCCTTGCTCACTTGCTGCTAGCAGGCGAGTCAACGATGTTGGCACCAGTTCTTCCTAAATGGGCAATAGCCAGAATATTTACTTCTGCTCTGTGTAGGAGCTACAGTAGAAAGTGTAGAGAAAAAGACACATACAATTGAAAACTCGTTGTTGCTTTAGCTCGTTGCCTGCATTGAGCAGGAGAGAACTATTTTGTTTTGAATTGGCTCTGGAGAGGCTTTGATTTTTTTTTTTTTAAAGTTTATTGTTTTATTTTCTTGTGTGTGTGTGTATGTGTGTGTGTATATAGTTTCTTTTGAATTTTTATTTAGTTTCCCACCCCAAAACTCCCCCATGACCCTTTAAAGAGAATAGTATTCACAAGGTCTGAGCTCCTCTTAGGCCTTTGCTAGAAGGGTAACAGTGGACTGGCTGGCTTAAATGTTTCCTTCCTCTCTACCATCTCATAATTTTTCCTTCAGTGAGCACCCCCTTTACCCCCGTTGAGCATCTTGTACATACCTTTTTCCAAATAAATCATACTTAAGTTTGCTCAATTTTGACAAAAGTTATGTCTCTCTTCCTGCACATAGAGCAGGCTGTAGACAGTGGCATTCTTGGGCGAGTAGGTAGACTTTACCCAATCTTTGATTTTTGTTTGTTTACTTTTTCTTCCTTCCCCTCTCTCCCTGTCCCCCTATTTTCTTTTTCCTCCTTCCTCCCTTGTGTGTTCACCCCTATTATTCTCTCTTTTTGTATCTTTTTGAGGCATTTGTTTGGAAAAAAAATACATAGTAGAGATGCCCAAGAACTTGGAATAATACTTTTCCCTTTTCTTTCTTTCTTTTTTTCCTTTTTTCTTTATTTTCTTTTTTTAATAAAGGAAAGGAAATTCAAACTCCTACATTGTTCTCTGTAACTCTTCAATTCTAAATTTTGTTTTTGTTTTTTTAAGCCACATTCTGATGGGGAGGTTGACTTGTAAATGGACAGCATAGGACATTGCTGCTGAGCTGTGGTTAGAAATGATGTCACCATACCTAAAGGGGTAATAAGATCAGTAAGCATGTTGTTTACATGAGTATTTTTGTGTTAGAAAAAGGAAAACCTTTAAAACAGAGCCTTGTGATATTGTCAGAGGAAACTCAATACATGGACACATAACCTAGTTTAGGGTATATATCTGAAGATTTATCAATTCCTGCTATTTTTAACGAAAAAAATTTAAACAAGGTCCATGAGAAAGAACAGTATTGATAAGTATACGTCTCAGCATGTACATCCAACCATTTCTTACAGGGATCATTTTTGATTGTGGTAAAGGGTGTAGGGTATGACTTCCTGACAAGAACTTTGCCTTTGGAGAACAGGAAATGGACAAGAGGAAGGATTTCAGAGTGGGATAACGCGAGAGGCTTCTCATGGCTTCCATTTCTGGGTATCAGCAGCTGGAGTATTTTAAAAACAGATTTATGTCATATAATTGATCTGCACAGATCTAGGGTTTGTGAAATGTTAGGTTAAGCTCCTTTTTACAAAGGCAAACAACATACTTCACCATCTTGAAGAGTAGTTTTCAGAAACTCAAGTAAATTTCATGTTTCAATACCAAGTTCTTATGTTAAAACTATATTTAGAAAGGTATATTAATTTTTTTAAAAATTTAGAGGTGAAAGAACCCTCTTCAGCTACATAAAAAGTTATTTTTCCCTTTTTACCGATATAGATATCAGTATGTATATTTCTTTATTTTCTGGTTTTGGTCTGGCTTTGTCATAAGCCAAACACTAATAGTAAGTGAACCTTCTAGCCATTTGGCTTTGATAGCTTTTTATGCCAGGATGTCTGGTTAAATGTCCTAGGCACACTGACATGCTATCCATAGACTGCATTAAGGTTTACCTGTACCTTCAGTCTCCTGACTAGTCCTCAGATGTGGGCCTTATTTTAGAATATTTTAATGTAAGGTATTAGGCCCCAGTCTCCTATTTTTGATTAAAGAAACTGAGCTGGGATACTTCAAGTATCTGTTCAGTAAAAAGGATTGTTTTCCCATCAAATAGAAATAAATTTCCCTCTATATTTTCATTGTATTTTGGTTATCAGCAGTCACCAATAATGTTTTCCCTTCCCCTCTGTCACACTGTATTTTTAATTATGCCAAATAGTCTAAATAATTTATGTAAACTTCCATTCCCCTATCCCTTCTAGGGAAGGGGAGTGAGTGTATGTGAATGCGTGTATATGTATGTGTGATCGATCCCATTACGCCCTACCCCATTTTGGGAGTCTAGCCTTTAAAAAATATTTTTATAATAATTTTCACTACTTCCGAAAGCAGAGAAAAAAAAACTCATTTATATATCCTGAAATCTTTGTGGAGGACGAAAAGATATTTGGTCATTTTTTTGAGCTATATTATCTGTAAACATATTGGAAGTAAACATTTGGCTTAATTTTCAACCTGAAAGGTAGAAATCTGGTTAATTCCATTCAAAAGTGTTTTCAGTATATACTATTGTAATACATTATTTTGAACAGATTTGAAATCTGATTCTGTTCATGAATAAGAAACAAAACTGGCTTGACCATGATCTTTTTTTTTTAATGTGATTTTAAAAGCAGATTTGCTTAACCCGATTTCTTTAGTTTTTTTCATCTATCTATAGGGTTGAGGATTCTCAAATAACATCAGATATATGTATTTAAAACCAGGGCGGTCAGCACAAATTTGTATGTAGGATTTTTTTTTTTGTTAGCTTATACTATAAGCATCACCCAACGTGTGTGTGGGGTGTGTGTGTGTGTATGGATGTATGTGTGTGTAATATGCATATATAAGTACAGTGCTACAGTGGTTACCAGCAGGTTTTGAGAGAGAATGGTGCATTGGGAAAGTGTCAGTTGCCACCTCATTCTTCCTGATTTATAGGTTTCTGACACTGTATTCCTTTCTCTCTCTTGTTTTTGACCCCCATTGGGTGTACCTTGTCTATGTACAGATATTTTGTAATATATTAAATTTTTTCTTTCAGTTTATAAAGATGGAAAGTGGAGATTGGAAAATTAAATATTTCCTGTTAATATACCACTTTTGCTGCATTGCATTTACTTCTAATTTCTGTACCCCTTGAGCATATCTAATCATGTATGAAGGACATTTTTTTCCTTTATTTTATGGGCTCTCTATTTCAGAAATGCTATAGACTCATAAACTATCAGAACAAAAGAAATTTTCTCAGGGTTTGGAGAGGTACTTGAAAACGCTAGAGTGGGAAGTAGAGAATTAAAAATTGAGTTAGAGAAATCCATGAGAATATATGATTTTTAAAAGGTAATAAGTGGATGGTAGTATGAAGCCATCAAGAGTTGAGCTTCATGTACCCTGACTGACTCCTCCTGGCAGGAGAGGTAAGTGGGTTTGAGCTCAACAGTCATCAAAAGAAGTTGGTACAAAGCTATTTAGACCCAAAGGATACTCTAAAACCAGGTTTCCAGCATTCCACCCAGTCTGGTTTCCACAATGTTACAGAAGAGGGTCAGCATGGGGATTAATGTATCCAGCCCCCTTTGAGATTTCCTAACACAGTACTAAGCCAAGAAGTGAACCAGAGTTGTTTAAAGTGTGTGGTATTCCTAAAATCTTTTCCAACTCTACCAGAGGGGAAAATTTTTAGTTTCTTTTATGTCTTAAAACACTAAGGAGTCCTTGGCAATGTATACTGCAGTCTAGCTAGGAAGAAGGCAAATAAAATCTGTCAGGAGAAAGGAAAAATGCCTGAAGTTTGTATATGGGCTGAGCAAGTTATAAGCCTAAGAGTTACTAAGGATGTGGAAAATGAAGGATTAAAAAGCTGCTGCTGTAGGTTGCTAACCTGAACTAAATTCTCCATTTTTTGGTGTCCCCTGCCTGTGAGCAAAATCCTTTTTCATCCTAAAGTGTAGTGGAGAGCTCAAGATTGTTCCAGTTCCATGAATCTTGGACCTGGTTTCTCCAAAGACAATGAATTTGTTTTTAAGTCATTATGCGTTGCATGTTTGTGACTAGGTATGAATTTCAAGCTACCAGAGAGTACTGTTGCCACTTTATAACAATAGCTGTCTTAATTCTGAGTCTAAAGACTGAGGACTTACCTGGCCTAATTTTTTTTCTCTTCATACACAAAGCCATTTCCTTATAGAAAGCCTTTTCAGTAACCAAATTTGTTTAGTACTCTTTTCCTAAATACACACCTTAATTTTAAAAGGCTAGTTCCCATAGTGAGTTAACAACAATTTTCTTAGTAAACTGGGGTTTCTGTTATAAAAGTCTGCCCCCACGCCCCAACTGAACTTTTTCAAGTTTTTGAATGACTTCTCTTTTTACAGTTTATTAATTCTGAAGGGCTAGATAGAATGAGAGTGAGGAGCTCATTAAGTGAAGAACTGTTCTGTTTCAAGGGAGACAGGTAAAATGAGCATTCCTGGACACTAGTTGGTTTTTATTGTATGGCTAGGTTTTCTCGTGTGCAGGAACACTTCTAAAAGTGTTTGTATAGCCTTAGGACTACTCGGGACAGGTAGAAGATTCCTGCAGCCCAGACTGGAAGACACCTGTGGGGATCATTGGTGCTATCCATCCTACCTCTCCTCACTGAGCTGTCACTCCCCTTTCTACCCTCTTCCTTTCGTTTTCTTGCTTCCTCTCCTCACCTTTTTTCTGTCCCACTCAGGATCCTACTAGGATGGTTTAAGTCTACCATAATTACTGTCAACTTGACTTTGCTAGGTATTTAGTATTACTATGTTTCATAGATTCAAAATTTTTTACAGGCAATTCAGAGAACAAATATCTGGACATTTAACTTTTGGAGTGGGAGGTAAAGAGCATACTTTGTTATTGCCAAGATATAACGGGAATTTCTGTGTTATGTTTCAGTATTCCTACTTCCACTCTTTAAACCTTCACCTCCTCATCTTCTCCCTCATCCTAGGGGTGTTGCTACTGCTGGTGACATTTCTAAGTTCATTTGCAGATAATGTATATAGGGAATAAAGGTTGAAAACGTGATAATATGGAGTAGAAAGCAGATGCAGGCTGATTTGATGCTCTGGTGATTATCACTTGGGTGTCAAAGTGTTCTGACCACTAGGTTGCTTTCATATCTCTTACTTCAACAATTAGTCATCCAGTACTGAGGAAGACTGATGTGGAGTTAGTCTTTCATAATCTTTAGATGAATAATTGTTGGTGAAGCTTTTCTAGTCTTCAGTGGACAGTTTCAGTGTACTTTTTTATAGGCATAAAGTTCACTTAGATGTGTCCTTAGGACTTGGAAATGAGTTTTAAAAGATTTTATTTATTTATTTATTTAATTTATTTTATTTTATTTTTTGGTTTTTCGAGACAGGGTTTCTCTGTGTAGCCCTGGCTGTCCTGGAACTCACTCTGTAGACCAGGCTGGCCTTGAACTCAGAAATCCGCCTGCCTCTGCCTCCCAAGTGCTGGGATTAAAGGTGTGCGCCACCACCGCCCGGCTGATTTATTATTTTTCTATGTGCATACGTACCATATTGTATGCAGGTACCTGCTAAGGAACACCAAAAGTGGATATCTGATCCCCTGGAGCTGAAATTATTATCAGTTATGGACCACATGATATGGGTAGTGGGAACTGAACTTGTCTTCTGGAAGAGTGACGTGCTTTTTACCTCTGAGCCATCTCTCAACACCTCCATAAATGAATTATTTTGGTGTCTCAGCTTAAAGTAGCTATATAGTAGCTAAAGTAGCTAGTTGATTATTTTAAAGTATGCAAAGTATCCAAACTAAACTATCCCTGAGAGAAGCTGTTTGAAGCAGTGTTTTTAAAGGATAGAATACAGCAGTCAGGGCTTAAATGAAGAACTAAGTCTGAGTCTTGGAGGCTCCTTTCTCTACTTAAAGGGCTGTCTCAGAACTTCAAGGTGCATAATGAGAGTGGGCTGTGAGGCGGCACTCTACACTCTACACCTGAGTTTGTCCAGTTGTGTGTCAGAGGCTAAATTCAAAGAATTAACAGATGCTTAGCAACCTGGTGCCCTTAAACGTAATTCAAGGACTTTTAGCTTTTGCTTCAGACCCGTGTTTGCAACTTCTATTAGGATTCAAAGGCCTTGTTTGAAAAAAAAAAAAAGGACTACAGTAAAACAAAACAAAAGATGAGGGAGCAGAAATAGGGCAGGAAGGGAAAACTGCTACAGCTGCCTGGCAGTGGTTTGTGAGAAGAGAAAATTGTGATTGGGTTAGTAAAATTTAGGAGGTGTTTGCTTTAGAGTTTCAAAATTTTTAGGGTGGTCCCATGCAGGTAGTTGTTAATAAAGAGTTTCCCTTGGTCATACTAGTACCTTGAGGGTTAGAGGATGGACCTAGAACCCCAGACTATTAAAAGGCTATTAAGCTATTGACTGACTATCTTAAAGACATTCCTTCAGGGAGTCTAAAGAAAGTCAGAAAAAATAAATGCATTACTTGTGTTATTTGAGACAGAGTCTCGCCATGTAACTAGCTGCCCTGAAACTCACTATATAGATCAGTCTGGCTTCAAATTTACAGAGATGCATCTGCCTCTGGAATGTAGGGATTAAAGACACACATCACCATGCCTGTCCTCCATACAAAAGTATTAAGCAGATAACTAATATGTGACATTTGCATAGCAATGCTGTCTACATAGTTCAAGTAATAAGGAAATAACATACTAAAAGTAAAAACATTTTTGTATTTTCTTGTTGTTGGTTTGTTAGGTAGTTTTGGTTCTTTGGTTCTTTTTAATTTTGTGTGACAGTGTCTCTCTGTGTAGTCCCAGCTGTAGATCAGGTTGGTCTAGAACTCACAGAGCTTTGATTGCCTTTGCTTCCCAAGTGCTGGGATTGAAGGCATATGCTACCACACCTAATACAAGTTTTAAAATTGCAAATGATTTTATATATTTTAGATCAACCCTTCAAATTGTTCATTTTCCCCTTGGTTTAGATGAGCAGTGCATAGAAGAACAGAATATGTGAATTAAGAGTCTCAGAATGAGCAGGGCGGTGGTGGCGCACGCCTTTAATCCCAGCACTTGGGAGGCAGAGGCAGGTGGATTTCTGAGTTTGAGGCCAGCCTGGTCTACAGAGTGAGTTCCAGGACAGCCAGGGCTACACAGAGAAACCCTGTCTCGAAAAAAACAAACAAACAAAAAGTCTCAGAATGAATGAGCTACAAGCTTGATTATTTCAGTACCAACTTTGACAAATGAAAACACAGACCCAGAAAGGCAGAGAAACCTATGCTGTTACCAGAAAGAAGTAAGAAAAGGGGAATTCATGTTAAGATTCCTTCTACACATTAGGCATTGTGCTAGGTGCTTCGCATCTGGTATATCTGTGCAGGGACTCACTGTGTAGTCCTGTCTGGCCTGGAACCCATAATGTTGACCAGATTGACCTTGAACTCTTCTCAAGTGCTGGGATTAAAGGTGTGCACCATCACACACAACTGCTTTTGGTATCTTAATTCTTGGGCACTTTGAAGCCAAAGGTTAGAAGGAATTAAAGGCAAATCTCTTTGAAGATCATAAGCTATATATATAAGAGATAAGGAGAATGGTATATTACTTTTTCCTTTCTAGCCACAAGGAGGAAGTAAAGAATAAGCATTTTAGGATGAGATTAGGCTAAGGAAATAATCACTGGGGAATTAAAGGAACACATAACTTCACTATTCTAAAATGATGGTCAGAGGCATCGGAATTAATTTTCATTCTAGAAATTCAGATTATTGACTGGGAATACTGGATTAACTTTAGCTATAGCAGGAAATAGGGCCTAAACGTGGTAGTTAAACTTGTTTATAATCCCAGACTTGGAAAGCAGAGGCAGAAGAGTCAGGAGTTTTAAGGCCATCCTCAGCCTCATAGTGAGTTCAAGGCCAGTGTGGGATATGAGGGATCCCATTTGATTTTGGTTTGGGGGTGTGTTTTTTCTTGAGTTTTATTTTTTTGTTGTTATTGTTGTTTTTGTTTTGAGACATGATCTCACTATGTAGCTCTAGCTGTCCCAGGACTAACATGGAAATATGCCTGCCAGATG